AATGGTTTTCCAAAATAAAAAAAGTGATATTTTTTAGACCGAAAGGGTCATTGTTAGCATTTTTCTTAGTTTAAGCCACATACACATTACACACCGATCCAATCGTTCTCTACACGGCATCCTAACGCTTCGACGGTTTTGCTTGGCGAACCCATTTACTTTTCGCGAACTTATTATAAACATATATATTTAGGTGCAATCGGCTACCAGTACTCGTCCCATCACACAAGCGTAAACGATAAAGTAAAAAAGATATTCAGGTACTAATTACCGCCCCTGGTTCAAATATCTGCCCTAAAATTATTATTTTTTAAATCAAATACCAAGATATATACCTATTAAGTAAGTAATTATTGTTAGTTTATTTACTATTTAGGTATTTGTTTTATATTATATGTGGTTTAGTTTTTAGACAAGAAAATGTACGACTAAAAATTAAAATGATTCACATTTAAAAATAGTTATCTAAAGTAATATAAATAATATAAAACTAAAAAAAGGTCAAATAGGAGATATATCTCTTTATTCTCCTACCAACCCGTAAATACGCCACTATCGTCAACTAAACTGCGGTAATCTGCACAGTTATTCCAAGAGACCACTACTCGCCGTAACCAGTAGTGTATTGGTAAATATATTTATGGGTATACGCACTAATAAAATATGTATGTACCCTAAAAAATGTTTTCTCGCGACGCTCGAGAAGATTTATACTTAAAATCTGCTGACGGATTTACGGCGTATTCCCGCGTATACGTACTAATACACCCCTGGTCGTAACTATATTAGAGTGTAAAGGAATAAAATATAAATTATAGACTACAAACTTGATGAAAATTAAAAAAATATATTTTTATTAGCACATTATTATCGTGGGCATATGCATTATAATCATTGAATGTGCACCGAGGGTCAACGACCGGTGACTTCCTCATTGAACCCGCGAAAAAAAAAATTCTTATTTTTAGAAATAGGATATCGCGTAGTTAATAGTTATACGCATTATACACCGAATAAATTCTATTGCGGTGACTTTAAACCCGTTAGATATGATTTATATCTTTCATCATAATACACCAAGACCCTGCACAAATAAAATTATATTATTATTTTGTAGTTTAAATAAAACGAATGTTTGTAAAAAATATAAAATGACGTTTTACGAAAATATAGTTTATATTCAGATTATATGTTCCTCATCGATATGCGTACTAGTGCATATTTCTGAACAGAGCAAGGAATGTATTGGTTTTATTATGATATTTGTTTGCCTGTTTTTAAACAATTTTTCTACCAGAAATCTTTCTCTGATAAAAAAGCGACAAGAGAGTTTTTTTGTAGCACTACGAATCTAGTTGATGCATTAAAATGGTTATTATTGGATTTTCCTTTTAGTTTTCATAATAACTGGGAAAAAAACGTTTAGGAAAATGGAAAAGTTATTTACGGCAATTATTAAAAATGTCATTCTAACAGAGCAAACTTCATCTGTCAGCGTTAGTAGAATTTTCTAATATTTGCAACACCATTTTGCTAAATTGACACATTGAATTTCTTTGTTATCAAATTGTGAAACGTTTACTACTCACGAATTCGTTCTATATTATTTGCTATCACTAATATCACTGCATTACTCGACTCTCTTGCGCAACTCAAGTGAGAATATCAGGAAATTATTCTAGTTGATCAGGGTAACTGGTTTTTTATTTTTATTTTTTTAACTATTGACTACCGGAAACTGGTCACCAAAAGAATAATGCATGGTTTTTAACTGGTAATCGGTTAACATAAAATTGTTGGTATCTATAAAGATTAGAGAATCGAGTACTGGTAACCATTATATCAAAAATTAGCAGTAATCGGTTACAGTCTTACAGGTACTTAACAATTTTTTCGACCTCTGATATTTTAAGTCTTTATATCCCGTTTTTTTACATATACTCATCGTTTATGTATATATATATATATATATATATATATATACAAAAAAACGCAACGAAACCCCTTGGATTTTAATATTTAAATGACAGTGTCCGGTGTTCCTGCAGCATAATGCATATACAAATGTATATAGATACACAGAAGTGCATTACTGGCAGCACAGTATAAAATACATTACTTAATTTTAATTATTTATTTATGATAATTTTATTGTGATTCCGTTCCTCACACGTAGGCAATTAAATACGAAATACCATCGGTTTACTTTACAACACTTTACTCGCATTATATAGCTACTCGTATATATTATAACCAGTGTCAAGAAAATGCAGTTGTTTATTGAAACGTCAATTATTGACGTTTACCATAATTGACTCTTACGAAACGAGGAAGTACATATATATATATTTATACACACGTAATAATATATTAGATATTCCGGTGTGTGTAGGCTCGTTATCGTTTTACTGTATAGACGCGAGCGCGCGAGATGAAGTCTTCGGGTCATTGTTTTCCCACCGCGGGTATAAGGCGCGAGAAACGGTCTCGTGATGTGTGCCTGCGTCAAGTCAAGTTCAGTAGCCACACGAGTCGACAACACGTATATTGTAATAATATATACATACACGTATAGCATGGAGAGTGTATAATAGTGTATGGTAAATACGTACAACACTAGCATATTTATTTAGTTTTTTTTTTTTTTTTTTTTTTATTGTTTATATTATTATTCAACTTTTTTACTTCGTGTTCTTTGTCACGTCGTCGTAGTCGTCGTCGTGTACAACGACACGGGTAAACAACAGCGCCTATACACCGGCAGCTATCGTGCAGCACTATTTTTCTTCTGATTTTTATCTCCTTCGTATATATCGAACTCACCATGTATGAAGATAAATACACGCATCTTTATATTAGTATTATAAAAATGCGGACGACTAAAATAAAAATATAAAATCGAATATTCACACTCGCAACATAAAACGTTAATATTATAATAGTGACGCGACGAATCTATAGGCAGTTATAGTCCGCGGCGTGCGCAGAGAAGAGGTGGTTAGGTTATACCCTCCCCTCCCATCGACTTAAAAATAACGCTAATACGATTGTATATATATTTATCAATTTATTTGAGATTACAAATTGCGGTCAAGTTACAATAAGAAAAGTATTGATTAAAAATTGGCTTTTTTTCCATACGACTTTTCGATTTCCATTGTGTGGTTATAGAAGATGATTTTACGAATTATTCGTGATTTTATTATTTACCACCNTGATACCACTGATACCAAGAGGTTGTCTGTTATATCATTATATTTTAAGAAATACTATGAAATATCTTAAATGTTACAAATACTTTTTCTTAGTAAACTTGCTCCGAATTTTAGGGTCTAGGAACTTTTCTGAAAGCTCAAGTTGTCTGGACGGTAATTTCAAGACTTAATTTTTCGATTTTGGACGCCATTTTTTTAAATAAAAGCACTTAAGTGGAAAAAAAAAAACGTGGGAAAACGTACAATTTCACGAATTCTTTATTTTATGAAAACACGTTCGAAGTTTTCTACCAGAAAAACTGATTTAATCGAAAAATCGCAAGATACCCTTTTTGTTGCCTTTTTGATTTACTTTCTTACGGTATCAATGCGAAAACTTTTTAACCACTTTTGAAGTTTTAGGGAATTTTCATTTCTGATAGTTTTTTTTGCTATAATTCGGTTATAAATACACGCAAAGACTTGAAACTTGGTAATAATACTTATATTTAACTTACCTAGACGTGGTAAAATTTCCAAAATCATCGGAGGTAGGATAAAATGGGGTGTAGGAGCAGGAGCAGGAGCAAGGTGCAAGGTGTAGGTGCAGGTACAACATTTTTTTTTTTCAATTTTTTTCCTACATGCATCACGTACTCGACCTATTTAGACGCCCCCCCCCCTTTTTTTCCACACTGTTATCACCAAATACTACTATCGCCTTTCCCTACCCGCCGACCCTCTCCACATACCTACACACACACACACACACACACACACATACATATCTTCACCCCGTCTATAATATACAAATGGCCGAACACTCTCTGAGAACGAAAAGAATGTATGCATATATACACATATTGACAGCAGCGCGCATTGTGTTTCTTGCCTGTAAGATCCTGTCCGATACTGTAAGATCCTGTAAGATCCTGTACGATCCTGTACGATCCTGTAAGATCCTGTATGAGTTGGTCTCTTAGCCCCACACCAAATTCGTACACCGTATATGATACGCTTGTACACGGTGTTTATATTTTAATAAGTTATTATTATTATTTTTCTAAATAATATTTGTCATAACATACCATTAGCAATCATCATTAACGAGCTGACCACACCTCCCCCCCCGCCCGCCCATTAGGCGGTCAACGCATATCGTATTTCTCTGAATGTCGGCGACTGCCGATACAAAGGTCGATACACATAATTGCGTCTTCGCGCGCGCTACCGTACCGTCGAATAACCTAAATCACCCCGCGCTATCCTGTACACCCTGTTCGTCTATGTCGCCAGTATAAGTACCTATACTGAAATAATATTTTATTACGGTTATCGATAGACAAAGAACTACTATAATAATAGACAACGGACCTGTTACGTCCTCGTCTCCCCCGCCCGTACACCCTCCGTTACAACCGATTTTTGTCAACGACAATATAATCCAGAAACGTAAGAAATAATTACTGTTTACACCATTAAACGTTATCGGATTATTTGTCCGTGACCACAACGACGGGACGATCGATCGTCAGTAGTGATTTTACCCGGACACCGGTGTCCGGAGTGCTCTACAGTTTTCTCTCGCGATCACCGTTTTTTTTTTCCAAGTCATGATAATTTTCGTTGCTGATTTAATTGTTATTATTATTTGTTCATTTTTATATCCGATTACAAATGTACGAGTGTACTTTCGCCGGTCGTAGCAAATTCTTTAACGTCAAACGTAATAATGACTCGCCACGCTAAATCGCACGACGGATTAAAAATTTCAATGTGCTCCGCGTCCGAAAATGTTCGCGCGTAATGACAACCACGGTATCCACGTTAAAATTGTTCATCGTGACGGGAGAGTCGCCACGCCAGCTATTCTCCCGCAGACCGGACCGTCGAACATTTCCCGGCAAGTCGGCCCTTCGAATGCCGTCGACTTCGACTTGGACTGCCGACGGAGAAAATGACGCGTTGTTTATGAACGTATGTCAAGCCATCGACGATACGGAAGGATACGATAACGAAGGTGAGATTTATATTATTATGGCCCGTCACATAGCGAAGGAATTAGTTTTAATTTAGGGGTTTGTTTTTTTTTTTTTTCATTATTATTATTGGTAGGTAGGAAACGTACACGCGAAGAAAAAACCGCTGCCGGAGTAAAAAAAAAAAAAGCAAGGATAGAGGAGTTAGTGAAAACACCCGGCTTCACCGAAATCGGTTCGTCTTTCGATAGGATAGTGTAGGAATGGTATAGGATAGTGCGGGGTGATTTAGGTTATTCGGCGGCAGGTATGGTAACGCGCGCGAAGACGCAATTATAATAAAACGCGTAATACAATATTTTGTTGTACGGACAATATCCGGTCGTAACGGCGGGTAGGGATGGGCGAGGGAGAGGCGGACACTAGGATCGGTCTTGTCGATTACAATTCTTTGTCTATCGATAACCGCAATAATATATTATTTCAGTATAGGTATACTTACACTCGCGATACGGACGAAGAGGGCGTATAGGACCAGTGCGGGGTGATTTAGGTTATTCGGCGGCAGGTATGGTAACGCGCGCGAAGACGGCAACTATGTGTATTGCCCAGTTTACATTCAGCCCACTCCCGTGGCGGTGAGCAGGGCAGTGAGCATAAAAACGGGCAGCGCGAGCACGTAAACGCGTCACTCGCGCCGACCGCGCTGCTCGTCGCACTGACGCTGCCCGACGCTCCCGTGGCGAGAGCGGTAAACTGAGCAGCGACGTAACCGGCAACGCGATCAATCCGGCAATTGCCGCTGCCCGCGCCGCTACGCTCGGCAGCGCAATGTAAAACGCTCACTGCCGTCGCAGAAGTATTTCGAGGAGTAAATACGGCGGCGCGAGCGGCGACGGCAAGCGGCTGAATGTAAACTAGGTACATCGTACTTTTGTATCGGCACTCGCCGACAATCCGACGTGCGTTGGCCGCCTAATAGGCGGGCGGGTTATGGTCGGCTCGTTAATAATAATATATACATTTATATTAGTATTATAAAAATGCGGACGACTAAAATAGAAATATAAAATCGAATATTCGCACTCGCGTCATAAAACGTTAATATTGTAACAGTGACGCGACGAATCTATAGGCAGTTATAGTCCGCGGCGTGCGCAGAGAAGAGGTGGTTAGGTTATACCCTCCCCTCCGCTCCCATCGACTTAAAAATAACGCTAATACGATTGTATATATATATTTTAAAATTTATTTGAGATTACAAATTGCAGTCAAGTTACAATAAGAAAAGTATTGATTAAAAATTGGCTTTTTTTCCATACGACTTTTCGATTTCCATTGTGTGGTTGTAGAAGATGATTCTACGAATTATTCGTGATTTTAATTTATTATTTACCACCTACCCTTGAATATTTCTAAACACACTATTGGTTACAGCAGGTATAGAAAAAAGCTGGAGTGATACCACTGATACCAAGAGATTGTCTGTTGTATTATTATATTTTAAGAAAAACTATGAAATATCTTAAACATTACAAATTATATAACATTGAATTAAATAACTGTGATCTTCGCTGTATTATTGAATTATAACGTATTACGAATTCCCGCACATTGTGATAACAATAATATTTGATTAATAAAAAATATGAAACATCGCGTTGAAAGTCACGAGATCTGTAAGACAATCGAACATATATTATTCATTATTTTGCAATATTATTAATTAATATTTGCAGCACGGATAAACAAAAAAATAAATTATAGATTATTAATAAATTTAGTTTCATACAGGAGCGATGAATTTTAGTTATATACTTTTCTTGGGCGATTTAATAACAAAAACCGTAAATTAGTTACCTATCTGAACAAAATGTGTATCAAATTTTTTCCAATTTATTCTATAAATCTAATATTTAACAAATATTAGTATACCAATTAACACATACAAGGTGTTCCACCGTGTTTTCCTGACGCTATTAATATATTTATTAATAATAAATTAGTTTAAATTTTTTTATTTGGATTTTGAATTCATTAAGACCATTAAGAAACAATGTATAGGTCATAAGTATACATTGTTTACTTACACTTGTAAATGCGTGATGTACAGGGATTACGCGAGCGATTCGATTCGATTACATTATAATTCGTGAATGGTAGTCTTTTGGGTGTTTACAGCGTCAAAATAATGCACAGGTCTCTATAATCTCTATAATTGAAGAGTTCTGGAGATCAACTAAGATGGAACCAGTTATTTTCAAGTGACTCAATGAGCTGCAGTAACAGTAATTATTAATAAATTAGTATACACATCGTAACCGCAGCCGTCAATGAATCTAACACGCCATAATAACATCGACAATGATTTCCTGTGTAACTCAATATTATTACGAATCTGAAGTGAAAATATAGGTATGAAATAAGCACTCTGATATTAAGACAGTATTATATTTTGTAATATTTTTTCCCCTAATTTTAATGATAATTATATACGTTTGGGAACAATTTCTCACACAGTCACATGACATTTTACTGTACATCAGTGCCGTATTTATGATTTGTTTTTATTTTTGTGGAGGGGAAGGGATTGTGCATTAACAAAATTTAGACGACCTAGTCCACCTATACATCATAACAAATCCACTAATATTATAGATGGTATGTGGAGGTAGGAGGTAGGAGGTATAAACTCTCTAACCTCTCGAAATTGTCTAATTATAATTTAATATACCCACTTAATTAATAAATGGCATCACATCTCTTTAGTAGTTAAAAATCTATAAAAATAATAAAACAAAATTAATATTATTATTGAATTAGGTTATTCTACTGCAGTTGAATAAAACGATACTTGTTTAAATACAACCATCGGATATAATATAAACCTAATAATACCAATAATACCTAATAATTTGCTTGGGTTTATAATTCGTTTTTTATTGAATTGTGCAAAACACCGCGCAGCGCGTGAACAAACATTTAATAATATATAAATCTATAAAATCGCTCTTATAAAAACAAATTTATCTTACATTAACTTCATTTTAACTTGAATCTTTCGCTTTTCACGTGAATGTTATAAAATATGTATAATTTGTACATAATATGTAACCTTTCTACGATAAAAAAGTTCTTATGTAACAAACAAATAAATAGGTAGTTATCAACAACACGATGATTGAGTTAAATATCATTGTTTTAGTTGGACACGTTATTTTCATATTCTTATTCCAAACCAAATAGCCACATTATAAATTTCTGTTATTTTATCACGCGTGGTCTCCACCCACGTCCATCTCTCGGATAAATACGTATACCTATATATTTCCAACGGATTTACTGTTTTATCGAGGATAACATAACTAATAAGTACCTACTATTATATTCTATACTATACATATTTATTGTAAGTTATAATACTCGACCTATTAACTTTATAAGTATTATACTCGTATAAATCGAAACATCTCTTTGTACCAAATTTCTAATAGGCAAAATTCATACGACCAGTGGAACTATACATAGGACCCTATTTACGCAGGGACATTGTAGGTATTTGTCCAGGACCCATGCGGATCAGGGGCCCACCTATTGGATTTAATTATTCTTTTAATTTTAATTAATCCTTAAAATTGAAGAATACCAAAAAAAGTTTACACAGTTGAAAATACTTGTAAAAATATAAATTATTTTTTTCAGTTTCATACAAAATATATGGGTATGAGATAAGAAATATTCGTATTAAATGGATTAAAAATCTCCGACTTTTTCTTTTTGTCCCGGGCCTAAAAAATTCTAAATCAGGCTCTGAGTCTATACCCATAAGAAACACTAAGCATAGGGGTCAACAGTTTGCTTACAAATGCTGTTTTCACACCCTTATATATTATAAATCGGTACTTTGTGACGGCGGTTTAACATTTATTAAAATCTAGGATAATGTGAGATAATAATAATATTGCGCTTCAGAGCTAAAAAAATTATAATTTCTATCTTATATTAATCGAATTTATTTTAAAAATATGAACAAAACGCGGTGTTATAACTTGAAAATTATTCAAAAATCAAAACATTATTATTATTATCAATAGTAATTTTCTGTTAATAATTAACTTTTTTTTTTATTTACCTATTAAAAATCTACAATCTATACATAATAATTTGTACAATAAATAGGTGTTTTTAATGAATATAATAATGAAAATAAATATCGTGTTTAACGGGTAAAGGTAAAGGCACCCATTGGTGACATCCAACCAATAATTAACTTAAATATACAATTAAAAAAAAAAACAAATAAAAAAATATTCAGATTTCAATCCGAAATTCCAGTAAGTATTGATTAGTCAGTTATTATTTTAGTATAACCAATGTGTACCTATTATATTACCAGTTATCATTAAAATAATTATTTCTTAACTTTTAGTTTAGCGATATTGTCGATGTTAATGTAATATAATACACTAATATCTACTATATCACTACCAAGAAACATAGTTACTTACCTATAATATCGATTACACATATTTTAATTTTGAACTCGACATTCAGTGGATAAAAAATGATGAATGATATGCTCATGACATAACTCCCTGTATAGTTATATTAACTAATAATAATAACACGTGTACAGATGAATAAATGTAAACGTAAATGTTTTCTCTTAAAAAAAAATGACCAATTCAATAGGGCGTTGTCCGATTGCGTCCCGTTTTAGCCTTTTTAATCTTTTTCGAGTTTCGATTGCGTTCCAAACGATCGAGATTACAATTTTCGATTACAATTGTATCCGGCATTCGTTCGTATTATTATTATTGTTCCAACTACAAGGATTGATACTATACTGCATGTGGTATCTATAATATTTTTAATTTTAATCAATTAGAACTAAAACTAATACCAATAAAACACAGGCCAAACTATTACAAGCAACTAGAATTTATTGATAAACAAAAATTGTACATCGTTTTGACTATATTAAAATTATACCGCTTAAAGGATTTTAATTTAAATAATGAATCTTAATAATAATTAAATATCTTGACTATAATTTTAAACTGTGAAATGCTGTAATATGTATAGTTAAAAAAAATGATTGTGTTAATTATGATTATTTTAATACCTATATCTATGTACATTTTTTTTTTTTTTTTAATTTATTTTAATAATGAACATTTTTGTAATGGTTATTGTATAGCTAATTGTAATGAGTAATGACTAATAAATAATAATATTACATTTTTTTTTTTCTAAAATGACGCTACATAAAAAATCAATTTGATATTATGAAGTGTAAAGCGATAATAATCGAACCTCACTCGTTCAGAGTTTAATGTACGTGCTCCTACAATCGCGTTCTGTCTGGTATCGGAATTCTCGATTTTTCATTTAGGACACAATCGAATGCACACCTGTTAAAACCAGACGCAATTAAAATTCGAAAATAGTAAAAAGGTAAAAAGGGACCCGAACGAAATTTTACCGAACTTAATAGGGCAGCACATGAGTTGCGTCTCATAAAAAAGATTCTGGGTGGAAAGTAAAATGTATTTATTTTACTAAAACCAATCCTAGGATCCAGGAGCATCATCGTTGCGGGCGTTTTTAATTGACCATGGCTCTTCCACGATTTTTGACTGTTTTGGTAACTGTATTCTTTAAGATTAAGTTTGTAGATTAGGTGTTCCCGTGTTGGTGTGTCGAAATTTGACACAAGCAGAGAGGATACTATTGGAAGTCAAAAGGCTTGTACTGTAAGCGGGTACCTGTACTTATTGTCTGTATCGTTACCCGAGGTTGGTTCAACGCCACTGGGTTTAGGTGCATATCAATATAAAATAAAGAAGTTTGGTAATTAAAATTAAAAAAGGGGTGGTTTGCGATCCAGAATCACAATTGTTATATAATTGTGTACCCAAAACTCCTCGAATGGAGAAAGGTAACCAGCAGAGTTAATTCATATTTTTGGTTCTCCCCCCCCCCCGTCCAGAAATATAATATTTCTATTTTTAAGTCACTTTTCAATAGATCACGGCAAGGTTGCAGGGATTTTTTTCTTCTACATTAATTAATATTAATATAAATACATACAAATTTAGTTTCGTCGATATTTTTACTGCAACTATTTTTAATATTATTTTAAGATTTTTTGGTTTGCTGTATTTTATCAATACTTGTGCGAGCATGCAGTACAGAAGGTCGGATCTTGATGTTATACAAAAATCGAAGAAAAAACATTATTTAAATTATTAAGTGAAACAATTATTTTAAAATAGTTTTGTTGTGTTTTAATCGATAATATTCTAAATCACATACAATTTTAATTTGCTCTCTCTACTCCATTACAATGGACTAGGCCTACGCCTGGGTACACTACTCTAAAAAAAACGAGTCTGGCGCAATATCTCATGCTTTAGAAAAAAAAATAAAAATCTCCAAATAATAAAATATTATTGTTTATCGAGCTAAGACGATGGGGAAAATTGTATATAACAATGTCTTTATAAACATAGGTACGTCGATTCTCGGTAAAATGAAATCAGCGGGACCTATGGGAAATGTCAAATTATCTAGTGTTTGAATTGTTCGAATTTAATTTGTTAAAAACTAATCGAAAAATACCGATGAAAAAAAAATTAACTAGTATCAAGTTATGAAAGTCATGGAAAATGTACTAAATAATATCATATAATGAGTATGCCGTGGTGTAACTAGATTTATTTTAATATAGCTATTTTTGATCGTATACTTGTACTTTCGTAAATCACTATCCTAAAACGCCGATACAAGATATTAGATTCATTACAGACCCATAATATCTATTTCCTGTACACTACATATCTGATGTATTATTTTAGAGGACAGCATGAATAAATATCCAAGATGACCTGTTTAATACGGGCCTGCAGATTACATCTCTATTCCAATTCTCCTTTAACGAACTCGTGTTCTCGTCTCCAACCATGTTCCTGCCTTCACTGAATTATTCGGCCTTTTATTTAGCTAAACTTATATCTATTCTTATTTTTTCCTATTATATTTCCTTCTGTCATTTATTCTTATTAAGTATAGGAAATTAACGAAATAACTGGGAAAATATCAATTTTTTCGAAACCTAGTTTAGGTTAAATTATCTTTAAAAAAATTAGCTCAAATCAACATAATTTTGAATATAAATTAATTTGAATAGGTAATTAATAAGTTATGTTACACATTTTCACGAAAACGACTCGTCAAGGGTATCCCATTTCCTTGCATAGTTCTCGAATGTCCGTCTTGTTATATGTGACCTGTACTATTTTTACTTTTTTAAATGTTTTTATGCGCTTTTTTCAGGGTACTTTTGACGTTTTTGCGCGTCTTTTTGTGAATTTTAAGAACGAATAAAACCGCTCTCTAGTCTCGTGTAAGGCAATACTATTGTATTATACACGTTATGAACATTGAACATCTAAATTTTTCGGAGAAATTCATTTTGTCTTTCTCGTCTCATACCTGATAACCAAAGGCACTTTGCGTATAACATATTATTATATCCACGGCGTGTCCTTCGTCGGGTTACCGTAAATCTGCAATAGAATAACGATTGCTAAGGATTAAAAATAATAACGAATTGCCGAGTAAAAATATTGTGCCTAGTAATTTTTTCCACAGACACAAACACACACCGGCAAAACGATAATATCACCGTGTCCGTTGGCGTCGTAGGAGCGGGTCACGGCGCCGTTCGCCGACGCCTCCTGTCCGAACCGACGCGTTCTGCATAATATAGGTACAAACAGAGGTCGTAAAAACACACACAACTATATTATTATAAAATAGTAGGTATACGGCACGGTGAAAAAACAAACAATCGAGGCACGAAAAAAAAAAAAAAGTTTTTGAAAAATTACCGTAGGCACATACAACGTAAGAATATCGACCGGACCGCTATCGTGGTTATTTTTTTTTAATCGCCTGTGTGTACCTATCGTAATACGCGATCGCGGTAAAATCTCAGCGAGCATAATAATATTGTAGGTACGTTAAATACGTTTTATTCTTTGCAGCTTGTACCAAGTGATTATTTTATCTACGGACCAACGATTGTTCGCGAAGATTTTAAATAAATGAACCTAATTATAACATTAGGTGATCCAGTGATCGAACTTGATAATGGGGATAACCACTCCTTATTTCTAATGTTAACAGCTGTACGCGGTTATCCGTTATTAAGTAGTTGAGCATAAACACGGCTATAGGGTTGCTGTTCGAAAATGAATAGGCACAACATATCGTTATACTGTATTTATGGCGTATACTACACGGAAAAATGGTACAGTTTTCAAAATAACAATATAACACGATTATTACGGTACTATAACAATAATAATACGATTTAAAATAAAAACAACGTCAAGTCTGATTTTCGCAGAATATCCGATAGGCAGGCAATTGCTGCGGGTTCGTGTGACTTATAAGAATCGCCCTGTAAAAACTACGACATTGTACACAAGACAATAATATTGTTATACACTACTGTATCAACATTATTTTGAATGCGATGCGCTCGAAATGTATTTTTATTTCCCCCGCGTCCTCATCGCGCGTCTACCTAATTATTTATATTTACGGTGTGTACCTGTAATAATATCATGGTAGGCAGGTTAGGTGGGTATTATACCTATGCATGCCTATAAAAAAAAAAAAAAAAAAAAAAAAAAAAAACGCAATAAAACAACGGAATAGGGCCGGGCTCGGCTGGAGGGGGCGAGGAGGAGACGGCGGCCGTTACGGCCGTGGCGCGAACTGGTTCGGAGAGATGGAAATAAAATACATAATAATAATGATAAAAACGACGACGAGAGTGAGTGAGAGAGTTTTGAGAGAGTTGTCGATTGTCGTCGTCGTCGTGGATCGCGCCCGTTCGTGATAACTGAGGTCGAAGGCGAACCAGTTGTCCCGTATGTAACATTCACCTCTCCTCTCCCCGCCCCAACCCGATCGCTCGCCTAACCCTACACCGCCGACTATATGTAATAACCGGCGACTCCCCCTCTCCTCTTTTCCCTCGCCGGCCGTCGCCGCCATTCTCTACGCAACACACGCACACGTGGTAAACGGATTACTTCTCTATTATTAACTTCGCCCCGGGGCATCGCTGAAGAAAATAAAGACATCAACACGAATCCGGACGTGCGGCGTCACATAATGGGTTTATATCCCGACGATAACCGGTTTGGCCGGTTCGCCACAGCCGCCGCAGCCGACGATTCAACCGCCTGGACCGTTTTTTTTCCCGTTTTTGTCTGGAAAGAAAACGCGGAGAACGGTGCGCGGAGGAATAAAAAAAAAATATAAAAATTAACAGTGCGCGTACGAGTATATTGTCGGATGACAAGATGATAATGTGCTCCGAGTATACGAGGATAGCCGACCGCGATCGCTTGTCCACATAAACGCACTCCCCTCTCCTCTTCACTGACGCTGACACCCTACGCGTAAATTGTTTACTCGCCGAAAATCGACAATCTTTATGATAATTTTAATAATAACAACACGACAACGGCATACGACAGTATATTATTTTTACAAACGAATTGATGACATTTTTAAAAAGGTGGAAAGCAATACGATCGTGTATGATAACGGATAAGCGTATTAAAATATTTTCGAATTTATTTAAATCGCAATCTGTATATAATCAATATAAGTATAAGAATCTAAAACTATTATTACTTGGGGCACTTAGAAGTGGCTTAGAACAAAATAACTCCGGAGAAAATATATGATTTGTTAATTTATAATATTCAAGAAAATAATATTAGAGCAATTAAACGTAACTGAAAATAGTTTTATACCAAGTTAATATACTATCGATGACAATTTTGAGGAAAACAATGTACCTACTACATATTTTGTGTTACTGAGTTGCAATATTTTTATGGTATGAAATAAAATTAACATAGACAGTATTATGTCTAAATAATCTATTAATATAAATTAATCTATTATTACACGTATTACTCGTATCACAACATTTACAACTGAATCGATGATTGCAGAAACGTCACGAGTCACAAATTTTAAAAGTCTTTTTCAAACGTCGAAAGTCAAGCGCACATTATCTTCATAATTTTTACTCAGAATTATTCATATGTATAAAATTCTCCGGTCACAGTGTTTGTCATTGAGCTCTTCCGAAACGGCTTGACCGATTTTCATGAAATTTTTTGTGTATATTTGGTTGCTCTGAGAATAGGTCGTAAAGTATTTTACACCCTCCTACCACCACCCTCTATTTTTTAATCGCGATTTTAGTATTTTCGTTTATATATGTATACGAGCAATACCAAATCATTTAGCTTATAATTTAATGAATATAATTTTTTTTTTTTGACTTTTGTTACCGCGGTAACAGGGATGGAAAAAAAATGGTGATTAATTACTATCAAAAATTAGTCGGAAAATATCACGTAATCATCAAAATCGGCCCAGTCGTTCTTGAGTTACATTATAAATGGTGTAACTAACCCGATTTTATTTTATTTACGCAAGATTTTTATTTATTCAAGGGTTGCCACGGAAAAGAAAACTATTATAATAACTATTATTACTATTATTTACACTATTCAAATTTCACAATAAAACACATTTAGTCCGCCGAAGGTGGACTACCCACTTTCCACTGATTTGTTTTCATTCAACTCTAACACGGCCAAAACCAAAAATGAATATGGGTAAAATAATAATAATACGAAGTGGCACGGGCAACGCCGGGCGCGGGACAGCTAGTAATATTATATAAACAGTATATGATGTTTCAATAAGTATTTATTCTTAAATTAAATTAATTTTCAAAATTATTTATGCAGATATTATACAGTTTTTGTCGAATACCAAAAGTTTTCAAAAATTGACCCGTGACGTTTCTGCAAACATCGATTAAACTTAACAATAAATGACGGTCGTTTTACACGTGATACATTCACGCGTAAGTTTTACGTGTGCGAGAAAGACGGACAATTTGATGATTTTACACATTGTGTACGTGCAGGTTGTATAGATTCGAGTGATAATTTCATGTGAAAACGTATACAGGTGAAATAGAACTAATATCAACCCGCGGCTATTACTCTGTTTCTGTAGAAATATCACCGAAAAAGCGCACCAACAATAAAAGTGTCACCGTAGTTGCTACCGCCGCGTCGCGCGCTGCCCGGGCGGCGCTCTACCCCGTGCTGAATCGAAACAGCGCAATCTTATTGGCCAATGGATTAGCGATGTACAAAATCGTTATGCTGTCCCGACATGGAGACATCTCATTGGTCAACCCACGTGGTACGAAATCGAGGCTTTCCAAAACGTGGCATTACGCACTATAACCGGCTCCCACTACCTCGTATCAAATCAATCGGTCTAATCAATTGATGATTTTACTTGTCTAATTAACGGTATCGCGGTGTAGATATACACATAGAGTTAAGGGAAATAAAAATAAAACGTGGACCGTGATGATAAATAAAACATTGTTATAATAATGCGTAATAACTAGGGCTAGAATTTCTACATGAAATACAAAATTTTAAAATATGTTTTTTATTTACCAAAACAAATGTTTATTAGTTTTGAAAATTTTGTTGTTTATTTGGGTGCTCTTATGTATTTTTGGATTTAGCTTTTAAATTAATATTTTTTGTATGCTTATTTGCATTTGAATGTTGTTTATAAATATAGTACCTACTGTTACTGTCTCACACATTTACAATATATGTACGTCGTTAAATAATGTGTAGGTAATTCTGTCAGTCGTCCGACCAAGATTAGACACAAATAATTATCGATTATGTTCATTAAACAAATACCATTTAAAATTAGCAATATTATAAATTTAAATTTAAAAATTAACAAAATTAACAAGATTTCTCAAAAATCTATAAATATACATTTTGCAAAAAAAAAAAAGGTTCTATTTAATCGAGAATAAGCCAAATCGTGAACATCGGATCTGATAACCAATCAATTTGAACTTTAGGAAAAAAACATGCAAATGCATATAAATTCTAGCTGTAGTAATAACTAATAACATATTTAGGCACACTAGACTGCACTATTTTTGTATAGTACACCCACTAAAAGTACAAGCTCTTTTTATTTTGCGTCTGTTAACAACTTCTATCCCAGAAAATTCTCCATTTGAAAACTTTAAATTAATTTTCTTGTCGTATTTTTGATCTAGTTAGTGTATCGAGAAGAAAATGTATAAATTGCTTATGTAATGTTCTTTATAAATGAGAAAAACTGGTAATTGTTAGTATAATTTGTGTTGATTTCTAAGTTACTTTAACAACAAGGGAAAAACATGACTAATAATAATAATACTCTGCTCAGAATTGTTCATAATTCTTAAACTTGCGTACAGACATTAAATTACTCTACATATCCTTTCTTTTAACTTCTCTTATAAAACACTGGTATATCTATAAAAAAAAAACCCCCGCCTTTTTAATATTTTAAGTAAGTAGTTAATAATATCATATATTACCTTATTGACACATATATATATATATACATAATATGTACACTGTACAGTATATTAACAACAAACTTATCCGATTTTGTCTTGAAAGTTTGAAAATAAAATATATTGCAGGTAGATAAGACAGTTACGGTAAGTTGAAATAAACGATTATTAACTCGTAAAGTAGGCAGCGACGATGTTTATCACCTACTGCAGTTACCGGTTTAATGCAAATTTATTGTTTTCACAAGAAAATAAATTTATATATGTTTTTATAAGTATGTGTGTAATTCGTATGTAAAAACAAATCATATGTCATCGCTTGTATTTAGCAGTACACGTAGGTAGGTATGTGTAGTTAAATTTATGATTTCAAGTAACGTTAATTTTTGAACAAACCGAGCGTTTTCTTCACAGTTAAGAGATTTATTATATTAGGTGTTTATCAAAGTGTAAACAAATTTCGTCATAAATCATTTATAATGATTTTTTCAAAGTTATAATAAATAATAATAACAATACAAACTATACAGTTTCAACGATAAATAACACTAATAATATATTATTTTTAGCAAGGTTAGCAATAATTAATGAGAAGTTGGACAAAACTATACAGATAAAAGGTATTGAGTTTATAGGTTCTTACCTCTGCCGAATATTGTTTACATGCTACAATGGTATTTATTTTTTATTTTTTTGTATTGTGTAAAAAATTCTACTAGAAATCTTGCTCCGAAGTATTAAGTATAGAACCTTTTCTAAAAGGGAATTTTCCTGATATGGTACTTTAAGGAGGTCATTTTTTATTTTTCCCAAGTTTTTTCTTAATAAAACGGAAAAACCGGGAAAAAATGTAGGAAAAACGGGAAAATTTACAAAAATAATGCTTTTATTATTTTCAATTTTGTTATTTTATTGTAATTCAATGAAGAATATTCATAAAGACTTGCAATTTTGACAGAAACTTTATATTTGTCTTTTATAGACGTGATAAAAATTTTCAAAACATTTTAACCTTTTTTAAGCTATAAGACATTTTAATTTAACAGGAGGTTCACTATAAGTTCTATTTAGTGATCAACAAGAAAAGTTGAGTTTAATGTAATATATATATTTTTTTATGAGAATTTTAATATCAAATTTTGACGTATCAAATCATAAATATTACATCCTTTTAACCATTAATAACCAAACTCCGCTCAGAATCGTTTTTCGTTAGCAAAGATTAATCTTTGCCTACAGATATACATTTAATTTCCCTTTATATCATGTGAAGTATATTCTTATTTTTTCTTTTTATACTGTAAAAAGTTTCTCCTAGAAAACTCACTTTAATCAAATAAATTACAAACAACAATTTTTGTTTCATTTTGAATTTAGATGATACCTTACTACCTTAGAAAGGGTAATTTTTTAATTTTTCGATTTTTTTAATATTTTGGGAAAACCGAAAAATGTACGGGCTTAGATAAATTGAGCTCCAAACTGATTTATCGTTATCTAAAATCGGTAAATTGAGTCATTCATTTAAAAATGAATACGGACCTCGTTTTTGTAGATTGTTACTTAAGTGTCCTGTGTTATCATTAAATTGACGACTAGATTATACACGAGACGCAATTACTGTAGACTAGTTTTTAAAATTACTTATACGTGCAGTTGTATATTAAAAATACAAATTATTATAAGCATTATTCATAGATATTATTTTTACATACATAATTTAATATTATTATTATTTATTAATTATTAATTTACCACATTAAATATTTTAAACAGGACTCAATTCGTTTGTTTCTTTTTTTTTAGGCAGGACTCAGTTAACCTAAAAATAATAAAATGGGACTCAATTTAATAAATTCGACATTTACGGCAATAGTTTTGCTGTAACTGGGTGTAAACAATTTGAAAACGTTTAAACTAGTTTTGGGCTATTTTTAAGCATTTACTTTTTTCTAGTTTTTCATATAGTAATTAAAAATATTACAAATAATAATAACTACCTGAGCTCTGCTCAGAATTATTTTTCGTTAGTAATGATTTATCGTTGCGTACAGATATAAATTAAATTTCTCTCTATATCCTATCTTTCCTACTTTTCACCTACAAAGTGACCCACCTCCTTCAAAACTTCGGCACATATTATCGTAATAGCATAAATATACATAGATCCAATATGATTCTTGTAAGTGATCTTTGTCTACGCCCTTAGCATAATATACCAGTATTATAATATTGTGTGGTATTATCAGGGGTTGAGTATAGGCAATATTTGAATAAAAATAGTCCCACACGCCACATCGCAAGTTTTACTTGTATGTAATCATAAAATAAACTATTACCTGCGGGCAACATCCCATACAATCTTAAATTTTCCTTTACTCTATCCAACTATCTTATTCTAGATCCTAGACTCTAGGACGTCTAGTAAATCGTTGGATATCTAGTTTCGTTGTTTTCCAAAAAATCCTTTCCATCTTCACACATCTCATAATAAAATTTATATTTCAGGTTTTAGAGCGTTGAGTATGCGGAATGTATTGGTTTTACAATGATGTTTATTTTCTATTTTTTTTCACTCTTGTTCTCACTTTTTGTCATTAACGTTAATCGTATTCTGCATCATTGTCACTAACTGTGCTTTGCTGATGACATGAAAATCTATATGCGCATTAACAATCATGACGACTGTGGCAAACTACAAAGCGATCTAGACCGTTTTGTTAAATACTTCAACTTGTTAGGAATATCTCTTAACATTTCTAAATATAAAATAATGACGTTCAGCAGAAAACGTTCTCTAATTGTTCACTCTTATAATCTGATAGGCTCCATACTATTGCATGTAGATAATTATGTTATTGACCTTGGTTTTAAATTTAACAATACTCTGGACTCTTGCTCTCATATCGACATGATATGTTGTAAGGCGTTGAAAGCACTGGGGTTCGTAATGAGACTGACCAAAGAATTTTCCCTAAACAACGCGGTATAAGCGTTATATTGTGCATTGGCGGAACCCATTTTGGAATACGGTTCACTAATTTAGGACCCAAATACTGCAAGCGGTTCTCTTCAGCTTGAAAGAGTCCAACGTAAATTCTTAAAGTACGCAAGTTTCATTTTAGGCATTCAGTGTCCCCCCCACACACGATTAGACTCCAGTCTCAAAGGTTCTTTACCTTAAATATCTAGCTGACCGTAGACGGATATTAGGTGAGACTTTCCTATGAGATCTGTTATCAAATGGTATTGATTCTCCTCCTCTTTTATCCCTTATAAACTTTAAAGTTCCGCAATGTTCTATCCGTACACCTATGTCCTTTTATATTCCCAAATCTAAAAGCAATTACATGAAAAATGAGCCGTTAGACGCCTGTAGTCTATCGCAAATGAGGATCTTTCTTTTTTAATCTAATTACCGTTACTAAGTATTATTTTTTTAATTATGTATACAATTATTTTAACAAAAGGAACAGATTTATGTGTACTTAATATCCACAAAAAAGCGCTTGAAAATATTCAAAAAAGTAATAGTGGTAAAGGGATTATTAAAGCGATCGAAATTTTGGTTTTACGGCGGCGTATACTTTGGAATTGTCGGATTCTGTTTTAACGATACGATAATAATAAATTATAATTTTTTTACTCGTAGTTGTCATATTATACCTACAGTTTTATTAACGGACCATAACGATAGTCGTTACTATAGTACGGTCTAGCTTCTACGGTTCATAATATCGTTTACAAAACTTAAAAACAATTAAAAATTAGTAACGCCGTGGCGTGCCATACATTTTTGAAAATTTTACCACGTCCAGCAAATAAAAGTTTTCTGTCACAATTCAAAGTTTTTACGAATATTTTTATAGAATCACATTAAAAAAAAAGCCGGGCAACTTTGCAGTGGGGTGCAACCACTGTTGTAAGTGAGAAGTTGGGAACATAGTAGAGGGGAAATATAATATATCTGTAAGCAACAATTAAATCATTGCTGAAAAATAGATTCTGTGCGGAATTCAATTGATAGTCTTGCTTTGTTAAGAATACACATATATACCATACTATGGTAAAATAATTATATAGGTATTATACAATAATTATTTAATAATATTTGTTTAATATTGTACCTATTTCCCTGCTTTTCTTACAGTTTTCCTGGTTTTACAATGTTTTTATCAGTTTTTCCCGTTTATGGGGAAAACTCCTAGGGAAAATAAAAAAATTATCTCTTGAAAATACCTCCTCGGTCAGATTTCCTTTTAGAAAAAATGCTATCATTGTAAATCGAAGCAAAATTGCTTCGAGAAAAGTTGTCCACAGAAAAAAAAGACCGTAATATTTTGATAATATATTTCGCACATAATCACATTTTCCCTGATTTTTCTTGGTTTTTCTAATTTGATAGGAAAACTCCTGAGAAAATCAAAAAATGACCTCCTTAAAGTACTTTTCTAGTCCGATTTTCTTTCAAAAAGTGCTCTAAACTTACAAATCGGATCAAGATTTCTGGTAAAAAAGTGGTCCATGTCCATAGTAAAAAAAAATAAAAATAAACTTCTTTGTAAAACCATAAGCTTCTTCACTCCACTTAGAATTCAAAACAAAATTTAAATAAATTAAAAATTAATTTTCTTAAATTTTTCTGTTTTTTTTTTTTTTTTTACATATTTTTCGGTTTTACTTAATTATTAAAAAAACTTTAAGTAGTTACCAAAATAGAAATTATTCAAGAAAATTGAAATGTTTCCTAACGGTTTCCAGGTTGGATATTAATTAAACAGTCAGTTCTTGAAACCATCTGTGCTATTAGGGTTAATATTATTTGAACAATTTAATGATTCATACTTTGTGGTATTGAATAAAATATAAATAACTGATATATAATACATATGGGTACATCGTACTTCATGGGCAACTGGTATAAGTAGAAATTTGGAACCTGCAAGAAGTTTAGTTAAACATTCTTAGCTACATGTAAATTAAAAATTGCCTTATTCTAAATTATAAAATAACAACAAAAATTTGAATTTAAAACATTTGCATTGTATAACATTAAAACTATTTTGACAACGTTCGACTTATTGACTTATTTTTAATTTCTGATCTGTACGAATAACTTATTATAAACCTGTTTTGTTTTATCAAGTCACATTTACTAAAAAGTTTGACGATGTAACCAAATTAAAAATTTAAAAAAAATCAGTATGGACGTGGCCTTAATATTATGCATAAAAAAATACGTATTTAATTACGAATTTTTTAAAAACAAAAAAATGGAATAGTAATACTAGTAAATCTGTCTAACGAATTTTCATGTTAATAAATCAATTTTATTTTCTAGGTTATAACTGTGCCGCCATCTAGGAAAGTATTATAAACTAAAACGCAATGATAAAATGAATCACTAGATCGCGCGTGTGGTTAAAAAAACATAATTCTTAATAGTTTTAAAATATTATTTTCCTCAGCTAATCGGCTTTTTTAGACTTTAAATAGAAAGGTGAAAAATATAATGGCGTGAATTGTGTTAAATTGTGGGGGTTGATGCCAATTTGTTGGACGACCTTAACTCACAGAGAGCACCACACTCTACAGCTTCTAACTATAAATATTTTTATTCTAAATTTGATATTAATAATATAATATGATAGGAATCTATTAGTAGTTAATAGATTCGTAATAGATTCCTAATAGATTAGGAATCTATTAGTAGTACGTATTATAATAAACATAAGTAGGTACACTATAAATAAGTACATAAGGTCGTTGAATACCATCAAATATCAATAATTATATTGTAACTATGTATGTTTAAACATAATGATACACCAATTCTTTGTACTCTCTGTATTGGTTTTAATATGATGTTTACCTTTTTAAAATTGTTTTTTTTTGTCAGTTTAAAACGTTTCCACTATAATAACTTGATAAGAATATTAAAAAATATCGAAAACTCTTTTGTGCTAAGTATTTTGGATCTTGTTGTTGCATTAAAAAAATTAGTTTTAATTACCCAAGTAGTTGTCAAAATAATTGTAAAAAGACGTCCTAGGATAATGGAGTCGAGTGCAGCTACTGTTATAAGTAACTCAACGTACACCTGTGAGCAACTATAAACCATTACTTACGAAAAAAACTATTTTGAGCGTAGTTCAGTTGATAGTGATGCTTTGTCAACAATATGTATGTCATATTATGGTATAATAATTAAATATGAATTAGATATTTTCTTTAATAATATTTGTTTAATTTGCCAATTTTCCCGTTCTTCCTACATTTTTCTCATGTTTTTTTTCGGTTTTTCACATTTGAAGAGAAAAGTCTTGAGAAAATCAAAAAATTACCTCCCTAAAGTACCTCCCCACACCAACAGTTTTCAAAGTAGTTGGATAAAATCGAAAAAGTAGGAAAAGTTTATGGAAATAATGTGTTAATTATTGTCATTATTTTTTTCTTGTAATTCAGCAGATTTGAATTTTTTTAGAATACATAAGTATATTAAAGTTTTCTAGTCCTTGTAAAATTTAGAAAAATTGATTTTTGAGCTCCATGTAGACAATTTACTTTTACTAGTAGTTTAGGTTTTCTTTGACTTTATTTGAACAAAATTGTTAAATTATACAGAAATGTTTACAAATTTATTATAAGTTATATTTAGTGGTGAAAAAAAATTGTTTGGTGTAATATAAAACAGTTTTTCATGAGCGTTTTACGATAAAATTTTGACAAAAATCGTAAAATATCAAGTGAGATAGAAAGGTTAATAAATTTTGATATTACATATATTCTTATTTATCTTAAAAATTAAAACATCGAAAAAGTAGCGTGAATGTTGTACGGAAAATTTCAAATCTTTCAGTTTGATATTAAGCAGAAAGATAAATATTGTATAATCGATTCACTCTTATATTAGACCTAATATCACAATGTTCAACGCAAATTTACCATTCCGTACATTTGTCGGACGATGCGGGTATCATATCATCTTAAGGGCCATTTCCACCAACATAAACGCTTTCATTTATCTAATTTAAATAAGATGAGTTTATTTGTTTACGATGGCTGACAACCGATCACAATTGACCGGTTTTCTTACGAACTCCGTTTAAAAAGCAACCTTTATGTTGGTGACAGCGACATTAAGTCTGTGAAAAAAAGATTTTACATTTTTTCATAACACTCCTTTTTAGAAATTCCTGATGACGATGAACCCGTTAATTCCGTAAACTTTATAGTTATATTTTCGTTTAGCCAAATTATTTAGAAAACTATACGAATAATCAATAAATGATTCTCTTACACACTAACTAGATACAATTTTCTTTCAGAAAAAATACTACTCTTGAAATTTAGAGTAATATTTTTGGAAGAAAACAAAAATTGAAAACGTTTTAACTTAAAATAATGAAATCGGTAACGCCGCGGCACGCCGTAAATATTTGTCTGTTTTTCCTACACGGTTTTCTTGTTTTTTCCAATTCTTATAAAAACCGCTTAAAAAAAAAATCAAAAAATGGCTTTCTAAGTGCACCAATTAGATACAAAAAGGTACAAAAAAATTCTTTTGACATTTTTTGATTGGAGCGAAATTGTAGAAACAAAAATTGTTTACAAAAGGAAAAAAATCCTAGTAAAATCGACAAATATTACTCTCTAAGAGTCTAAACAATTTACAAGACGTACGGTACGGCGTGAAATCTTCTGTATGAAAGAAAAACGCGTTATTGTTAATAATTATAACTTCCTTGCTATATTCTGTAAACATTTCATTTTCCTTCGTAAGGACTAGTTATCCAACAAGTAACAACGGTCTGAGTGCATATTGTTCAGGTTGAACACAAAATGCGCAGATCAAGATAAAAAAAAAAAAACACAACAAACTGACATACTTCGCACGATAGATGGGCTGCTGTTGTAGGTGAGAAGTTGGTAAGGTAGAGGGAAAATTTAATGTATATCTGTACGCAACGATTAATCATTGCTAAAAAAAAAAAGAAAAACGATTTTGAGAAACAAATCGAAAAACAATAGTGCAATGGCAAGATGAAAAAAAAAAAAAAACAACTATAACAACAAAATCTGAAATGACTTTTTTTCACATTTTTATTGTCAAAAATATTTCGTGATATTGGATCGAATGTAACGAGTACATTTCAAAAGTTAATCTCTTTTACACATAAAACAACTAATATTTTGATTGCACTCGACTCGTTCCATGAGTTTGCGGTTATTTCCACGCATTGCGCAACGAAAATAGCGATTTTTGATAAGCCCGACGTCTTGAAATGCATAACCGAGCTGCTCTCAGTCAAAACTGGTCGTTTTACGTGTGGAGGAGGAGCACTTTTGAAACGGGTCGAATTCATTCGGTCGGGAATCCCGAAATATTTTGGAAAAAAACTACGGACGAGAAAAAAAGTCGTTATAAATGTTGCCCGTTAAAATTGAAAAATTTAAAATCGTCCAGATTTCGCCTTGAACACTGTCGTTCCACCAGGTGCCGTTCCGGATAATAACGCTACGTGTCCCCTGCGCGTCGGCACCGTCGCCGGACCCGAGCGATGCGGACGACGCACCGTCGCCTGCCGCGGGTTAACGCGACGACGGCCGCAGGAGCAACGTCCTTCGGCGAGCGCGCCGCGGGTCCGCCGACTGTGGTATGCCGTTGTTTACGCTGCGCCGCGGCCGGTAACGCGTATCCATACAATAGGTAACCATCACGGTCGTCGTCGTCATCGTTGTCGCCGCTGTATAATATTATACAAGTAGCGTATGTTATTATTGTTGTTGGTGTTGTTGCTGTTGTTGTTGTTGTTGCTGTTGTTGTTGTTGTTGTTGTAGTGCGTACGTACGATATTAATATTATTGTGATGGCGTAGTCCGATCGCGTCGGCCCGGTGCCGTAGGCGGCGTTCTAACACGCGACAGCGACGGTCGTACGTAATCACGGAGTTCGCGTAGCACAGTGGTTCTTAACATGGGCGGTATTGTCCCCTAGAGGGCATTTCGGTAACGATGGGAAAATGAAAACCCGCGAGACACGGATCGTTTCTAAGCGGGTCGGTTACGGGTTTGTCTGGGTCAAGCGTAAAGACACGTCATATCCACAATTATGGCAAGAAGTTAAGTTGTTGCTTCTTTCCTTTTTGTCAACGTATCTGACCGAAAAAGGATTCAGCCTTGTTGTTCAGCTTTTGACAAAGCACAGAAATCGGTTGGATATTTCCAATGTAGGTGATCCGCGTTCAACTTTAACCAACATCGAATCAGACATCGCATCATGAGCAGCTACTCGCCAGGATGTCGCCGAAGAGGTATAATGAAACATTTTTTTTTTCCTCGTTTGTATCGTTAAGTAAAATCGTTTTGTAAAGCGGAGTCGAATAAAATAACGATTTACTTAATATTGAAATTAGAGATTTTTTTTTTTTTTTTCAATTCAGAAACGAAAACGAGAATTTGTTGATCGGTATAAGGGGGCGTCGACAGTCCGTTACCACGGTGAACGGGCGCCGAAGTGAAAAAGGTTGAGAACCACTGGCGCAGCAGTTACGGGTTCGCCGTGAACATCGGCGGCGACGCATGCGCGTCTCGAACGCGTCTTGTCCGCGGCCTGCCCGGGGTTGGAAAGGAACGCGCGCGCGAGTAGGCGACGCACAAGAAACTCACGCACCGCGCGCGCGCCCGAGAGACACGCCGGGAAATCGACGAACGATACGCGCCGTCCGCCGCCGCACCGCAGTCCTGTCTACGCCGTCGCTCCGTTAGGTACGCGCGCTCTCCGTCGTTTACTCCGTGCCGTCGTCGCGTTTCGGTTTCTCCGCGTTCAGTAATCGCGCGTGTAATACGCGTGGAATAACAATACGAACAAAAAAAAAAAAAAAATAAAATAAAATACCCGCGAGTGACGAAACGACGTGTATTCGTTCAAGTCCGTCCGTCCGCCGCCGGGAATCGTTCGTTTTCCACCGCCGCGATTTTTATTTTCGTTATATAACACGATTCGATACGATTATGTTACACTGTTTGTATACGCGTGTTTGAATACGAGACAATACGAGAAGGTACAAAACCGTACGGACCGTACGCGTCGACGCGCCTTTAGTTGTTCTGCGGGCGGCCACCTACGCCGCCACGACAACAGCGTTCACAATCACTCGTAACCAGGTGAGTAAACGCCGCGACCCCACGTCAATCCCTTTCGCACCCGCGATGCCGTTGTTAAAAACGGCGTTGTGTTTCCCCCCCCCCCACACCTCGGATATTTTTGTCCGGCCGGCTACAAAAAAACCGGGGTATTGTTTCGCCGTCCGTTCCCGGCTACAAAACAACACACCTCCGTCGACGTCTGACGACAACACGTACAGTCATTGCGCGGCACTATCAATGGCGTTTCCGCGAAAAGACCGCTGACGAATCGCCGACGAGTGTGTTGTAATATTATCTACGCGCGTCGTCAAACGGCGTTTATCGTTCAATTTCGATTTATCGTGAACTACTCGGCGGCGTTGATGAGCCCCAGTAGTTTCCCCCCCGTTGGCCAGAGGATACTTTTAGATACACGTGTCCAAAAGGCGTTCTTTTTTTTCTCTCGAAAACCCCTTTCGTTCGTATTTTCCAACAAGATCGTCGAATCCCTCGCAAAAATCATTCAGGCCCGTTTCAAGTCAGAAAATGTGCCGTTTAAAATGTACATTGTTTTTGCACTTATGTTTCTAAATAGTTGTGTATAGTCGATGGCTCGAACGAGGAATGGTTAAAAACGACCGTAAATCCTATGTGAAACTGTGTAAATATTTAGAACTCAGTTATCATGTCAATAGTCAACGGGTATCACATGATTCGACAATTCTAATTCAAAAGCCGGATCCGAAAAAGCCAGTTTTCATTTAGGAATCGAGTTTTTACCTTCGTATCTTGGCTGAAATACGTATATTATAGTTTCGATATAAAATTGCTAAATAAACACTCATCGATGTAGTATTTTAAGCGACTGGGGGTATAACTCCTTTCCTCCTCCACCTCCTTTGCGCACCACTGTCATACAGTTATAACGTTTCGTATGCCACCGGAGCGATCGAAAGTAATAATTTCTATGCGCACTTGTGTACAGTGTACGCCTATATAATCTCAGTTTGTTGTAATGGCTACATTAAAGGTAGGATTACGTGTTTGTGCGGTGAAATCACGTTTAGTCGGATCTATTGATAATAATCGTTGTCATCGGCGTTTCCGACTCCAAGGTTATGCACGTGGAATACTAATACTCGGCGAATAATAATATTATTATTATTGTCGTAGGTACACCTATATAAGGAATATTATTATTTCCAAACCGTAAACAATCGATACGTCATGAATGCAGACTGGGTAATTATTACGCGTTATACCTGTCCCGGTGATTTGGTAGGTATCCGTCGAGATTATTGAACTCTGGTGGACACTGTCCTGTGGCTAGTGTAGGATTTCGTAAGTCACACAAATTTAATGGTGGAAGTCACTGTTGCAGAGTAGTAGGGCTCGTTAAGCGAGAAGTGTATGTTATAAGTATTTAGGAAGTAACGGAAACGAGAATGTTATTAGATGTGGTGTGTTGACCTGGCCGGATAGTGCGCATTAGGAATGCACATGATGTGGGCACGTTGACAGAAGGGGAAACGATAAGATTGGCGGGGGTCAAGTGTTGACGGGGAAGAGGTAGACCGAAGAAAGTGGCTAGAGGTTATGTGTTTATGGGGCTGCATACGAACTGAGTGCCAACAAAGCCTTTTAGAACGAATTGAGTCCCGGATTGTTTTACGGTATATGCTAACTGGACACCGTCAAACTTTAAAAAATAAAATATACATTTTCCTTTCCATTTTTACAGACCGAAAAATTCCGCTACAGGCATGGTTAAAAATGTTTTTTTTTTTTTTTTAAGTTAATCTTGAAAAACAAATAGACATATTTCGCAAGGCCACTGTTGTAGGTGAGAAGTTGGAAAAGTAGAGGGAAAATTTAATGTATATCTGTACGCAGCGATTAATCATTGTTAAGGATAAATGATTCTAAGCGAGGTTCAGTTATACACGTTTTGAAAGGCCGTATAATATTTACGATTTGAAAATAATACGTTTCGTACATTTTCCGGTCTTTTTCCGATTTTCCCATTTATTATAAAAACCTCTGAGAAAATCTAAAAATGACCTTCCTAAAGTACCACCGCGGTCAAATTTCCTTTCAGAAAAAGTACTACACTTGAAAATCACACACAACACTTGAATAATGTTTGGATGGGCTGAATAAAACACAGAATTGAACTTGAAATGAAAAAATGTATAGGTGTTGGTGGTCCTTGTCGATAAATGTATAAAGGAGGCCCACATTTCAGGAGGATAATTGGTATAGTTTTCGTTTATATACCCGGGACTCAATCAGTATGTTATTTTGTTTTCGATCAAGTATGGGTCTCAATTAGTATATATGATGCACCGGTTCAAGTTCCCAATACCGCAACCAACGATATTCGCCAACTTTTTTCAATGAATATTTTACAAAAAAACTACCGTGGTACAAATACTGAAAAAGGACAAAGGTCATAACAATGACGTATAAAATATTCGCTCAACAATTTTAGTAAAAATTCATGGTTATATGGGCTGAGGATATGGACATTAAGGTTATATTATATGTGCAGGGGAGATTCAACGAGGGCATGTGGTGTAGACGAAAATACATATGACGGTGATTTAAGACAGATTTTCGGTGTCCAAATGTTAACACACATTAAAGTTCACAACGAAACCTTTGCGGTGGAGTAAGATTTCGTTTACTGTATGTCTACTAGAAAATGAATGGTAAATGATTGAACCGGTAGATTTTATAAAGGAAATACACTCGCTGCCGGTAACTAGGGAAAGTCCAAAAGTTAAGTGGGGAAGCTTTGGTCTATCTGCTCGTGGGGATTTTTTTAAGGAAGCGGTAGTGGACGTCACGTCGAGGATATGATATTCACTAAAAATGCACGTGACGGTACCTCTGCGTATATCATTCGTATATCATTCGGGTATGATAAATGTAAAGCGAGGCAGGAGAAAAGAAAACGTGATGTACTCATGCGTTCGGTTTGGTAGATACACTCGTAATATAAGTGAATATAAGTTGCGCAGCCGCAGAAAATTGCGGGAGGAAAATCAGGTTTCCCATAAAAAGAGATTCCCGTACAAATAGGTACTTTCTATGGGTATATTACGCGATAGACTGGTCAAGTGCTTGCGGATGCTGTCTATATACAACATACATATATTCTATTCTATTGGTGTATGCAACGTAATATCGTTTCGAAATCGAAAACTGCAATTCTTCATACGATGCTGAGTGATGGCAAAACTTAATAATATTTTTACATTTTCAAAGAAGCGAAGAATAATGTATTGGTTTTACTATGGTAAACTATGTTTCTTTTTGTGTCTGTCAACTTTTTTCCCAGAAATCTTGATCCGGTCATCGACTTTAGGGGTGGTGAATTTCAGCTACTCTCGGTGCATTGCCGAAGTCATCAAGGTTTAATTTTCTTTGTAATTTCCTTAATAATCGGAAAACGTACAAATTTCCATTGGAAAAATCGCGGGCATTACGAAACTCGTTTAACCACGCATTCGGTTCAGAATCGATTTTCGTTAGCATTTTATTGTTTATTTTTATTCTTTATTCTTTTATTCTATGTATAAAAACCACATCGAATAACAACAATAATGGTAATGCTAATGCCGGGATTTTTCCCCCTCGTCGTGTAGCCACATCGCGATGATAATAATATCCACCACCTGTCAACCGCATAATATCGTGTAAAATTGCGTCCGCAGACGAACTTTTATCGTTGTTATAAAACCGACACGACAAACGCCAACGGTAATACGTATACTGCGTACAGGTATAATACACGACTACACCGCAGTCGAATTGTTTCCACGTCCAATACCACCTTATTTTTTTTTTCGTTTTTTTTTTTTTTTTTTACCACGTTCGACAGTATATTGACAGGTATGTTTTTTTCCTGCATAACTGTTTTTGTTTCGTCCTGGACCCGTTGAGTATAATACCCAGGTAGGTACATTTTTTTCGTTCGGGTTAAGTCATGTATATATATATATCTAGAATAGGTATATATATAGTCACGTCTCGTATCACGACAGCTGGAACGTGGTTGGAAACACGCACGTTTACCTTGCATAGGTACGGAAAATAATAACAATAATATTTCAAAGACATGTAATAATGATTTCGTACAGTGGCCGCGGAGACGATTATTGTTATTGTTATTATTATTATTATTATTATTATTATTATAGGTACGTATATGCATTTTATATGCACATTGGCCAACCTTCGCGAGGCGACGTCCTGGAAGAATCGAACTATAAAACGGTTATCATCTATTATCGTTGTTATTATTATTATTTTTATCGTCATTGTCGTGCGGACGGGCGAATATAATAATAATACGGTCCGTGATGGCGGTTCACCAGAGACGTGCGCATCGTGTGCTTAAATATACACAGGGTGATTCTGTCATCACGATCCGGCGATTTTCGCGGGGCGTATTTGAAGTGAATTTATTGCAAGCGATTTCTGTTGCGGAATCGTTTAAACGTCGGATTTCCCACCATTCTGCCTCCACGACTATTTTTTAAAAACAGACAAGATTACATAATAATATAGGTTTTTAAAACAATGTCGATACGCTTAAGGAGTTGGGTTGAAAAATGGCCTTGTGAAAACAACAGAAATCCAATTCACTCGAAATCCTCCGAGGAAATCCCACGAATCGTGAAATGTTTATGTACGCGCATAGCTATCTATTCCAATTCTTGTAATCGTATACTCCTGTCGCGGCAGATTTGACTGCTTTTGTTGAATTATGTCGGTCGGACCGCGACGCGAACATGTGGCGATGAAAATGACGTCCCTTTTTGTTTTCTCGTCGAAATATAAATATTAATTTTTTGCTTTTACATGCTGGGAAACTAAACGAACACGAGAGAGCCGTGTGTTGCAGGCAAGCGAGTTTAGTGCACGGCGATATTTAATTTTTCCCATCGATATTGCAAAATCGATGTTGCGCACTGTAAACGCATAAAGACGCATTGGCTATTTTAAACGGAACAACAAAAATTTTATAATATCGTGACGGTGACATAACACCATAGTCGGTCGCACATCTCTTGTGCAGAACCGAATTGGGCAATGGAATTAGTGCCCGGGGCCGATCCAATCCGCGCGGTGTTAGATAATATTCTACGAAGAAAAAAAACCGCATTTTTTATAACGTAACTTAATAATGTTTAGTCGTATTGCAGACTGCAGTAATTAGTTAACCGACGGACCGACGAAAAAAATGCTTCTGCAGTTATAACCCGTCATTTGTATCATTTATGAGCGCCGCGTTTACTCCGTTAGTATTTTGAGAACCACTTGCCCATTTATTATTTGATTCTTCTGATGCTGTTTATACCTCCAATCTACATATTTACAAACATACTTTTGTAAATACAATAATTTTTATGAGTATTTATTTAAAAGATATCGATGTACAATGTCATCAGTATCCGTAAAGTGAGCGTTGTATTCGCTGCAACTAAACGTCATGTCGGAACACCCGGGCCAAGACGAATGATGGCATAAATTTTAATTTTTTTTGTTTGAAGTATGTATAGTTGAGAAAAAATGTTAAAACTTTTTCTGTAAAAGATTAAAATATAAATAATTTGGTGTTGGTTTAAATGTTCTGTGTTTTTTTTATGTAAAAAATAACGATAAAAAAAATAAAGAGGTGAGCGCGGCGCTTAATCAACACCAACGGTGGGATGTTACGTAACGATACCAACGACGTGTTAAAATGTTATGTTAAATATTTTTTTTCTCGTTAAATACCTTTTACGTTTGTATAAATGCCTCGTTTCCTTCACGTCAAAAGGACTCGTCTCTAATATCTGTTTTCTTTGTCTGTCTCACGCTTATTATAGCAACAACAAAGGCATTCCGAATTTCCATGATTGCGATTATCCAATTGAATTTTTATTTTTTCTTAATGTTGCACCCACTATTTATTTCTATAATATTAAAACAATTTTGCCGGGGTCTGTAATAAAATATTGGTTTTTTGTTCGATCTTAATGTTTTTGTATGTGACGTAGTATTACGAATTGTATGTATATGATTTTGTAATAATTTTTAATCTATATAACTAAAAGTTATTATACTATTATTATTACCATAACCCAGTAAAATAATTACATAGGTAAGTTTTTTTTAAATACTATATATTAACAATCGCGTACAATATAATTCAATAGTAATTGTTTATTTAAAAAAAAAAAAAAAATCGTGACAAGCAAATAACCTTAAATTTACGATTGTATTTGAAAAAACAAGCAAGAAAAAAAATCATGTCATGACCGTATCTTAACAACTCTTTTTTTTGTTTTTCTTATGAGCAATATATGCATCTAATTTTGTTTTTTATTTTAAATCACCGTATGCGATAATATATACAATCACAACATTGCACATTTTTAAATTTACAAAAAAAAAAACCCATTACCATTGTATTGTTTTTTTTTTCAATACCTCGCGCAGTATAGTCGAAATTTTTGTTATTATTATAGTATATTAAACGCTTTCGGCAAACTTATCGTTTTATCGTCTTGCTAGTTTCTGTACCTAGTTTTTTCTTCCTCTGAAAACATGTACATATTATTATTTATGTGAAATTTAAGGAATGACGATTTTATTCCACGTTCACGAATGTTGGTATTTAATTTCGACCAATAACATACAGGTATAGTGGCCGAAATCCCCAGATATATCTATATATAGTCTTTACGTTTTAAATAATTCTAAACACTATTGCTGTCGATATTCGTTCAATAACTGATAATATGACCACGTATTATAGACGCAACTAGACCTCTAGCCTGGTAGGAAAACGAAGAATGCTAAACGGATGAGTAAAAAGCGGAAGTCGGAGATTAAGAGGCCATTTCAGACTAAGTCCAATTTGATTGCGTACGGCCCCATAAATAATCAAGAATGAAAATTATTTGTTAATGCGTTGTCCTTGAAATACAATCAATTTTGAAGTGATTCCTATTATTGATGATGACGGTAATTGTTTATTCCGCATGATTTCTTATTGTTTATATGGTAGTGAAGATAGAAATGTTGAAATACGTTTGATTGGTATTGTTATTGTGTGTATATGATCCCTTTGGTCTCCCATTTGTATTTAACAAAAAAAAAAGAAAAAAAGAGATGCCGTTTTAAAAATCAAAAAAATCAAGTTCAATTAGATATTCGTACCAAAAATACCTAAAAACCTAATTATTGCCATTTTAGTAGGGGTCTTTAATTTTTTTGAAAATATAACATAGCCCATCTCACTCGCTGATAATCAGCTTTTTATCTTTTTATAGGTGAAACAAGTTTTAAAATCGGTTAAGTAGTTTTTGAGCTTATTCATTACAAACATACAAGCGAATATTTTCTCTTTATAATATTATTACCTAGTATAGATTATATGACGTATAATTTCGGTTAACGTATCATGTATCTGTAATATCTGATATTTTTTTACAATGACCACAGTTAAAGTGCGTTCACAATACTGCTAGTTCGTAATGATATCTTTACGTAGGAGCGAGCAAATCATTTTTTAAAAAAAGAAGAAAAAGTAATTTTCTTGTTCCTGCGAAACGTAGTCCATTCAACATTCAATATTATAGTATATATATGGTCAAGAATAACGGGACGATATGAAATGCGATGTACGTATACTATATAAACTATACCTAAGTAAACGAAGTATACACCGACCATTGACCGCCGATCGATATTGTAATCCGGTTCACGTTACAGATCTATCTATCAATGACTATAGGTATGGATATCTGCTATAATAATAGCCGCGAGTCAAAACCGGTTGTCGTGAGTTTGCAAATTGAACATAATTGCGCGTCAGTTGACAACTTGTTGAATGCTGCTGCTGCTGCAATAATTCGATCGATGTATACTGTGGTATACCTATGGATTTTATTGTGCTACAGAATATCCGATTTTTTTTTGTACACCCTCAAAATATTATCTAATATATCGGGTACAATACAGAGTGTGGTGTAATGCCATCGCCCGATTTCTATTTTGACTCCCCCGTTATTTAGAGATTCTACGTCTTTCCGATCGTGATGTTTTTCTACTTCAAACGGGGATTTTTAAAAGGCCTCATTCCTTCCGTATTATCTCCTATTATACAATGCGTAAAAGTGGATACCGATTTCGCCAATACGCGTATCTAGACAACTGTAATCTTTTACTTTATAACCGTACAGAATATGTTCTGTTTCAAATGTGTAAATATCGACTGGTTTAAACTGAATTTAAATTTATAAAAAATATAATAACTTAATCGGGTGTTTGTTAAAAAGCGAAAACATAACAATATTATTCGCGTTCTGTACATACAATAATTATAATCGTCCTCGTTGTTGATTTTAATAAAAAAAATATATATTTCTGCAGTATAGTTTTGGATGTAATATTATGATTGCAGCAGTTATTGTTCCTGTATAAAATAATAATAGCGCGGTGCGTATAAATTTTATAATTTCATTATCACAATATTTTTATGTCTTATGGCCCATTGTCTTTTATACGGTATATGTTTATTAGAATATTATTACTTCACGTTGTATTGTTATTATATAGTTGCAGTAATCCATTATTCAGAAACCGTATACAATATTATCGAAACGAGTATAATGATTTTTAAACCTATGAAAGATACTTTTTGTGAATAATTGCGGTAGGTAACCTATAATACGCATATATTCTACACCAGCGATGCAGTTATAATAATAATAGCGTTATGATGAAATACCGCTGACTCGGTGACTTAAACGCGGGTCGTCATCGGAAAGCCGAGTGAATATTGAACTCTCCGGTTGGCATATAATAAAACTGATTTAGAAATTAATATTTAGCTACGATAATAGTCCGTTAATTATTATTATAATAGACCGTTATCGAGCTAAGATAAAAAAAATTCCAAAAATTGGCATAAGCCCTTCTTCCACGGGACCAACGATGTATAAAGTCTCCGTGTAAGTTTTGATTTTATACGTCCTATAGACAACATGTATTATACAATTAGGCATTAAAAATTGAATTATCATATACTATAACATAGTGTTTCCGGGCGCGGTCGCGGGTTTCTTCGTGTGGCATAATACGACATTATTGGCTAATGACACACAATTCTCCTATATACATACAGACACTGTTCAAGAGACAAGTGTGTATACACATATTATGCGCACACTCGTGGATTTTCGTACGGGTTAGGTACCCGTGCAGCGTATAAGTCGTATCGAAATACGACTACGCGTCTATTGCGAAAAAACCAAGCCGCGGTGTCCCAGAAAAATATTAAATTATTATCTATATACTATCGTCGTTGGCGCGCGGTGACGACACATCCACGCCGCACAGCGAACACAATCGGCCGCATTCCTCGGTGTTCTGCGCGAGCGAAGATATTTATCGCACGTAGCCATACATCATATATACGTATACTTATCGGTTATTTACGTATAGTCTGCAACACACGCGCATATTTATACAAAAGTACGGTCAATCATACGAGCAAGTGACCAGGAAACGATTATATTATTATAGCACTGATGGCCGAACTTATATAGGTATTAGGTGTATCGTTACGCAATCGAGGAAAAAAGCGGCTTTAGGGCAATTTTAAGCAACAGTTTTTAAGATTTACGAGCTATGTACGAGATGCTCGTTTATAATATGAGATACTCGTGACATAATATATATTATGATAAACGTACACGATTGTACATCTCGAATAATAATTAAAGGGGTTTAGACGAAAGTTATCATCAGATTGTATAGATACTATTTGTACGCACGTTACGTATGCATCGGATGAACAATGAATAAAAAATTAGCTACACCATTAATTTTCTAGTCGTTCGTTCCTGCATCACTCTGTGGCTCTGAAAAAAAAAATCGCGTACCTCCGCTAAAATACCGATTATCGTCGAAACGTCGAAATTTTTCAGCCGTACAAAAATAATAATAATATCGCGGATCCGAGTATCTACCTGCAATTATTTAGATGACACTGCGGGTTGGATGGTGTAGAAAACGGCGACGACCGTATCGTTTTAATTATTATCATATTATTATAATCGTATCTTGTGTCTAGGTTAGTGCACTTTCAAGGTTGTCAACCCTTTTTGTCGCGACCGCAGTTTCAACTATAATAATAGGTACACGTGCTAATTAAATAAATGCAACATCAAACTGCGCATGGAATATCGTATTTAACAAAATTATTTTTGAAACATTTTCCTACGGAGCACGCATAGTCCTTTTGCTGCTTCAATATCAAATCCTTCCAGATCTATCTCGGTTATCCGCTTCTACATCCATCAAACTCGGCATCATTATAATTTACTCCTTCAATAACTTAACCTTTTCAGATTCGATCTGGCCTACAACGATAACGCGGCCTTTCTCGTGGTCTTTTCTTACTAGAGTACTTGTTAAACTGTTTGTTTATTCTTATCATTATTCTTACTTGTTATGATTTAATCATATGCAATGTTTAATTATTTTTATTCTTTGGTAGATCTGTTTCGAATGTCATGACCTTGTTAAAGCAAGCGCATAATATGATTGGTAATATTTTACCAAGCTTCCCCTTTTATTTTTCACATAATTTCTGTTACTGACCTGATTCCTGTTTTAAACCTTTGATTTACCCAATAAATCGGCTAGGGTTCACTTAGACGTCGTATATTTTTTTTTGGCACGTATACTTTACCCAGACTAATTTTTTTTTTTGTAAACCGTCTCTTATTATATGACTGATAAATTTGACGCTGCATTGAAAAGAAAAATCGTCTATTTTCTTGGATGGTAAATACCTTCAATATCGATGCATTTTTATTTCTTCTTCATATTTAGCCTTTTTCTATACCATACAATCTCAAAAGATTCTAGTATTCTATGACAAAATGCATAGTTTTTTATGTTGCTACGGGAACACCAGCGTGTTTTCAACAGATATACTTAAGTCTTTGTTTCTTTTCTTATGTTATTGTTCTTTCTAATAATATATAACACTATATCAATAATAATGATGCTTTTAGTTTTGAATTTAAAATCAGTAAATCTACAGGTATCATACAATGTTATCTTTATGCTAATAACGGCCGTAAAGCATTTGCGCATCGTCTACCTGTACCAAATTATCGTATATCATATGCGCATAAACATACTGAACAATAGAAGGGTGTAAAATAAAATATAGACACAAGTTTTTGTTAAATAAGCATTTAAAGTTAAAGTTTTTTTAAAGTTTTTAAATTTTGACAAAATTCACGAAAATTTCAAAATGTTATGTAAAATTATTCTGTAGTTAAAAATTTAAGATTAAATTAATCTAATATAAATTTGATTATTTGAGTAAAATTAAAAATAAATTGTGTTCATTTGAATTAAGCACTAAAAATAATATTATAAAGCAATACTTCGTATATTGTTTTGTTTCATTATTTTTATAAAATGAAACTTAACTGATTACCTATACAATATTTGAAAACTGAATTGTAAATTTAGAAATATATGAATTTTAAGCTTAGAAAATAACTTAAGTTTTTGGGTAAATACGCGTTTTTTCAGTTTGATTGTTAAATAATATTGATACGTAAATGATGTAAGACCTTTTAACCGATTGATGCGCAAACGATTTATAACACAAAAATCGAACAATGCGCAACTGTCTTACGAAAAAGGTCAAAATTAACAACAGTGATGCGCAAACGAAGATCGCCCCTAATAACTCTGTCAATATTCATCTTTTCCCTCTCTATTTTTTTCAATCGGGTTTTGTACAACACATATGTAGACAAAAATTTAATTTTCATTTTCATCTCTTAATCACTGAAAACAATAACTTTAGTTTTCCATTTTTTAAAATTTTCAAAATAGCCATTTTGTTAAATATATTATTCTAAAAATGTTAATGTTATAGTCACTAAAAAATAAAGAAAATAGGCGTGAAAACAATTAATATTCAATAGAAGATGAGGAATTGCCGTACTTCCTTATCGTGTAACGTGGTATTCTATTGAAAATTAATTGGTTTCACACCAATTTTTTAGAAATTAAAACTGCTATTACTAAGAAACTATTAATCGGATATGATTGTATGTTACATTAAAATTTTTAGAATAGTATCTTTTACAAAATGGATCTTTTAAAAATTTTGAAAAATGATAAAATAAAAATTTATTTTTTTTTCAATAATTAAGGGATAAAATACTAATTTAATTGTTCTTTACATTATTTGTCCCCCCACGCACAAAGCCCGATAAAAAAAAAATGCATACAAATGAATATTGATAGAATTATTAGTATAAAGATAACACTGTAAGACACCCTGCACGTACATTATTATTTTCAAAAAATGATCGTTATATACCTCCACATAAAACGGATAATTCGAACATTTCGTCATTTAGTTTGCGTGCAGGTGTTTCTAAACTATCGGCCGATTCTAATGTAATAACTTTTACTACTGCTGTAAAAAAAAAAAATCATTTTATCATTATATACTGTATTAATATGATATAGTTTCCTCACTCCGCGTAGCTCACGTTTATATAGATTATCAAAATAACCTAGTTNTTTTTTTTTTTTTTTTTTTTTTTTTATTGAGAACGTTTGGAAAAATATAAAAAAATGAATTCATTAAACCATATCCTTCTTCTTAACGCGCGTTTAATATAATATATTATATATTAATAACTTAGGAATACGAGTTCTTTGAGGACATTACGAAAATTAATCGTTCGAAAAAATGTAACTCGCGCGCGGTCGACGTCCTTGGGCGATAGAAAATAAAGATTAGAAAACATAGTATACGCGTAGTTGTAATATCTTAAAGAGATTATTTATGTCTTCTGTGATGTTAATAATTTAGTGGATAGTGAAAATGTTAAAATACAACATTCAATTACGTCTCGTGATAAGTATACCTGGGACATTAATTCGATAATTTTGTTGAAACCTGTTAAATCCATTACATCGTATCGCTGCAGCGATCCACAAACTACTAAATTTTATTTTCAAAATTGATAAAAAAAACTTTCACCGTTTATTCGAGTAAATCATATTATAAGCGACTCAATCAATAAACAAATGTTTTGACACGTCGGTGTAAATATATGTATATATAATCTGCATAATATTACGTTTGTGTAATTCATTTTTCATTTTTCAGTCGGACTTATTTCGATTTTGATTAGTTTATTATCTATGAGTTAATAACATGTAGAATTTACTTAGACGTATACACCACGAAATAATGCTACAGTTGGCTACCGTATTATTTTCCACTGTGTTTTTAAATTTTGAGTGGGTGAAGAATATATTGGTTTTACTATGTGTTTTTTTTTTTCTATTTCAGTAAAAGTACGACTACTCTACTTATTTTTTTCTCGTTAGGTTCTGTTTTTATTAAAATGTGTTTGACTTATTATACGCCTATACTGTTTGCTTGTTGCGTAACATAATAAAACCTTTTCTAATCCGGTTGGATAATACGACGACGACGACGCGACGCTCGATCAAATACTCGTACAATATAATATTGTCAATTGAATTATATCAAGTCAATGTTTGTGTAGTCACGAAAAATTCGTTTCAGTTAATTCAATTACAAATAAAACGACCACTGCGGGTATGAAAAAGTGAAGCGATTTTGTATTGTTGTTGATTTTTTGTCGGTATACCCGGTACTATCATCGGTTCGGATCCAGCGTATTCTTCTATACGGCCGTAATTTAAAAAAAAAAAAAAAATACACTTAAAAAAAATAAATACAAATTATATTTAAACCGGATTTTCGGATTTGTCTTGATTTTACGAAGCAACTACGCAAAACGAAATAAAATCGAATATTGTAAGAGCATCAAATTAATTGGTGGAAAATTCGACTTTAGTCACGGAGTTCTACTGCTACTCATGTGTTTTGTTTTGGATGTGTAAATAATTTTTCTACCAGAAATCTCATTCTAATTAAAAACATTACAAGAACTTTTTTTTAGTATTTTTGATCCAGGTATTAAGGTGTTAATTATTTATTTTTCTTGCAGTTTTCTTAATAAATAAGAAAAACTGGTAACTTTTGTTATAATTTATGTTGATTTCTGGGTTACCTTTATTAGCAACAATAAAAAAAAATACGACTAATAATACTTTGCTGAGAATCGTATTTTATTAGTAATAGTTTATTATTGAATACTGATATCAATTAAATTATTCTATACATCCTCCTTTTTAACTTCCTTTCTAAAACAATGACATACCCTCCTAAAAAAGTGATATACTCATTAGCAGTTTCAGCCTTTTAGATTCTGAGCAGAGCAGTGAGGAATTTATTGGTTTCACAATTATGTTTTTTATTTTTATTATTTGTGAACAACGTTTCTACTAAAAATCTTGCTTCGATTTCCAAGTGTAGTACTTTTTCTGAACGGAAATTTGACTGCTATAGTATTTTAGGGTTAATTTTTGATTTTATCAGGGTTTTTTTTTATAATAAATGGAAACTCCGAAAGAACCATAGGAAAACCCGGAAAATGTACAAAATGTATTCAAATCGTAAATATTATGACTCCGCTGACTTCGCTCAGAATCGTTTTTTGTCAGAAATGATAAATCGCTGCGTACATATATACATTAAATTTCCTTTATACCTTCTCAACTTTTCACCTACACCAGTAGCCCACATATTGTGCAAAGTATGCCTGTTTGTTTTTCTATTGTTTTTTAATGTAAATACAAATTACGATATAATAAACGACTTAATAGCCCGTCAATTTATATTTTGTTACTTCAAGTATCAAATATGTTATGTCCGATTTGTCATTAAGGTATTTGGTAATTTTGTTTAATGGTTCGTCTGAATGTAATATTACATAAAAAAATTATACTCCATTACCCTACTAAAAAAAAATTAATAAAATCGCCGTTATACCTGTACATAATAAAATATACCTTATACAAATATATATGGCAAAATATCAAGAAATCATTTTAATAAATATAATTTTAAAAAACCAAGGTGATCGGTCTCGAGAATATAATATAGGCTACCGCACGGGTCGAAGGAAGTATTTTCAATAGAATAAGGTCGAGATAATATCTGTGATTTAAATTAAATTATGTATCGTATTTATATTAAAGGCGTTGTACTTAATATTATTAGTATTATATATACAGTGGTATCCTTGTTAATCTTGATTTTAATTCGCATATTATAATAATTATCGAGTGTGTAGTATATTGTTTTAAAAACCGGTCGTTTTTTTTATAATTTTAAAAATTCAAATAGATAATACGCGTATACGAATATACAGCTCAATATACTTATATCGACTCTCATATTTTATGTATTTAAGGTTAGGTTAGGTTAGTATAGTCTCTTGAATCGGAAGAAATATTTGGGTTTGTATTTTGAATAAAATGTATTTAGATCCATCTAAAACAAACAAAAATGACTTTTAAAACTGATTTTAAAAATAAAAGGCCTGTATAACATTATTTATTGTATACAATTCGTAGATTACGACGTTTTAAAGAGAACTCCGTTTGCGTTTTACAGTTACTCTCTAAATATTCAACTCGTTATCGAAAAAGTACGAAAAATCGTGTTTTGCAATTTTGTATTGTTTAAATTTTCGTCTTTTTTTAATAATCACCGACCTTCAAAAAAAGACAACGATGTTATCATATTGTCTTTAAAATTTTATCATTTTTTATTTTAATCTTTTATAGAAAAATATTTAGAATCTATAATTATAGATACTATACATTTGATAGTAGAAGGTTCACGAAAAACAGGAAAGCATGATAGAGACAGCTATTGGAACTATCCCTAAAATTGCTGTCATTTATAAATCGTATCTCTAAACCGAATTCAATAGCCTATTCGTATAATACATTTTTGCTACATTGTCTGTTATAACGAAAAATAGAGATGGCAAATGCCACTGTGATGGCCTCTTTAATAATTGTTTTTTCCTGGTTGCAGACACGTATAATCGTATGACAAACGTCGCATATCCGATAATTGTTTGAATTGTATTTACGAATAGATACTTGCCCAATTTATCTATATAAAAAAAAAAAAACACCGTATCGTTTACCATCGTAACAATGTGATATGTTTGCATGTATGGTAACATATCAATAGAAAAACGTATATGACGAAATCGAGACGTTCGTTTAAAAAAAATGATTATACTATGACCGAGAAGGTGTTTTTTCAAGATAATATTATGTTTCCGATTTAAATTAGCTAGGTATACATTTTATTATTATTTCACTCTATAAGATCGCATTACAATGTAATATAACATTATTATATTTTGCACGTGGCATTTATGTACACTCGGTGACATATCAACTCGTATTACCAATGTTGACATATGTTGATATCGTTCAAAATAAATATAATACGAATATTTCGAATTACGTTTCACAATAAAAATTTCACACTGAATCAGATAAAAAATATCTGATCAAATTTGAATCTGAAAATTGGCCGGATCCAAATCTAACCGAACCTTATCTACCTAAACTTTTTAATAATATTATGAATAAGTATTAGTATCACATAGTATATTGTGGTATTAATATCCAACGTTTAAAATGTCCCGACAACAATTTACTCGTATTGATAATACCCATACCGGTATTTATGAGTTTTTTTTAATTTGTTTGTTTTAGGTGGTCCAGAAATGGGCTCGACTATTACCATATAGTTTGAGAACGTTACCTGTCATACGACGACGTCCGTCATGAACTGCAATTATTTTTCATGGAAACTAGTGTTGGTCACTGTGGTATGTTTCGCGTGCAGGACCGCGGGCCATGTGGCACTCACATTTCCACCAGCTCGATCGTACGACCTCGACTTCCTGGACACGAGCCGAACACCCGGCCCATGTGGTATGCCCAAAGGTGAGTGTCTCTATAAGCATAATGAAATGTATACCATTTTTTTCTTCTTCTCTAGTTTCTGTAGGCCTCTGAAAAATGTCCCGTATCTTATATCCAATGCTCCATAATGTTCTTTGTTATTGATTTTTCTTTTCAGTTCGAACCTAAGTCTGTGGAAGAAATTTCACATAATGTTTTTATTACATATTTTCTTATCTCATTCTGAATATTCCCAAAGGATTTTTACCACGCGGATTCCTATTCTATACGCCGCTTTTATCGTATAGCTTATTTTGAATCTTAAATAAGTGTATCGTGATATAATATACAATTGTATCTAAGGTACTGTTCAACCCTACTTATGTTTTGGAATAAGGTTCACTTTCTTTTTCCTTCTACACTCTCTGCTGTCTTTTATATTTTGTTGGTCCGAAAATTTTTTTTTTTCTTTCTAGAACTTTTTCTGGTCTAATTTTCTGCTAGTGACCTAAATGTTTCCGTTCCGTGCAGGATTACTGGACCAATCAAATCAACATAATAAAATATTGTTTTTTTTTTAAATTTATTTTTAACTACCTTGACAATGATCATTCTTTCAATTTTTTTAAAGCAAATAATAAACTAATGAAATAATATCATGGTCCTACAATTCACAGTTTAACACGTATGTCGTATATACGATAAAGAGTATTTGTACAGCTAATGTGTTTTTTTTTATATATATATATATATGTATACTCTTCTTCATAACTACGTTTATTATAATATAGGTACACATAACATTATTATTATATTATTTTCATACGTTACCCGCATTGCGCAGTGTATGTATAATTTATTACGTGCGTTACAAACAATAGATATACTGCATTGTGCGCTGGCAGCCGTTAAGTATTTTTTTTTTCACGAAATATCTTCTCTCGGGTAATTGTCTTGAAAAGTCATCGTATAGGTAACACAATATAACAAAATGGCCTACTGATGCAAAATAACTAATTTTGTTTCATAACGCCAGAGTATAGATATAGGTACACACAAAAGGCGTCCGTAGTATAATATTATTATTTATTATTATTATTATTATTATAATACGTAGGCAGATGAGGTTTTATTATTGTAATATCCTGAGGGAGGACAATCAATCGGGAGCATAGGTCTGCCGAAGGACACACACGTCTTGTTTGTAAGTTTGAATAATAATATGTACTAATAATACAATTGGATTAATCAGTTTAAAAAAAAAAATAGGTACCTACGCTCATGTGTGTATAAATAAATAATATATTTTATAATAGAATAGTCGAGAATTATTATTATGTTAGCAATACGTGTGCATGAGATTGAGTTTATCTTTATATAAGGGTTACGTTGATTTTTCTGTATAGGTAATATTGTATTATATATTATTGTTTGTTGTTTGTCGGAAATATTGAACTGTGTTGGTTTGAAATTGATTTTTAAAATTACACTCATAGATTAAACCGATTTCAGGTATAACGTATGCGCTTTAAAATTCTTTGCGAAGTGAGGAGTCGATTAGTTTTACTAGTATGTTTTTTGTATCTGTAATCGACTTTACTATCAAAAATCTTGCTCCAATCAAAAGTTATAACTAATAAGACTTTGTTCAGAATTATTTTTCGTAAGCAATAGTTTATCATTTCGTACAAATGACTCCGTATATGCTTCTTTCTAAATTATATTCATAACACACTCATCAGCATTGGAACTTTTTTTTATTCAATTGGACAAGGGATTCGTATAATAGCTACTTATATTGAAAAGTTTAAAAAAGTGTCATATAATACAACGATTAATAAATGTTTTTGTTTTTGATAAAATAAAATAGTGTTCACATAAAAAAAGAATAATACAGTTAATAGGTACGCCATTGTTTTAAGAGGGAAATTGAAAGTGGGGATATACAGTAATACAAAGTAATCTAATCTATATATCTATACGAAACGTTTAATCATTGCTAATGAAAAACGATTCTGACCAGAGTAGTTGTATTTTTTCGTTTATCATTAAGGTAACTTCGAAATCAACAAAAATATTATTTTTCCAGTAATTAAGAAAGCACAAAAGCATAAATTATCATAACATTACGTTCTAAATGCACCAACTAAATTAAAAATACTATTAAAAAGTGCATATAACGTTTTTGATTAGTGCAAAATTTCTGATAGAAATCTTATGTATAGACACAAAAAGAAAACATTTATTCTTTTAGAATCCAAAACAATCATAGCTAAATATAAGAGAGATTATTTTATTGATTTATTGGCTCGTGAAATATTTGTTCATGCCATGAATAACGTGATAAATATTTGTGATAATATGAAAAATGATTATACTTGTAAATGAAATATTTGAAATTAATCGCAAATTGTTTCAGGTTTCTATATCATCACTTGCTGATTTGACATACCTTTAATGAACTATCTAATTTTTTTTGTTTAAATATATATATATATATATGAAAACAAAATCCATCCATACATACAAATAGGTTTTGTTTTTTGAAGGAAAAAGCGGGGGAAATTCACAGTATGTATACCCGTTTCTCAACAAAATAAACTTCAGTTATTTCATCTTCAATATCTAGCATGTTAAATTTTTTTTCTGATCACGACAACTGTTGAAATGATGTTATATAACGATTTGAATAACAGTAAATCGAGTTCGTATTTCGAACGATTTATAGTACCCACTTATTGCAATGTCTTTGAACAAAAATACACAATCATCATCACGACCGTCGATCGAATATCCAAAATCTATACGTTTATATCTTTTGCTTGGTTCAAGAAGGACCAATGTACAAAAACAAAAAAAAAAATATGCATTATAACGACTATGGACTTTACGCTAGATTTTTGGAATCAATTTATTTTTTTTAATTTGTTTTTTTTTACATAGGCCCATTTTGCACCAAGCCACATATATATACATTCAGTTTTTATCGTATTGATTTTGAATTACTTAAGAGTTTTTGTATTCTTCTTTGCCATTGCCGCATTATTATATATGTGAAAATAATGAAAACTCAAGAAGTATCTAATGTTTGTTGCACAAAAAAAAAAAAAAAAAAAAAAAAAAACGTACGCATTTTGGATTTTTAATTTGAAATTATTTGTACTCGAATACAATTATACATATATACTATTATTATTGTAACCCAGTCATTGTGGAATAACATAATATGAATGCAATCAACAGAATATTATTATAAGGAACATCGTAATATAACAGTATTCGTGACAAAGCGAAAACGGTCTTACGATGTAGAGGAAATCGTTTTTATATTCAGCGTTAGATTATTAGAGGAGTTCAATCTATAAATAAAAATATACCAATCCGTCGGAATAATAGTATTGCATTTAATTTAGGTACAGTTATATTTTACTTGTTCGTATTTACTATGATATTCATGTAGCTATAAGGGCCAAGGTTTAAACTCGAGCGAATGCATTGTAGATATAGATTACATAGCCAAGTAGGTAATGTTTACTACCTACAATTCGTAACATGAATAATATTTGTGTATATCTGCATTAGACGATTGAACTAATAGTAATTTTCAATACGGCAATTAGTTTATTATTAATTTTTTTTTAAAGATCAAGCCAACACTTGTTTAGGTTTTTTCCTAACATTTTAAATTATCGTAAGTTTTTCTGAAAATCAATAAATTAGAAAACACCTACGGGATGGTTTCTTAAATATATTTTGTATAAATTTGATAATATTCAATTTCTTTTCTCCGAGCAGTTAAAAACACCTTTTCCCTGTAATCGTTTTTTTTTTTTACAGATACATACTGAAGTAGCATATATAAGTAGTACATATTTAGTGTACGTACTTTAAAGAAACTGTGTTTGTATTAGTGATGGGCACTTCTAATTGATTTAAACTATCGATAGTTTTCAATAGTTCGGATAAACTCTTTATATAGTATGTCATTCGAACAGTTTTTTTTTTTTTTCATAACTACATATTATAAACTATTCAAATAGGTAGCTTTTAATCTGTCAAATACTTGAAATGCGATCAATTATCGAACAGTTCAACAATTACTATTCGGTTATGCCCATCATTGTTTTTTATAATTGTATAACATCCTTCGTGTTTACGATAAATTCAATTATATACTATAATTCGAATTTGATTGTACCACTAACTCATAGATACTATTGTATTATTATAATATTATTACACGAAAACCAAAAAAATAACAATTCCTGTACAATATTCGTCATAGACATCATACAATCGGTGTACCACAAAATATTATTATTACATTATTATGTTGCAACGATAAAAAAAAAAATCTAATAAAAACACACATATATTTATACAACGATGTATGTATATATATACATACATCGTTGTATAAAAGTGATTTAACTATACTATATTATACGAGTAGGTGCTATTACAGGTGTTACACAATAGTAATGTGTCGTTGGTCTCGAATACATCAGTTCGCCCGATGGTAATCTAAAAAAAAAAAAAATAACATTCAACACTTTTATTGGTAGGCATAGGCATATAGGTTTTATATACCATCGTGATTTTTTTTTTTTTTTTTTTTGTAGACGATGTACTTATATATAATATTACAACGGTAGAGTTTGTTCGTCCGCTATTGGAATCCCGTCTGGCCACTTTTCCCCCTCGATTATAATAATAATAATAATAATAAAAAAAAAAATCTGGTTTATTTAGTACGCGCGGTGTACACCGTGGCCCGGCATTCTTGTTGCCATTGGTTTTTGTTTTGTGTTTTATTCATTGAAAATCAAATATTATTATTTCTATTATATTCCACACACACCCCCCCTCCTCTCCTGCGGAGGAATTATTCGATTATAAATACACATTCAAAGCTCAACAGTAACTATAGTTTAACAATTTAAAAGTTACATAACAGTAAATAGTTACTTCTTTTTTTTTTTATATTCATTTTGACTTTAATACGTATATTCTATATTAGAGTAAAAAATCCTCGTACCTATATACTTATAATAGTTACTATTTTCCTAAAAATGTGTAATTCGACTTAATATTAATCGTTCAAATATATTTATATTTTAAAATTAACTTTAACTTAGTTTAGTCAGTTATTTTTCTCAAGAAAATTCAACTTAAACTACTTACATAAATTGATACTCGCCTAGCTCTGGTTGTATATTAGGAAAATAGACTTGCTCGGTAAAAAAAATTGCTAGTACATATTTTGTACGAAATGATGTAAGACGAAATCGAAAGTTTCTCATGCAGTTTAGTTATACCTAGTTTGCAGTGTCGATAGAAAGTTTTATTTATTTATTTATTTTTTTTTTTTCAAGGAAATTAACGATTGACCTCGAATCGATTTGACTTCTCTGTGGAACGCGTATTTCCGTATAAATAATATCTGAACTCGACAGCTGCAACATCTATCGTTTAATGTGTTACTACAACTGTATACTATTATTTTCTATTTCGTTTTAGCGGGTCACTATAAGTGATTGGTGTTATAACCAATATTATTATCATATTGTACATAGATAAACGACATAGATGACGACTAAAGATTTATACAGGATTAGAATATAAAAAATATTTTCTATTATTTAGATAGTATTAGTATATAATAATGACAATTCATAAAAACAGAATTTAAGAAGATACCTATAGACAATTCAGATTTAAGAAATACATTATTAAATATTTAGAATCTTATAAGTAGGTACCAACTAATAAGTATGTCTAGTAATTTGTTTTGAATATGAAAAATCAGTTTTCATAGTAGGGGTAAACTAATATAATATTGTGATACATGTTTGCGATTACCAAAAATGATTAAAAAAAATAAAAAAAAATATTAGACAACTTTTGAGGAATTATGGTATAATATAATTAATAATATATTAATAATAATATTCAATACCTATAGAATTTATTATCTACATAATTAATATATATAGGTAATTAAGAAAAAAAAAGATGATGAAATATTTTGACTTTATCTGGATAAAATATATAAAATTATTTTATCTATATAGATAATCCCGACACATCTGGTTTATAATGTAGGTATCGTAAAAACATTGGTAACGTATTTTGTTCGATCTTTATTTATTCCATAAATACTTATATGTACATACCTAATGTGTAAATAAATATATACTCACAAACATGTGTTCCATATTACGGCAATAATTGTAATAATAATAATAATAATGATATTATTATTATCTTTAACTTATACGGGAGTATAGGTATACCAAACATGAGACTAGCCGTTCGCCGCTACACGGGAGAATAATTATTATTTCATTTTCATAAACGAAAACAACCTTGAACGTATATAATAATAATAATAATAATAATATATACTATAAAGAATGTTAGGAACGTACCTTTATACCTGTACATTATAATGCTATGTTAAAACCGAAAGTAAAAAAAAAAAAAAAACAATCTCTCGGGAGGACCCCGCCCGTTTGTTTACCGCCCGAATTATTACGTTCCGTTCAGTTGGTACATTTGGATATTATAATATTCGAAAACTCGTCTTCAGACTCCGCGACTATATAGACACACAGCTATATAATATTATTATAGCGTTCGTTTTATTTTTATTTCAAATCGTTTTCAATAATAATTATTATTATTATACACAACGTCCCGTGTAGTCTAGGTATACCTAAGCCTATATTTTATTTTTTAATACATCTATGCGAAAACCACAATCGGTTGTAAAGTTTTTTTTCTCATAAGTGTTCGTGAGAAGCGAAAGGACCGTGTACCTATAGGTACCTATAAAACACGATATTTTATTGGTACCTATACCTGTATAATATATTCGAGATTCAAGAGGTTCGCTACTACAAAAGAGCAATACTTCTTAGGTCGGTATAACAGATTCGTTTCCAATACAATATTATTATTATTCGGTGCTCGTTTAAACGATGTGATATTCAAAAAAAAAAAACGCACGTTGGGAACACAATAATAATAATATGAGAAAAAAAATTGCATATAGGTACGTTTACAACTGACTATATGTGCACAGTAGTTACTTTTTCCTTTCCTTTTCGTCCGTTTTTTCTTCTTAAATTGGTCTACTTTTTATTATTATTATTATTATTTATACTCTCTATTTTTTTTTTTCATTATAACACTGCCCGAATGATGATTTCCATATATTATAATTGTTATTCATGTACAAACGCACATATACTTTTAAATTATCATATTATATAGTTACGACGGTAACGCGCGTAATAATAATTTATCATGGAATATTGTAGTGCGTACACTTTTTTGATAATGCTTACGCCGGCGTTTATCGACACTAATATAATTCCATAAAATCGTATATTATAAAATTATTGTAATAACATCGATTTACAATGATCACATTGGATAGGTATTGGTACCTAGGTACATATGTAAAATACACTTGTAGGTATATCATAGGTGATAATATGCGCTGCGGATACTCCAAGAATACTGCACGTAACAGACTAAAAATATGAAAGTTTAAGTCAATGGTATGTCCCATAAGTATATGCTATATGCCTACGATTCGACATTAATTTTATAGACCGAATCGTCCAAATCCTACCTACCTATCTCATACGATTATAAAAATAATATACCATAACGTCCATAACTATATAATGATGATACTATGTGGTTTCGATGTTATACGTTGAGACTTATTAATAATAATTAGGTACCTTTCGAGCGATATATTTAGAAGTATATCTACAAGCACGTAAAGCATTTTAAATCTGCCTCGAAACCATAAAGAGTGTGGCATTGATCATAGTGAGCTGTAATGTCTACTTTTATTCGTCTTCTTTTTTGTAAAATAAACCCTAATTAATCGATTTGCAGCAATCCTCTGCTCATCAACAGTACTCGTCTTCCTCTTAATTTCTTCAAACGAATCATATTCTTGGCCCATCACTATATTTGCCGTGTATACTGTTACCATCACACGGTCTTCCCCTATAATTATTTTTACACTACACACGACACCTAATTCTGTAATTAATCCAAGCAATCCACCATGTTTCAGTACATGTTCAATCCATTAGTTACTTCTTTCCCTGATAATTTTCCACAGAGCTCTTCTGATAGTTATTTCAATACATCTTTGTTAGTCACCAAAATGTATTATATATATAAACAATTCTGTCTGACTGATCTTGAGTACTTATCTGTTGTATGTCTCTTATATATCAAAAACTTCTATTCTTCTTAGTTCTTCTGTAGCTATCGTTTGCGTTTAGCCACCATGAAACATTGTAATCAATCCAAAATTTGTTTTTAGACGTTTTTTTTTCTTATATGTAGGCTCATATTTTTGAAGGAAAGGTCCCCTTTTTTCGATTAGTCCTTAAAAATAAAGAAAATTGCATTGTGTTCTGCCTGTTGTACACATGTATCTTTTTCGGTACTTTTAAACACTTTTAGCGGCTTCCTCTAAATTAAACGATTTTAAATTCGGGAATAAAATTGGTTTTATAGATTGAAGTGACACAATTTTGTATCCAAGCCGCAGTTTAGAAACCTAATGGTATAATGATATGAATATATGTATTTTTAGGTTCTGAGCAGAGCGAGGAATGTTTTGGTTTAACAATGTTTATTTTTTTTCCGCGAACAACTTTTTTTATCAGAAATTCAGCTCTGATTTTCTGAAAAGAAATTCTACTGGAGTGATACTTTAAGTAAAGGTCATCTTTTTTGATTTTTTCGGGGGTTTTCATAATAAATGGGAAAACGGGAAAATTTACATTTTCAAATCGTAAATATTACGGCTTTTCAGAACATTTATAACCGAACTTCGTTTAGAATCGTTTTTCGGTAGCAATGATTAATCGTTGCGTACAATTATACATTAAATATCCCTTTTGCCTTCCCAACTTCTCACAAATAACAGTAGCCCATTCATCGTGCGAAGAATGTTCGTTTTTTCCATACTAACTATAATAAACTGTAGGAAAATGTATGTGATTTAATTTTGTTTTTCGGCTCTGGGGGATCAGAACCTCTAAACCCTCCCCCTCATGAATATACCTTTAGCTATGTGTACGGATCTTCGCTCTTACAATTGATCTCTTTCCTCGTAGACGGATTCTCGCCGACAGTTTATTTATAAAGCAATAGTGTGCCAATCGGTTTGTCGGAATATTCTCTTCGCACCATATAGGTACGATACGATACGACACCATATATACTCATGAAAGCATAAAAAAGAGGTACTCGATGTTAGGTATGTATTTACTATTATGATATATTATTAAAATTACCGTCCGGTATAAATCAATGTATTATGATAACAATAATATTTTATATATTTATACATATATTTCCGTTTCGGAGGCACGTCCACGAGTTGCATAATATTATAATATTTCATTCGATATTCGTATACTCCTCTCGTAAACCTATCCGGCGAGTATTATAATAAGCACGTTTGTATTTAGAGGATACGCGTGTGCACGGCTTACGTATACACGCTTTCGTTTTAACCGTCCGTCGACCGAAACCGAAAAATTTATCAATTTGGGCGTGTGTTGCTGTGCATTGCGATTATCATGATATATTATTATATACTGTCACGTAACATAATATATACATATACGTATGTATAATTGAAATCCCGTTTAAAAAACTGTTTGGATTAATTAACGCGCGCTTGCGCGCGTGTCTATATATGTAATTATTTTCTTTATTCCACCGATCCCGCGCGATGTTTCAGTTACACTTTCTCGTCGTCGCCAAGTACCAGTTTTGGTCGGATGCGGCGCGATTCGCTCTGCTGGAGAAAATATCTTGTGCGCGTGTTGGCTTTTCAAGTCCACGGCCGTAAAAGAATTTTAGTGTCTATATAATGTAAGTGTATACAGGCAAAACAAATTGAAAAACAATACCTTTATGACATATATATCGGTTTGCATTGGTTAATTCGTTTTATATTTTTGTGAAATTATTCGATAGAAATCGATAATCTCGATAAAAAAAAATGCAAAATCTATTAGGTGGTTACAAAAAATAAATCCAAAGGGGGGAGCGGATCACTTGAATACATACTGAATCCGGTTAAAACTGTAAAATGTGTTTACATAACATATCTTGAACCATACATAAACTTAGTACGTAAACTGCATACGTATCCCATACCCTGCCTTACATTGTTATAAAGGGATAGCCAATATCTGGGCACATCGTATGTGTAATATTATAGGATCTAAACCGTATGCTATAATTTTCTAACAATATCTTATTGAACTTCTCTAAGTTAAAAAAAGAGAGAGGCAGAGAGAGAGAGACCTGTATTAATGAGTATACTAGTATAGATGAAATTGCGTTTTATGCTATCATTTACTAATAATTATGGCTTCTAAACCCTTATTCACTCTCACTCTGTCATTAGTCCATTTTTTTTTTTTTTTTTTATTCTAAGAATCGGGTACCAAATGTAAAACTAAAAAAGTACGTCATGTTTTTGTTATTAATATTCGTTTTTACATGTTTTTATAACGCACACGTGCACTTGTTTGACGTATTAAAAATATTTGACACGTTCTGGGAAAAATTCGTTGCTAAATGAATATTTTCATTCTCAGTTAACTATTTTTCAAAATATCCGGAAACACAAATATAACAGTACACTATTCAGCAGGCGAACTTATGTATTTTTTTATTGTAATAATTTCATTATTTCACATTAAAATGATTAATGTTTCGTTTATGTAATTATTATTTTACAACAATATATATGATGGTATCGTTTGAAAATCAGTTTTTTTTTCTGTACTTATAATTTATAAAACTCGGAAAATATACATTTTAAAAATAAGACAATTAATTTAAAACAGTAATTATTTTACATGTCAAAGTGTCAGAAAACTAATAATACTTAATACGTAAATTGTTTTGACATTATGTTGTTGATAATATTCACACAAAGTGAATTTTGTCATTGAGGAAAGATAAGAAACGTTCATTATGCTATTTGATTAGGCTTTTGATGCAACATATTTTATTTTTGGAGGGAGTTAATCTAAGTACACGATTTGCGATTTTTGTAACCAATATACTTCTTAGGTTTTATATTGTATCTTCTAGATTCTGAGCGAAGTAAGAAATATATTAATTTAACAAACTATGATGTGTATTTTTTGTCTGTAGACGGCTTTTATACCAGTAATCTTATTTCAATAAAAAAATATTATAGGAACTCTATGTATGTATTATTGATCTAGTTAGTGCATTGAGCCGGTCATTTTTGACTTTCTTTGTATTTTTCTTAATAAATGGTAAAAATTGGAAATTGTTTGTATAATTTTGGTCGATTTCTGGGTTACCTTGGTAATAACTGAAAAAATACTACTACTAATAATAATAATAATACTTCGCTGAGAATCGTTTTTCGGTTGCAACGGGTTTTTCGTTGCGTGCCAATATACATTATATTACTCTATATGTCCTCCCTTTACAAACCTCCTAAAACTGCGGCACAGCCATCAGCCGTATCTATCAATTATTCCTTGCGCTAAAATTTCGGGACATTGTCAATATTGACGACTTGTCCGAATACTCGTAACTGTTTTGTATAAATTTTCGTTCACAAGTACAGTGTGAATTAAAAATAATTTTTCATCAATAATATTTCGATATTATATCAAAAAATGTACGTAGTGACCCACATATACATATAAATGTAATACAGGTAGGCCCATTTACGCGATTTTTATAGGAAAGAAAAAGCGACGACTTGTCGGACGTCTCATGTAATACTTAAAATTCCGCAGAGAACTGCGTTACGACTATACAACTTGTTATTAGAATCGTACAATATATAGAAATGGACAAATATACTCAAATCGCGATTCCGCGGGTCTGAGGTCAACGCGCATTAGCCACCGGATCGTTTTTTTCTTTCGGTTTTTTCAAGGGCCGCCGTAAGTCACTTCAAAATAAATATCATTTTATGTTCAATGGATTTCGAATATAATATTATTATAAGAATATAGTAGTAGTAGTAGTAGTTTTAATAATAATAATAATAATAATATTAACTTTCACGTCTGCCGGCGAGAAGATCCCACGACAAGCTCGTGACCGGTACGTGGCGGCAACGGCGGCGGGGTGAAACCGTACGCGCGCGCGTTAAACTACTCACGACAAGTTTTCTCTCCGCGCTGTCCAAATATTATACGTTGTCGTTGCCTCATCTCCAGAATCATCGTCCGTCTTCCTACATACGTATAAATACATAAAATATCATTATCACTGTTGTTGCACATGTATAGGTAGGTACATACTCCTCGGAGGTCTTTCTCTTTGACGAGTTATGTTGTTATTTATATATATATTTTTTTTTTTATCATTACAATACATCTTTGGCCTCAGGGAAGAAGGGCCTGAGTCGAATTCCGTAGTAGAAAAATAAACCCAAACTTCGGGTAAATATATGTTTTTTCTATTTAGCACGACTGTTTATTATTGGTTAATTTATCCGCTCGTTTATCAAATATTACTGTTCTTCAATGTATGGCTTCGAGTGTTAAAAAAATATCAACAAATCTGAACACGCGAATTCGTTGCTGCGTATGTGTATTACGTTAAAAATGAATTAACCCGATTTACCGGTAAATGCCCGACACTCGTAAAATATTTTCTGAGTAGTACGGAACCTTTCTGCAGCTATATACCTATTATACAACGATTGTATAATTGTATAAAATAATTGTGTACACTAATTTCCGTTCGAGTGTGTGTTTTACAATAACAATTGCACGGGCGTTATTAATCAAGAGACATATCGAGAAAAAAAACGCATTGTTTTTTGTTCGACTCTTCATCCTCACGGAAGACGTCGCATTGTCGGTGGAATTGTGCCCGGCAACCCGTCATAATACAGGCGCGGTATAGAAAGCGCCTCCTCGTTACAATTTAAATTGGCTGCTTCGCGCACCAGTGAAAGTCCTCCGTGTACCGGGTGTGCGTACGCAAATATAAATATATATATATATATATATATTTTTTTTCGGGATTGCGTGCGTTGACTAACAAAACTGCGTGTGTATAATATTTATACGTATGTTTAGACTTTCACGCGTGCCACTATTATAATATGCCCCCAAAGTTTAGCTCGAAAATAGGTGTGTCTTCGAAGAGTGCGTATGTCGAAGAGGACAACGTATCGACTACGACGATGATTTTCTCTCTTCGAAACGCGTTTCGTCGACACGACGATAATAATAATATTAGGTTTCGAAATACCTACAATGTATACTATGCCATAATATATTCTCGTGATTTTAAAACCTACCGTCGGATATCTAATGAATGATATTTTTTACGCAACAGTTATCGAACGTCTATAATAATTCACTGTGCAGGTCACTTATATTATATCATATACCTATATAATTTGCGTCTTCGTTACACTACAGCCGAATGTTGTTTTTTCGATTTTGTAGGTCTTGCGATTAACGGAGTTTTGTTTTTTTTTTTTTTATCATCAGTAAAACAGTATATATTTGACATTCATTGAATTCGATAATAATAGTGATATTTTAAAAATCGTATAGTATACCCAGGTACCTTTAATAACCACTATTATGTTTCAAATTGTATAAACTTTATAGAAGAATCTGTGGCTCTGTCTGTGATGAAACACCAAATATTTGGCGAAGAAGATATGGAACAGGGAGCTATGTACATGCTCGTGTAATATATCCAGTCACCAATAATAATAAAACAGTTTAATATATTATAATATTGTTTTACGTGACCGTCACCGTAGCCAGCGTTATTATTATCATGTTAAAATATAATATTATACGTGGGTACGTTTACTCAGCAAAAATATGTTACGCGGTCGTCGGCCGTAACAGGGGTATCGCGCTACTGTCGTGGACTGGTGCGTTTATTTTATATATTATGTATATTATGTATTACACATTTATAATTAACAATGTTTAATGTGTTTAGACATTTTCCGTAAGATTTTTCTTTCCGAAACCGTTAGTTTCCTTTTTTCCGTTCCCCTAAATGACTGTGTTTTCGCTTCACACCTTTACACCTATTACAGGGCGTAATGTATAATATTGTTTCTTCGGTTTCGTTGTTTGATACCGCAGTCCCAGTATTTCTGTGAGTCCGTAGAAACATTTGTTTCTAACTAAATTTCTCAATGCTATACTCGCTTATCAATTTAATTTGTTCACATCAGTATACTTAATTCAGGAAATTTCTGGTCGATAATGTCGATCTTTTCCCTAATGTATAAAATATATATAACATAATATACATTAATAACATTGTCAAATTAAAAAAAAAAAACTTACATTTTTGTAAACGTCGTCGTCTCGTACAGGTTATTAAAAACGTGATCGCGAACGATAAATTATAATTTCACTTTTTTTGGTAATAGGTACTTACGTTATGATGAGGATAATATCTTAGTGAAAATCGTAACGTAGAATGAATTACGTTGTTATGTACCTAATGATTCCTTGTATTCCTTCGTATCGTATATTGTTTTGTTTAAGGTGTTTAATTTATATGATTATTATACAAATTTTAATCCATTGTCGTATAATATAAGACGGACGTTAATTGTACGTAGTTTCAATAACGAACACACGAAATTCGCATTTATTAAGTATCCACTACAAAGACTATATTATATTCAAATCGCAATAAGGTGTATAATTTTTTTACAAATACCAAGGATTTATTCAGATCAGAAGGTAACCAAATTAATTTAAAATAATAACAATAATAATGCGATGCATACGATTTAAATCATACCGCAAAACAGCTATTGTTATTATAGACACACGATTTTTTTATTCAATATTTCTTTCTTTTATTTTACATTTTTACTTAATCATGCTTGCAATTTTTTGATTTTGTTGACAAATGATAATGATTTTTTTTTTTTAAATCGCAACACGCCGTAAATACAAACAAAACCTCGAGTGTAATAATAATTTTTGTTTTAGGTACCTACATAAATTTGTTTTTTTTTCGCTTTGTTTATTACGAGTTTTATTAACTTCCGAAACAATATTTGTAATTTTTTTGTTTTAATTTTTTTAAATATCAAAATGACGCTCAAAAAAACATTTTTTATTCATCGATAAAACAGGCACGATAGGATTCAGGATTAATATAGTATATGAATCCTGAAATATGTATTATTATTATTATTATTTTTATGGCTAACGATTCGTCGGATCTCTTCGACTTTTCCTATTATCCATATTTATTTACATATCATTTCATTCTCAAACAAACTATACTTAATTCATTAATCTATTTTTGTGAAACAATCACGTTTATCAACTGTAGTTAACTCGAGTTTATAGGTATTGGTCACCATAATATTATATTTGTATTAGTAGTCAAATAGTAAATTGTAATATGCGTATTATAATTATAGGTTACAGACCATTTTTTTTTTTTTGTATTCATGTGATTTATATTCTAGAAATAATACAAAATCACCGAGAATTTTTTACTTATACAACAGCACTATATAATATTTGAGATACATCATTATTATATCTTTTGGAATATATTATTGGTTCCAATCGACGAAAAAGGGTTCAAATCAATTTTTCGTATTTTTGTTTTCTACAATTTTTTTTCTCTATGACCAAAGATAGGTATACCTAACCTATCTTATACAAATGTATAATAATAATTTATCTTGTTCATTTATTCTTACTTCAAAATAAGTCTATTTAAGTTTTATTTTTTGTAAAAAAAAAGTCGAAAGCTATTACTTTTAAAAAATTCCTATATGCATAGCGACAGCAGGCCTGGCAGGAGCTAGCGCGTTTTTTGTCTCAAAATTCGCCTTACAGAAAAATCTCACATGCCTCATAGAGTAGTCCGATTTCGATGAATATTTTTTCGTTCGAAAAAATAAGAATAATGACGCTTTTAGTATACAAATTGAATCTCCATAAATTGTATTATATTTTAAACTTCTCAACTACTACAACAACGACCTAGCTCGTGGTGTAAATTACGTCCGGCTTTTAATATTTTAATTTATACGATTTTGTTCGTCGTTAGACCTTCAATGTCTTAATTATCATGATTACACTGATGATAATTGTATAATTATTATTATTATAATAGGTGTTAAAACGACGAGTGATATAATGCAATTTATTTTGCTTACTGCAACAGTATTTATTTTAAAATACAAATAATACAATACTATTTTAAAATAGTAATTTATAATATTATCGTTATGTGTCTTACTATATTATATACAATAGGTGAACATTTTCCGTCGCTATATTGTCAAAGGAAAAAAAAAATTATGTAGGTATAATATTATATTGTATAATATATAGTGTATGTAACGCACCTATAGAACGCCTCCTCTTTGGACCGACCTCGGAATCGTTTATGTACACCTGTATATTATACATTTTTACTCGAGAAACACGTTCGTTGCCTACGCAAATCGCGTATACATTTCCACGGGTTGTACTTAGATATAATATTGTTGTGTAACTGTATTTGTAAACGATCCAGACGGCTTATCCTTTCCTGATAAAAAATAAATAAAGAACAATTCGTACTGTTCACGAGTAATCTATATATTATACGTAAAATTAAGTACTATTAGAAAAAATACGTTCTGATTAAAAGGACATTTTTTTTTAAATATACAACGCAGGTTTATTTAATTTTTTGTACCTACATACTTTCGACCTCACAGAAGTATCCTTCTGTGGGGAGATGTTGTCGGAGTCAATTTTTAGCATTTTTATATTCTGAGCTCAGCGAGGAATGTATTGGTTTTACTACTGTATGTTTTGTTTTGTTATGTTCCGTGTCTGTTCATTATATTAGTGTATTGGGAGGTCCTTTAGTGCAGCTTAATTGCATTTTTTTTATAATAATGAAAACTCGGGAAAAAAAACGAAAGAAAACGGAAAAGTTTTTGATAATTTTGATAATTATTTTTGATTATTTTTTTTTAGATTCTGAGTTTAGCGAATACATTTATTGATTTTACAAAGATGTTTATTGTTTTTATTTTTTTTTTTATGTGAACATTTTTTCTACCAGAAAGTTTACTTCGATAATAAAGTATAGCACCTTTCTTGAAAGGAAATGTTTTCTAAGTGCTACTTTAAAAAGGTAATTTTTTGAAATTCTCAATCATATTCGAGATAATGAAGAAAACCTAGCTCTTTAGGTTAAAACAGATTGGAAGATTAATAGTAAGGTTGTCATTGGCAACCATTTTTATTTATTTTTTGTTATTATTAAGTTTATATTATTTTATCTTTTTTAAATAATAGTTGTTGCATGGGAATGCACATGTTTGTAATCATTTTACCATAATATGACATATATATTATTGACAAAGCAACACTATCAAATTTACCCATTATACGTATACAAGCTTATTCTAAACGTAGTTAAATTTTTAAAAAAAATCCGCTATTATTTATAGGTATTTGACATTTTACTTTTTTGTGAATAAAATTATTTTGATAAAGTAAATAACATTTGAAAATAACATTCATCATAAATTGTACTTAATGGTAAAAAAAAAAAATTAAGTGGTGTGTAGTATTTTTTTTTTTTTTTTTTTTTTTTTTTTTTTATTAGTGTTCATTTGACGTTTTTTTCGTAAAAATTCACGGTATTTCAAAACATGTTNAACTGAAATTTTTTTAAAATTTTACCTATAGATTTATCATTTAATTTTTTTCTGTATTTTTTAGTCTTAAATGTATAGGTATATGTGTATTCAAACGTATGTTATTCTGAAAATTAAAATATCTTAATCACTATGATGTACTTTTTTTAGTATAAAATTCGTCACTCATGGCCATTTAGGAATTCTAGAAATTTTATTTGCTTGTATTGAAAACAATACAAAAATAGACTTAGCCCTTCTTGTCTAGGACCAAATAACTATAATTGAATTCGTGGTAATTTCCGAACGAGTGTGCAATATACCAGTTACGGATGTAGTATTTAGGTGACTCAATAAAGAAAAAAAAACATCGAAAGTTGAGATTAATAAATTAATATTTCTATAACGGAAGTAACCGATTATATTTTTTCCTTTGTAAAATAAAATAAATTCAGTATAATAATAGACACGGTCGTATGAGTGTATCTGGATAGATTTATTGAGTTAAAATATCTAGAAAGGTATAGTTTTATCTATGTTTCCCAAATAAGGAAATGAGAAATACATTATCTGAGATTAATAAAAAATCAATTAGATTAGCTATTTATATCGATCTATTTTTAGGTTATACCAATCTCAAGATCTTTTTTAAATATACAGATGTACCACATATGGTATATTTTTAGCACTTAGTTTTTTTTTTTTTGATAGGCTATCAGATGAGAACTATCTTATTCTATTTAGATAAAATATTACCGATCATTCATATTTATATAAGATATGTTTATTGGGTTTTTTTTTTTTTTGTGATAATGAATTTTTAAACTTTAATAAGTTAAACATGTTGAGTAACTTACTCACAATGGATTATAATACTACGTTTGTGGTGCTTTGCATTGCCAGCTCGAAGTTTTAAAAGCGACCTAGTACAGTGGTTACAATAATAATATTGAAAACAATAACCGATTTCAATGGTTTTTTTATTTAAAATATTTTATTTTTATTTTTTTTTTTTTGCATTATTATTATACAACCTAGTGCACGGTTTTATTTAGACGACTGCAATTGTCGCGATCGTTGCGTCACAACGCCACCATAACGTTACCCTATAGAAAATCCGCAGGCTTTGAAGTTTTTTAATTCGCAATACCTAATAGTTTTAATATTATCTTCGCGGGCTTTTGTGTTCCGAAATTCGAATTCACACGACACAATGGATGGAATGCGCACACTTGCGCGGTTTAGAACACTCGCGCGCGCGCATACTTCTCTATTTATACCTTACCTACGTTATACTTAAGGTGGGCGACGAGAAATTAAAAGGTCAGTAGGTCTCCTCGCGGGTGTGACACTCATAATTATTATTGTAGGTACCTAACTATTAACCACAACGCGCATACAATATGACGTATTTTATAAGTGTAAACGCTTATTATTCATTTTTTTTGTTCGTATTACTACGGACCACGACGACCTACAAAATCGGCATTCCATATCGTGCAGTAACGACACGTCGTTGTCAGGAATGCGTGTATGCGACGATAATTTTTTTTGCCCCTTACTGCTACTCGTTTTTGTATCCGGAATTTCGAACAGTCCAAAACCGTCAAGATTGCGGACACAGACATTATAGGATACGCACCCAGTCTTTGATCCCGTTCATGTATTATAGCTTTCGAGTTTTTTTTTTTTAATTTTTAATTCAACGTGCGTCGTACGAACATTAAAATATACGCGTATAAATTGCACGTTAGCATAGTATATATATATATATATATTATAGTGTTTTCTACAATTTATTAGCCTAAATACTATTATACCTATACCGGATTTTCATTGTCGATCACACAGACACCGGACTGTTTATTGTACGACATATTATACAGCGGAAAGAATGTTCACACACGATTAATAATACAATGATATCGATTAGATAAATCTCGAAAATTAATACCCCGACGATATTCAATATATTTGTTTGTATGTATAATTCTACAACGATTCAAAATTGCAGAAGAAATCTATAAATAAAATACTGTACCCTTTGAATTATCAAGTGTTCGAATGTTCAATAGGTTATCCACATTTACTGTCACAGTGTATACCTAACGAACAACATAACAGAATTATGTTATTTGAAACATAAATATGGTGGTTAGGTTGAAATTAGAGTTTTTAAAAATTTACCACGTTTAGAAAAAGGCAATATAGGTATTCTTTGAAAATCACAGGGGGCTACAACAATTTTAACCGAATTAAAAAAAACATAATCAAAAATTAAGGAACTATTATTGTGTAAGTTTGCCCGTTTTTCGCGGTTCATTTCCAATTTTTAATAAATTTACAATGAAAATCGAAAATTGATCTCTTTAATGACTGACCAAACAAAATTTTTTTTCTAAAAAAATAATGTATTTGAAGATCGGAGGAATATTTCTGATAGAAAAGTCGTTCAAAGACTAAAACAAATATTATAGTGAAACCAATATATTCCTCGCTTCGCTCAGAATCTAAAATTTAAAGAGGAGAATATCTTCGAGGTCAATAAGTCACGTCGATCTCTTATGAAATAAATCTTTCGACGTAATAATAATAAAAACATACTGAAATAAAATTTATCAAATGCATTCAATTAACATATTTTGATAACAAATGTACTTCTGAAAATTACTAGTGATAACCCAAAGGTGATAACGATAAGCTTTTTTTTCCATAAAAAAACGTCCGATTATTGTACATTAGTTCGAAATGTCGATAGGGCAAAAACGAAATCCAATTACTCAGAGTAATGAGTTATGTAATAATAAAGCGTTTTAATTTGTATTTATTTTTTTTTTGTTTTAGGCACAGTTAAAACTTCGTTGATGTCCGGTTCGTCGTTTAACGTCACGTGGCATCTGGCGTATCCGCATCGAGTAAGTACTCGTAATGTTATTATTATTATTATTATTATTATATCAGTAACGCTACACCACAGATCACGACCTATTATCACTTTATATTTTTTTCGAATAAAAAAAAGCGTTTTTATTTTTCGGGTGGTAGGTATAGGCGACGGACCGTGCGAGAAACGATTCCGCGACGGTTGTGTAATAATCGTATAATAAATAATATTAACAATAAAATAAATAGAAAAAATAGAATAGGTTTTTTACAATACAAGATTTTCGGGTGACGTTTTTTTTTTTTCTGTTATTATTAATTGTGTATAGTTAAGATAAATAGACATTTTAAAATAAGATATAAAGAACACATTTCTGAAATAAAATTGAAAACGACAGTCCCTAATTCAAATTTCGTTAAACATGTTTTATAAAATAACCATAATATAAATTTTGATATTAATACAGACCTAGAAATATTACTCAAAATACCATTTATATTAAGTCAGTTTTAGAAGAATTACATGTACACAACGAAATAAAGACAAAGAATTTTAATAATATTTTAAATGTATAAATCGATTTTAAAAATAACTTATATCAATACATTTGAGATGGTAATAATAATAACCAAATATTTTTCTTTTCTTAACATATCTATGTCTAATAATAACTCATTTTAAATAATCTCTATAATTAAAACAAATTACTTCTATGTAAAATGATCAATTTGTAAAATTTTTTCTCCGTGTATTCCTTCATTTATTTCTACTTATAAATTATTTTTTTATATAATATTTATTTACGAGTATTAACCATTTAATAATTTTGTTTTTATTTTATTATTAATTATTTAAAATAATTATCGTTGTGAATATTTTCTACCTTTCGTCATGACACACCTGCATCGGTTTATAATGGTAAACACAGGAGGCTGTATACTAGTTGTGAATAAACTTTTCTCGCCATTTTTATAACATAACAATTGCGGACATGGATTAGGACATAAACATATACTAATTGCGGATATCAAGAAACCATAAAATCATATGAGTTGCGATCGTATCCTAAAAAAGATGATGTACGAAACACGGATACAAATATTTCCATTCATCACTTTTTTTTAAATTTTACGACAATCCAGAGAAATAAAAAAATTTTGGTAATTTTTAAAAATGCATTTCACGTTTTTTTGATACAAACCCACCGTTAAACTTTATTGCGCATTATGCAATGGAAACAGAACTTAAAACCATCGCGCAACTCTTTAAAATGTTCACTGTACAATTTATTAATATTTATTAACAATAAAGACGAGAGATATTTCAACGAGCGAAACTGCACGAGTAAGGTCATCGTCGAACCGATTTAAAATATTTTTTGACTACCATCACAAATGCAATAATGTCAATCATCGATATTACGATAAAACAGATTGTCAAACGTCCGCATTGGAACGCAGTCATTATAGATATATCTAACACAATTATTGAAAACGTGTATGCAATACTACATTATATTTGTGTTCGCGATTTGTATATCACTGTTGTAGGTTTCGTCCGAAACTCACACGGTTTACATTTACTTTGTCCGCAATTAGAAAACACCGATACAAGGTGTATTGTTTTCTAAGATGATAATATACACTTAGAAAACGTACTCGAATGTGTAGTGTTTGATATTAAATTTAAAATTTAAAGGCTATTTTAAATTCCAAACGTAGCGAGGGTTCTTTTGGTTTAACTATGGTCGGTGTGTGTTTTCATTTTTTTTTTTTTGTCTGCGAGTAACTTTTTTACCAAAAATCTTGCTCCAATTAAAAAAATAACGAGAAAGTGTTTTTTGTTGCATTTAAGATCTAACTGGTGCGTTAGAAGGTAAGTTATTGATTTTCCAAAGAGTTTTCATAATAAATGGGAAAAACCGGAAAACAAATTATCGGAAAAATATTTTACGACACACCGCAACGTTGTCGATTTCATAATTTTCAATTTTTATATTTTATGTTTTTTACTAGAAATCTTGCATCAATCAAAAAAACAGTAAGAGCCCAGATAACAGAACGTTTTCAAAATAGTTTTGGGATTTTTTTAAGTAGGTTTTATTTGGTGGTTACTACGGGGACACAATTGTTTGACCAAACAGAAATGCTTGACAATTTAAGAGGACGTTCATTATAAGTAATACTTATTGGTAAAAACAAAAAATAATAGCTGTGGCATTGTAGATAACACATTTAATCGACCAAATTACATGTATTGGGCGAATAAGAATACTTACAATATTAATGATTTAGTTTTTCAGAGCGATAGAAATACGAATAATAGTATTATACTACGTAAATGTGCGGTACTATTATTGTTTTTTTCTAGTTGTAACTTGAAGTGTACGATAAATCTCAGACACACTTTTAGATCACGCCTTTATAGATATAAATGTATACATGTTGTATGAGCATAACATTACAGGTCATTTTTTAAAAATACACTTTTGCTAAGGCATTTTTTTATTTTAATGTACTTTGTTTATTTTTCCGAGAATTTTTCTATCGTTTTTAGAGTATTTAAATCGGGGCCCTAATCATTAGTACATTAATCATTTATGTAAGGGCCGACTGTGGTTCTTTATTATTATTTAGGTAGGTATATAATTTACACGCAGTGAAAGTCTTTCGCGGTCTCGCACAGTGGACAAAAACGCGTCCGAATAAATTGCCGATTGTATTTCCGAAATGGTTTTGGTAGTTGAGTAGTACCTCGGGCATTGTTATTATCCGTACGTTTCCGTGCGGTATTCCTGTACAGTCACGTAGTAGACTATCGGCTATTTTCATGTACGACCGTATAAGTTTTGCTTTACACGTCATTTTTGTTTACGGACAATGCGAATGATTTTTGGATTTCATTACATAATATATTATACCTATTTGATAATAGATTGTGCGATGTATAAGATAAAGTATATATTATGTTTAGTTACAGAATATTACTTTTATCGTGAAATGGCGATTTATTTGTACAATTATTTGATATTCATAGTGCATTTTGACAATCATTTTTTTTTTCTGTTATCATTTTTAACGAACTTCTTTGCAATGTTCATATCGAAAATGTTCCCCTAATTCAGTGTGTATACGTTATGTTATTAACTATTATCAACTATTAATTTTTAGAACATTGTCGTCCACATTTTAGATTTTGATTATAACGAAACTATTATAGTTTTAAAAAGATTTCAATTTTTTCTCCGAAAACTGTTTTACGGTTAATAAAAATGCTCAGATATTTCATGGTTTACCTTAAACTATGTGAACTTTTTATCCGGTAGTTTTTCATTTAAAACTTTTATCGACATGTTTAGCTATTCACCCTTAAAGTATTTTTTTATTATTATGTGATTTTGGTTTTGACTTCTGGGTTACCTTATTTACAAAAAAAGATAAATACGACCAATACCACAACACTCAGAATTGTTTTTTCATTTTCATTGATTTATCGTTGCATACAGTGACTAAGTATCCCCGTTAATTCGTTAGCAGTATCAATTTTTGTAAACTCTCATTCGAAAAGTGAATTTATGTTCAACATCATTAAATTCATTTAAAATATAATATAATATATTATTATTATATATTTATTATTTATATATGTATAAAACGGAATATTTGAAATTGAATTATTACTGTAGAAATACATTAAAGAAGCAAAACATATAATTTAATGTTTCTTGAAGAGTGAATTCAATTAGGATTGATGAGCACAATTATGTATGTTTTAATTAGATTAAATAATTCGAGTAAAATAGGTTTCTAGAGCTGTTAATATATACGAGAGAGTGAGTGGTCAAATTATAAAGAATATATTATTGTAATGTTTAAAAGGTGGAAATCCGAAAATCCTAAAATTTTAAAATCCAAAAAAAAGGTGGAGCAGGAGAAGAAGAAAAAGAACGTTTAAAATTAAATGTGGGCGGACGAAGCGACAACGAGCAAAGTGATAAGAGCACTAGATATATATTTTAAAAACGTTCCTTTTTAGGATGACTTTAAAATTTGTTATAAAACTGCACACGCAAATCCATATACTTTTTTTTTTGAAGTTCTTGGGTACATAGTAATATACTTACGTGAATCGAATATACAACTGCTGAGTAGTGATTATGTAAGGTAAATTATTTAATTATACAACAATTTTCATAAAAGACACATAAAAACATAATATAAACAGCTGACCGTATATGAGTGTATGAGATATTAATTCAGCAGCACTACACTTACTGAGTGGACAAATATTGTATTGATTGAATCATGGAATATTTGTTTTCGCCACGAATTACGTGATGATGTAGAAACAGTTTTTGATTAATTTCAAATATTCCTAATGTCATGACAATTCATGACACGGGCTAATCAATAAAATGGTGTTCCCAAAATATAGGATTGCCATTACAAGCTTCAGATTTATTGATCTATGTATTCATAAAAGTCGGCTATCTCAAGTTGTTTTACGTTATGTTTGCTGTAAATTTTATAATTTTTTTAAATTACGTACAATATAATATACTCGTATAGTATACAGGATCATATAGGTACATACAAATTTCGGTTCGTTTCGTTGTCAAACACTTTTACAGTATTTTCATTTCAATTTGTGCGTTATACGTTTGCGATATACTCGCTCGAATGTCAATCATTTTTTAGCACGTTTGCGATTTGTGTCGAAAACACGCGTGTAACAATACTGCAGTCTGCAGTGGTCTCTGTTGCTGGTTAACTCGGTGCGAGACAATATAAAATAATGCATTGTATTTGGTAATATTATTATTTAAATTCAGATAAATCGCGTTCTGGAATGGAAATTAAATTTACTTGAAAACAGTGACGATTTCGTAAATTCGATTTTTTTTTTTCGATTTTACGGGTTATAATTATTTCATGTTATAGGTATAATACATGTAATTCTTTAAGACTGTGCCGCGATTAATCGGGTTTGTAAGGTCCCTCACAGACCTCACAAACTTATGTGGGGAATATAAATTATTCACTTCCGGAAAGGTTTTTTTTTTTTATGAAAGAGGGAATTCAAATTTTGGAAAAAAAATTATGGGTTCTATACCCTGGGCAATTGCAGTATTACAAAAAAAAATGAAGCATTTAAAAAACTAAAGGTTAGAATACACTTAACTGTCATAAAACACGCAGCGAAGATTAGGAATATTTGAGAATAGAATAGGCAACATAATAATATGTGGGGACTCAAATGCGATGAAGGAACGGGGAACTAGCGAAAAAGATGCAACAGAGGGTTGTACGATTTGGTGGAACTAGCATCTCTGAAAAACTCCGTTCAAGTACACAGAATACAAATGGTTGGATCCAGAGGTAGATCCCGAAATTAGATAAAGGGGAGAGGCTAACCAAAATTCACAATACATATTCGTTAAAACTGTACTTTTAGTATAAGTTATAATTTGTATAATTTGATATAAGTCTTATTTAAAGTATTTATATACTAAGGGGTCTCACCCCTAGCTCCCCACCCCTAGTTATGTCGCATAAAGAAAACGAAACAATTAGAACTGTAACAGCTATGATGGAAAAGATAGATTGACGTGATAAAAGAAGGTTTTAAAAGTTTTAAAATTGAAAACTAGGTATTCCTAAAAGTAGGTATTCCAAGATAGAGAGTCGACTAGTTGGTGAAATGTTTGGTTATGGCGGAAAAAACTTTAAAAGTGCCTAAAAGAGTATCATAGGTAAGCCAATAAAAAAAAAAAAAAACGTAGGTATTACAAAACTCTGTGTCGCTGTCGACATAAATCAAAACATAATATCTGTATCTCATTGACGGGTTTAATTTTTTTCTATTTTAACGAGAATTCGTTTAACCAGCAGATTCAAACCAGAATTTCACGTAAAACAATATAATTTACGAGTAGGTAATATAGAATATTCGATTCGATACTATGTCTGCCCGTCTACATAACTTTCGCGTTTATTGCCTTGAGTGATTTTAATAGGGCTCACTAATTATACATATATGTATAGTATTATATTATTCTCTAATTTATATTTATATTATTCTCTCTATCCGCAACCTTGCATATGAGTACCTATACGTTTTTCATCACTTTCTCCAGAGTAATATTTCTGACGGTAAATGATCTCCGACGGAGTTTCGAGAACACACTAGCTAGGAATCAGAGTGTATATAAACGGCACAATGACGGCCACTGACTCGGGTCAAAACGCCTTAAAAAAAAAAGCACATTTGTATATTATATTATGTGCAACCCATCTATAAATATTACAATACTCGTGAGGTTCGCGAGTGAACTCCACTTTTACTCACAGAACGTCCAATTATTTTTGAAATAAACCATGAAATTTCTCTAGATATAAAAAGCGGCGATTCGGTAGTTTTTAGAATTTATCACTTATTACTTAATTATACCAGATTTGAGTCAACAATAATATTATTATTACTACTAAAATATTGAGACCCACTAATTTTGTTCATTAACATTTTATTATATTTAATTATTTCTATTTTCAGGGAGGAATAAAACTTCAAGTACTGGACAATTATCAAAGGCCCGTATTGGATTTAACGCCGGTTACAAAAGATTCTGAATTTTTACGAACCGATGCAACGTGAGTACAAATATTTTTGTAATGTATCCAGCAAGACGAATATTAGAGTTTTGGATTTTATAATTCATCATTGTGTTCATTAGACTATTAAAGTACAGCGAAGAAAAAAACCATTTAATAACTGCGTATAAAATACGCAGTGTTATTCATGTTTTATTTTTTAGAGTCAGAAAAACTTCATTTTTTTTTTTCGGAAATCTCATTTCCAGTTTTCCAGTAGATAATGTGATCCAATGGCTCGGTTAGTCAACTGTATTTCCGTTTAAGATTGTGTAATGCTAAAAATATCTAACGTCATCCCGTGTACATCCGAACGTCTAGTCATTTTTATTTGATCCTTATGCTTTCCAATCTAATCCATCTCCTAGTTTTTCACGCGTACATCTTACTTAATTACTTCTTCTTACCTCATTTTCGATCTTCCCAGAAAATAGATCCTTATCAATACTATACATATATTATTAGTCAAGTCGTTGTACCATATATAACAATAAGTCGTACCAAAGTATAATACAGTTTGTTTCTTTAGATTACTTGACAGGGATCGTGATCCTTGTAGTTGCGCCAGTCCGAAAACCATTTATTTTCAACCTGGTTTCATAGTTCTGTTTCCTTTACTATTTACCCTTTACTATTCTTTTTTGTCAAAATCAGGCGATACCGACTTGAACCGTTCCACCGTGAAACAGTTATTAAAATAATAATATAGAATTCTGTTTTAGGACGAGTGAAACGTATATCAAAACGATTAACCATGTTTTATCGCAAAACCACATAGATATTATTATAACATCATTCGGTATAAAATATTCATAATCACACGTGTGTAAAAGTAGTTATTGCGGCTCGTTTTAGAAAGTGGACGTTGCTCGATCTGTGTATATAGCTACAGCGTTTTGATATTATTTGAACTTAACAATGAATAACGCCGAAAAAAAAAAACAAAACAAAAAAAAACTACTGCCGACAATTATTGTAATGAAATAATAGTATTTGTAGTCCTAAGGCAACTTTTTCTTGTACACCAATAGTGTAGTTCTTAAGTATACAATCGCCCGTTTAAATCTCATTTTGACATTTTTAACCATTTTCCTCTTCCTCCAAAAAAAAAAGAGGAAAATTATATGGTTTAAGTCAAAAGTATCGGGAGAAAAACCGAAAATAAAAGTCGACAGTGGACGAAATCGATCATTATACGGATAATAACACAATATGTGAATTTTTGTATATAATATTTTGAAACAAAATCCTTGACTATTGCATAAATGCAGCATAATTTATTTCCATGAAAAATAATTATAATGCCGAGCTACCTATGCTATAATATTATTAGTCGTCTTATCTCTCGGCACATTTCCCAGGACAACGCGATATTGGCGGTGGTGTGCGAGTAGTTTATGTACGGTTTCGAAAATAATAATTTTCTGACCAACAAATAGATATGTTCGCAAAATTACGTTTCCACTATTTTTTTTTTTTTTTCTAAATTATCAACCATTGCCTATACTGAATTTTGTATAGACGTAAATATTCGTATTACTTTTACTTTCTGTATTATATTTACTATTATTTATCTGTTTATTTATATCTATTTTTATTTTTAACGACAAGTTATTTATTCATAGATTTATTATGGTTCGTTACACGAATAATCGAACGATTATTATGATGATGTGAAACAACCGGGGAAATGTATGCAAAAATCACAATTTTTTAAAAAATGTATAGACTATCGAATATAAAATATTACGCCACTATAGATCGCCTGGGAATGTATATTATACGATAGTCAAAATAATTTATTATTTCAAAATGACGGTATCTTTTGCAATGTTTAGACAATATAAAATCATGTCAAAATCAAAACAAGAACTATTTGATTTTTAAGAGACCATTGCAGTAATAGCCGCCAATGTCCATTTTTCATGGGCGGTGTAGCAAAAATGAATTCGTTATATAAAACAAACGAGTAGATCTTTAAAATCGATTTAAGAAAAACAAACAAAAAAACGACTTAGTTAAATATTCAAATATTTAAAGAATTACGAAACAACGACGACATTGTCCTCAAAATGACGTTATCGTTCACAAATATTATAATAGCCATTTCGTCTCTAAAACCGATTTCGAAAGCCTTTTCGCTAATTTTATACGTGAACACATTTCAGCTCTATTGCTAGATTCACGGCCTTTCTTCTATATCTAATGTTTTTTGCGAGTTTCTGACGGGTACCGTATTTACAGACCATGCCCGCGTTGGTTTTAATAAGAGATTTTAGGAGTTCTACAAAACTTAATCAGCTGGTTAGTCCAAACCTGATACTGATCCAAGGAAGTTAGCGTCTAGCTATATAAGTACAAACCTAAGACCTAGTCGATGAAAAACCACGACAGGTTGCGTATTTATATGAACCACTTGGGCCGGACTCGGATACCGTCTATAAATACGCTGACGTGTTCTAGTGACATTTTTTTTTCTCGTTATATTCTTACGTTTACTATATTTTCGAAACAAAATAATAATTTGACAAATCAATGTTTTTTTTTTTTTTGAAAGATTTTTATCTATAGCGGGCCAATTGATACTGTATACATTTTTTTAATTTTTGAATATCATTTCGTTTATTTCGATATTTATTTTAGAAAAAAATAAAAAAAAAATCATTCAAAATATATATACGTATATATAAATATACTATTATACTAAATAGGTATATATATATATATATATATATATATAATAATAATAATAATCGCTCGTCATGAATATATATATATATATATATATATATTTTTTTATTCTACCAATATAATATAAGTAGGCGTATTGTGTTTTCGATATTTAGTCATGTTAACACTTAATGATTGGCCGGACTTGTATAACACTGTATCACTCGCACAAAGAGACAAAAAATAATAATATATACATATATATATATATATCATTTTTCTCATTGACTTCTTTCTCACTCTGTGTACCCACCTACCTATGCAATATTATAGTCTGCATGTTTTAATCTCATTATTGATATAAATATTTTTACGCCTCAGCTATTTAGAGTGAGAGATAAAAAATTACTAACGAAAATACACGTACACGCATTGCATTATCGTGTCAACCATTTTTTTTTTTTTCTATTGATTGACACAAGAATGAGGCTTTGTCCGGTGAACGGACGGGGGCGAGGACGGTGTATAATAATATATAAATATATTGTAATAAAACGTGCTTTCTTCACTTATAATAATATTGTATAGGTACATATAATGTCTGTCTCTGCACAGCCGCGAACACGACTTTTAAACGGTCGCTAATTCACTTTTTGTAGGGTAAAAACTGTAAAAATATACATATTATACATATATATTTTTATTTTTATATGAATGTATAAAGTCGAAAATTCTCACGACAGCTCTCCCTAGTGGCGGTCAACAATAATAAAAATTGTGTGCTTTAACCGCCACCGCGGCCGTACCCACTTTTCACGATTTCAGACCGAGTCAAATAGTATAATATAGTAGCTAGTACAATAATGTCAAGGCGAAAATATAATCTGCGCAACGCGGTAACGTTAAAATAACCTTAAAGTAAACTGTTGGTCGTATAAATGCATGACTATGGGAGAATATAAAATTAACAACACAGAACGCAGGCCCGTACTTTTGCGTTTCAAAACTATATTATGTACGTACCTACTGCCATGATAATAATACCTATTCTTATTGAAATGCGATTTTTTTTCACGTTGGAACTAGAAGGTTCTTCCAGGAAGTGTACTACCGATCTAGTATGTAAAGTTCGATTAAACGACACCTACGTAAGTTTTTAAATGCCATGATTTTTACGATTTTAGTGATAATTCGAAGTTAAAATGGTCATAACGAAAAAAATTATATGTGACGCTCAATTTTTTTTTCTTACCACTTAATAGTATAACTTATGATTAGGGTGTGGATTGAATGCTCTAAAAAACAAAAAAAAAGAATGCCGTAAAAAATTCAATTTAATGTATTTAAATGAAAAAAAGATTATAGAATGCCTTAAAAAAAGAAATAATAATTTTGAACTAAATTTACTCAACACAACAGTGTAAATAGTGCAATACGACAACATATCCACTCGATAAATAGCTTATATCGTTTTCTTTATTACAGCCGGCATCGTATTTACCTGGTAAAATCGGTAAATCTATACTTAATTCATTTAAAAAATAGAAATATGAATTTTTCTTTTAAGAGAAAATCAAAATAAATGTTATCAAATTTCTGATGGTACCGTGGAGTTTCTAAAAAGAAGAAAAAATGTCTTAAAAACCTAAAAATGCTATAAAAATCAAAAATAAAAGTTTTATATTACATTTCTTTGATGTATGAAATTAATTTTGTGCTTGGAAAACATTGCTTTGGACATCCAGAAAAAATACAATTTGCACTTTAATCCGCACCCTACTTATGATAAATGCTAAAGTAATTTTATGCATCACGTAAAAAAAATAAAAAAACTCAAAATAATTAAATACCTATAAACATAAGTCTTGGAATGTATTCGAGGCACGTAAGTGATATAAACAAGCGTATTTACCCATTCTGCACCAAGCGGAAGTTGACATTTGTACTTTTATACCGTTCGTAGGAATGACCGGAGAACCTATTTTTGTCTTGTAAAAATTATGTTTTCAAACATAATACAAATATTATGGTCTGCGTGTTACGTACGGCGACGTCCCGAGCAATATTTTCAAAATATTATTGAAACCTGTCGGCTTCTGCCGAAACTTCGCACACTTTTGTCTAGATACCGGGCGATTTTTCGATCCGCATCGCACACGGTTCGCGTTTTTTTTTTTTTTTTTTTATAAGTTCCCGTATATAAAAATGTGTATAGGCGCACGGCGATTTTCTACGGTTAATATGTACGGATAGGTACGACAAACGCTGTACATAATTATTATTTATAAATCAACGTGGGTTTCTACAACCGTCATTTATTGTTATATGTTTGAAATTGTCGTTTGATGTGAAAACGAGATTTCTTTTGTTTTAATTAATACACAATATTATAGTATACCCGCCTATGTAAAACTTATAGTGTACCTACCTATTTTACAAACTCTCGCGGGAATTCTCCGCATACCATTAGAAATCAATCAGCAAAATCAACTGTTTTTCACCGCAATATAATACTATATAGACCGCGGTTCATTAATTTACTGTACGGCGAAAATAACATACCTATTAATAAAATGAGAATACGCATCGGAAATGCCATGAAAAAAACATTAAATTGTTGTTAACTGCGCGTTTCTCAAATAGTAATTTTTGACGACCATATTAAGTTGTTTTTTTTTTTCTAAAAAAAAAAAAGAAAGATTTATTCATAAAGTTAAATAATTTACATATTTACACAACCATCGTTAACGAAAAATAATTCTGAGCAAAGTTCGGTTATGCCTGTTTTAAAATTTCATGATTTTTTTACGAATTTCGTCAGTGTTTGATGTTAAAACGCTTATAAAAAAAACTATAGCATTTCGTCCAATTTTTTTAAACCATTAAATACAACTTAAATTTATAAACTTCTTATTCAATTTTCAAACAATGTTTTCTAAATAAAAAACAAACTAAAAAACTCAAAAAGTCGAATGCTTATAAATATATATTTTAAAAATCACCATAATGTTTTAAATTTTATTACACCTAGAAAATTATATTATAAATAATCTGTGAAAAGTTCAGATCCACGATTATTTACAAAATTTGTCTGTTTCTTTTTTTTTATAATTTTCGAATTACATGACATACAAAATGATGAGAATATTATATCCATAAGTGTTCCCGTTTTTTTCCCGGTTTTACCCAATTAGAAATTATTAGGGAACCGAAAACAATTTCTTACACACGAACTAAACAAAATTGTATTTCAGGAAACTAGCTACACTTCCGGAGTAATATTACTGGTTGACCAACTAAATCGAATAAATTTACAATAATCGTTAACGCCGTAAATTTATTCAGTTTTATTTTACAGTTTCCCCGATTTTTAAAAATGATTATGATAACCACTTGGAAAATCAAAAAAATGACTTTTGTAATGTTCTATCTAGATTAAAAATGCAACAAAAAAAGTCTCTTGTCATTTTTTCGATTGGAGTGAGATATCTGGTAGATAAGGTACACAAACATAAAAAAAAAACAAAACGCACGCACATCATTGTAAAACCAATACTTCTCGCTACTTAAGTTCGGAATCTCATGTTAATTTAACGAATTAGCAAATTATTTAGTTACAGAGGATCAATATTATTACTGTGTATATAACATACGTACACGCATGCATTTTAATAATTATATTTTATTTTATCGTGCTGTCCGTAAAAATAAACTGTTAACAATTTATAATGGTGCGATTTTTATACAAGTTACGTTAGATTAGGTTAATATTCTTACTTATAGATTTTTGTGTTCTCGTACATTAAACATATTATCAAAATATAATCATTTTGTTTTACCGTTGTACGTGTCATAGTATAATCAAGTTATATTATATAGTTATTATTGGTTTTTATTGAACCATTGAAGATTCGAACTAGATCCAGAGAAAGTCTAGAATTGTAGAACGGTTAGCCGTAGTTACATCACGTTCTATTCGTTAAAATATAGGCACCGGCTAATTATTGTGCAATGCATCGCAAAAACAATAACCATCTATTGCCGCAGCGATATATATATATTTTATACACGTATAGTTTTTCAGCTTCAAGTATAGATATTTTATACTCATATAGTTCTTCAGCAATAAAAAAAACATCATTCAATATCATCGCGTTCATAATTTTTGTCATTTTTTTTTATTGGAGATAATACTACCTCCTTTTAATCCTTTTACGTCCTTTTAAGACCCGTTCCCATATTCTACTATCTCTCTCCATTGTATTCCAGGTTCCACGATTTCTGCATCCCTTATTAAACAGTTTATTAGTCTTGCCATTTTAATCAGGGTCTCCCCAGTGTTGTTTTTCTATTGGATACTTTTTGGGAATTATCTTTAATATCGACTCATGTTCAAACCAAATTTTCGTCTTTCTAATTGATAATCTCCAGATCTGTTATATTCGGGCGTTTAAATAGTTTGCGGTTGTGCCCTGAATTTATAAGTTTGAGTATCTAACATGGTCCAAAAACCCTTCCAAGGATTTTTCTCTTGTATAATTTCAATCTACTAAAACGTATAACTAATTATTATCATCTTTAATGTTTTGTTCTGTTATTAATTTTGCAGCGCTCAGTCGTACGCCGTTCAGTTGCCCGGAGATTTTGTCTGCGAAGATTGTACCATTAGACTGCTCAGAGAAGCGTTAGAATGGGGTAACAGCTACAAGTTTTGGTCGTGCGCAGATGTTGACATAAAAAATAGTAATTATTTACGTTTATATTTTATATTTTAAGAGGCGTTCAACAAAATGTTTGCATGATCATTATTTCAAAAGTATTACAATTAATTGATATCACAATCAGGGCCGTATTTAGGGAAAGGCTCGGGTGGGCAATTGCACGTGTGCAACTTTTTAGGAGTGCCGAAAATATGGTTAAAAAAAAGATTTTTTTTTTCGTTTTTGTGTTTAGTAATTTCCAAATTGTTTTTTATATTCATTGTATTGTATCATGATTTATTTATTATTCTACTTTTACAATTATAAATAAAAAATAGTTAAATATATCGATAACGAGAATGTGTGTTGACCGGCAGTTGTGTTATAAATTATAAATAATACGTCACCTCAGTATTAATATCAGTAGGTGACTAAAATAATATGCTGTCATGAAAAAAAAATTCCTTTTGTTTACGAAAACGATAGGGTTATTATCAATAATATTATGTTTGTGTTTTCAAAAACTAATTTTATTTTAAAAATATTATTACGGCCTTGTAGGTTTACTAACTTTTAAGTTATTACATAAAGTAAGTATTATCATTTGTAAAAATAATAGAGATAATACACAGTTAAATTTTTTTTTTCGAGAAAACGTGGAAAAAATGTGTTGGGAGACGCACGGAAATAGTAACCCGAGGGCGCCAAAATACTAAATATGGCCCTGATCACAAGTAATTCCTTTAGTGTAATATAAATTATCATATAAAATGAATTAAAATGTTAACAAAACTATAGATTAACATGAGAAAGCACTAAGAAAACTAAAGTTTAAGTTACAAGAAACTTAATATTCATCATAAAAATAAGATAACTTTATATTTTTGTCTCAGTATTTCAAATTTGTCAATAATATAAATACAAAAAAATATAAAATAAATAAATAATTAATATTAAAACGAAATAAATAAATAACAGATGTCAAAATATTAATGTAAACGTGAATGAGAAATATATATATATATCCACAACACTGACATTTTATCAAGGTTAGGTTAGATCAAAAACTAAGCAAATGTAGTCCCGAACCCTACTTATAAGTAATATTGAGTATTATTTATTAGTTAATTTTGTTTGGATTTCTTTTCAGTTAATTTTTAATTAGTCCTCAAGTTAATTGGTTTTTTTGTACTTTGTTTTTACTTCAATTAGTCAAATAATTCTAGGTTTTTCCTAGTTATTGAGAAAAATTCTAGAAAAATCAAAAAAATGACTTCCCTAAAGGACTTCCTTAGTCTGATTTCATTTTAGAAAAAGTGCTATCGTTGTAAATTGGAGCGAAATTGCTGATAAAAAAATAAATAAATAAATCATTGTAAAACCAATACATTCCTCGCTCCACACAGAATCTAAGGCCGTGTCAAGTGGTATTTGAAAAATATCAAAAATGTGTAAATGGTACGCGGACATGAAAAGTTTGAGAACCGCTGATCTAAATGCATGTGCAATCAATTTATTTTCATAGTTTTTATTATTGTTTATTTACTATACTAAATACGATGACAACAAACTTATGGCACATGCAATTTGTGCATACCATTAAGTACGCATTAAGTGCAACGTGATTCTTATAGTATAGAAATAATTGATGTCGAAAAAAAAAAAACGCAAAACAGTGAATGAGGTACTATTATATCATATTGAGTATACATTTGTTTTGAATATTGCACTTACATTTTGCGAGGTTTTTGTCCGTGCTAAACCGAAAAAAATTTAAAATATTACCGTTGTGTTGGTATAAACGTGCCTAGAACACCTAGATAATATTCTAACGATGCATTGTAATGAAATTTTTCAGAGAAAAATTACCGGGAAGACTGTAGTGGAGGTAAAGGTCGTTATTTGTTATCGAAGTGCCGATGCGATAGACTTTATTACGGTCCCAGGTGTCAGTACAAAGACGAATGTATCGACGATAGCGATTGTGGTGATCAAGGCAGGTGTATTGATGTCCACGCGACCACCGCGCCCAGAAAACAGTGTTACTGTGAGCCCGGATGGTTTGGACCGGCGTGCACCAAACGTAAGTTATAACGCTTGAAATTGATTTACATTTATTGTTATTATTATTTGCTGTGTTGTGATATTCGGGAATGACTATTTTGACGTGTAAAACGCGAGAAGAGAGTGAAGTAATTTCACAGTTATTATATGTTATACGATTTTAAATAATGGACTGCTTAACAATTTATCAGACATTACGGTTTTAAGTAGTTAGGTGGATATTGACACTGACGCGGCGAACGAAACAAAATATTACACAACCTTCAAAATATATTATCATATTATTATTATTTATGCAATATGTGTAAATTGAGTCTATTGTGTATACTTTAAGAGGTAACGGTATATTTAGTTCCTTTATCGTGGTCCACGGACGTTATAACTGCATTGAACACATTTATGTTTATCTAGTGAAAGCAATATAAATATTACACTTATATAGCTGCGCGTATCTACAATTAGAAATTTATATACTTGTATATTTTAAATATATAATATATGTAAGCAAACAAGTAGATAATGTCTTATATTGTACTGGATTTTCAGGCTCTTCGTTAAAATCGAATGAAATCGATTTGAGTAATCACCGATTCAGAGAACTGTCAAAAGATTTCCATTTATATTGGAAACTGTTTAAAGAAGAGGGCGAAATCGAGATTGTTTTAAAAGCTAATGGCACTAGTTACTTGGGATTGGGTTGGAGGCCAAAAGATATAACTGCAGAGTGCAAGAACTTTCCGGCACTAGCAGACCTGCCGGGCGCAAAAGCCGTAGCAGTAATGTCCAAACCTGAGCCAGAACCAGAGCCACATAGTGAACCAGAACCAAGAAGTGAACCAGAACCAAAAAGTGAACCAGAGCCAAAAAGTGAACCAGAACCGAAAAGTGAGCCGGAACCTAAGAGTGAGCCAGAACCAAAAAGTGAGCCAGAACCTAAGAGTGAGCCAGAACCTAAAAGTGAACCGGAGCCGAAAAGCGAACCGGAACCGAAAAGCGAACCGGAACCGAAAAGTGAACCTGAACCAAAAAGTGAACCAGAACCGAAGAGTGAGCCGGAACCAAAGAGTGAACCGGAACCAAAAAGTGAGCCAGAACCTAAGAGTGAGCCAGAACCTAAGAGTGAACCGGAGCCAAAAACATCATCGGGACAAAAATCGAGCAGTAAACCCGACTCAGAACCTACACCCGAGACGAGCGCAGAACCTTCACCAGAACCCACGACTCCATCTACAACAACTACTACGATTAGTAGTTCCACTCGCCCGAAGCCATCATATTTCCGAACCAGAGGTCGACTGCAAAAACCAAAGCCTGCCGACGAACCAGAATCTGCAACGTCAACTAATACTTCGTCAAAAAGTAACGGAGGAAGGCCATGTAAGTGTCTTGTTTTTAAGCATAAATTATAAGCCACGCAATGATCGGAAATAATTTAAGAATTACGCAAAATTCGATAAAAATAATATTGTTATATTTATGAAAATTGTTTTGTTTTCGTATAGTATTTGCCCAGTTGAGAAATAAACGAGCCGCGTCAACTCCAAATGGTAAGTCGCAAATTATATTTTATTTATCGGATATAATATCATTTACGATTAAAAATGAAATAAAATTTAGAACCACAACCAGAATCGGAGCCAGAACCAGAATCAAGTCCGAAAGCCCAGGAAGGTCATAGTCATCACGATCATTCTTCTCATAATCACGACCACGATCACTCTTCGCATGATCACAACCACGATCACTCTTCTCATGATCACAACCACGACCATCACCATCACGATCATAATGCCGAAGACTCTTCGAAAAAAGGTTCATAGTATTTTTAATTTCAAAATTAAGTGTAAAATAATTATTATAATATAGCATCGTTTTGTTTGTATTTATAACTTATATTGCTCTTTATGAATACATATTTTTATTAATATTCTTAATTTTCACTATCGAATAGACGATATTATTAGACGTACGAGTATAATGTATTACATGTACAAATCGTTTATGTTTATTAGAGATGAAGCTAAACACGTACACGCCAAAAGGAGATTTCAATGGAATGGACTGTACCGATTTAGTAATAGGAAGTGCACGAGGATCAGCTAACCGAGTTTGGGATTATTACACTAGAGACAGGCAAGTCCATTACCCGTCAAAAATAAAAATATTTACAACAGTTTTTAAGAATTATCAACTTGAAAGTTCTAATGAATATAATATTATCATGAATGGTAATATAATAATACAACTGCGAACAATTAATTATTTTTTCTTTGTTGTTTACTACGGATTGCGGAATACCATTAACATAACTTAATAACATTTATAATCGTTTTCTTTGAAATTGCTCAATTTTCACAATGTAAATGGAGTTTTTTTTATAACCAAATTAAAACTGAATAAAACTGTTGCATACATATTAAATAAACTAAAAAAAATATATAATAAAAAAACATCAGTCTTCAGAGCCTTTTTATCCTATTGAATTAATGTAACATTATTTTGTTAACTAGGTCGACTCCACGGATGGATAGCTATTGGGGAGGGAAAAATGATTTGATCGCCGCGGTTGGATTTGAAAAAGACGGAGTTACGACGATTGCTTTTCGGAAGAAACTGAAGGGTGATTTTTATTCACGATTATCTTCTACGTTTTGGCGATATTATTTATTATATTCTAACCAAGTATATATTTTTTTATTTCCTATAGCCGCTGAGCCCACCGACCATTCAATCGTAGATGACGTGATGCACGTGATTTGGGCCAAAGGACAGGAACACAAAAACTATCAGCACTCGCCGAAATCTGGACTAGAAAAAGACGTTTCTCTCGTGAAAGATTTCTACAAGCAAGACGAACTTAAATACCATGGCCATGGATCTCAACGCGGTGTAATTTCTATAAATTTTTTCGGTAAGTGTTCACCCGTACTATTGGGTTTTATAATATCTGTGGATGATAATATCCCGTACTGTACCGTTTGTACCGTTTGTTTAGACGAACCCGAAAAACAGTCGACGGTCAACGCCGGGCAAGACGCCGCCTCGAAAAGCGATCCTCAAACGAACAACATTAAACCGGCCGTCCAACAGGCGACCGTACCGGCGTCCAGCAACTGTTACGGTCAATGGTCCACCCCGAGAGGATGCAACGTGACGGCGGGCCAGTGCGAGTATCATGTCGTCTGGACGTATTCTTCGAAGACCGATTACATGCGGTTCACGATCACCACGACGCACACGAGCACGTGGACCGGTATAGGATTTTCCGACGATCACAAAATGGTCAGTACATCTACAGTTGCGTGTTTGGTTTTACAATATTAATTAACGTGCGCGTGTATGCATGGAACTCCAGAGTCAGACCGACGCCATAATCGGATGGGTGGACAAAGCCGGAAGACCGTTTCTTATGGACACGTGGATAAATGGTTACACGGCACCGCTATTGGACGCTTCGCAGGATCTGAGCAACACCACCGGCAACACCGTCGACGGACTGACGACGTTGAGCTTTATGCGAAAACGCACCACCGGAGATACTAAGGTTCGTTTTATTCACTCGGTTTCTACATAACGTCCGGTTAACACATATTTTTCGTGTAGGACATGATGTTTACCAATGACAAATGTTTATATTTGACGTTCATCGTCAAAGGAGGCGGTTACAATCCGGTTAACAAGAAGATCAAAAAACACGAACAAGTACCGATGTTTTCAAACGATCGGGTGTGCATAAGACCGTGTGGCGCCGGTAATACGAGTTTGAAAAACGAACGGCTCGATATATTTTCGTGTGTGTTCTTTATACTAATGTTTTTGTATGTAAATAATTATAGAAGAAGACTGGGAAACGCCGACGTCTACGACGGCGCCCAAAGCGGCGTTCAACGTCGCCATCAAGTTGGTGAAATTGGGCGAAAACTTTATTGTACCGCCCCATGGTAGCGCCGATTTCGATGTACTGGCCAACACAGTCGAGAGCGGTTTCAAGAAAACGCTGACCAAAATACCAGAATTCTACAAGATCAGCGTTGACGAGTTTGCACAGTATGTTGAAAAAAACGACCTAGAAAAAAAAAAAAAATGTAAATTCATAAAACAATTTCGTTTCCGGCACTGCAGAGAAAACGACAACGTGGTTGCTAAAATGAGTGTCGAGCTGGATGAGAGCGGCGGTGGATCGCGGGGCCGTGCTTTAAGCGCGGGTGAAGGAGCTGAGCAATTGGAACGCGTTTTGAGGAGCACTGTTACTAGCGGACAAGTAGGGGCTCTATCCTTGGACCCCAAGTACTTTGTTTTCGAAGCGGCACCGCGTAAGTGATGTATTTTTACACAAGTTCAATGTCGTTAATTATTTTCATTGGTCGATTTTCGTGTTCCGTAAATTTTTGTTCTTTTTCCCTTCTCTCCCCTTTGAATCTATTTAGTTTCAACAATCTTTGTCTCTACTCTCCTCTTAATTTTGTCTTCCCCGTCGTTTATAACACTTCATTGTTTACTACACCTCATATTATCATCACTTTAAACCGTATCTAATTACCTCATTTTTAGTCTTCCTTTCCTCCTCATTCCATATTTATTCGTAAAATCCATCTTACCGCATCTGACTCATTTCTTATTATCACGTGTCCAAACCATCTATTAGCTATCAACTGCAGAAACAACGTTTATTTACCCTATGTCTATGTTATCTCTAATTTACCCATTCATTATTTTACATTTTCTAATCTCTAGTGACTCCACTCGTTTTTTTAAACATTTTTATCTCTATTACACTCGTCTTCTGTACTGTCTTTCTGTCTTTCTGTCTACTACCTTACATTTTGTACCATACACCACCGTTGATTTCACCACAGTTTAGTAAAATTTATCTTTCGTATTATCACACAGTACCCCCGATTCCTCTTTTCAGAAGTTGATGACAACCGCACTTAATTAGTATTAATTGCATAGGATCCATATTATCCCTAATCCCTTTCTTTCAAATGACGCCATTCACTTCTCAAGCCTATTGTTAACTTCATCTGCCATTTCTCCTAAAAAAAATTACATCTACGCCAAACATCTTGCACCATAACATGATATCTCACCCTGTATCCACAAGCAATACAACTATGTTTATATACAATAACGTGATGATTTTTGCAGTTTCCAACACGTTTCCATTGGAAGAAAATCCTAACGACAGTATATTGTTGTCGGCGACAAAGTTATGGATCGTCATCGGATGCATATCGGCTTTAGTGTTTATCGCCATTGTCCAAGCCGGGTGCACAATTTATAAAACCGCCCGGAGACCGAGGCCTAATCACAAGGTTATTTTCCCTTATAACCTAAATAATGTTATTTGACACGTCTCGACGCGTCATACGGAGTCCGTATTTTAGTTTACGTATACAATTATATACATTAACAGCTTTTTTTTAGGAGCTTTAGGCTTTTGCTGTTAATAAATAATTAATAGTTTACCTATATTATTATAATATATCATCACGACCAGCTTGTAATCTCGTGTATACTATATTATATTGTATAGCTGGTGTATTCGGTCCCGACTGCAGGAGTTGAGGCCGGATACCGGTCACCGGTCGACCCTTACTTGTACACCACCGGTCATTGGGCGCCTATCCAAACAGAACACGTCATGCACCGTTATTAATCAAAAATTAAAACGTATATCAAAAAAAAAAAAAAAAATTCTACGACGTATCAATACATATAAAACGCATAACGCATATAGTGTATTAATAAATATATTCGGTGAGTCTGATCAATATTTCTTCTCGTCCTCTTTTTATGCCTTGGCTGTTTCTACATTTTTTCTTTTCGCACGTGATACGCCCTCCGAGTCGTATAAAATATTATGTCACATTTTTAACAGTTTTCGAAGGTTTTTTTCCTATATATATTTATAGGTATTATACATAGGTATGTTTAATATGTATTGTACCTCGACTGTCGTCAAACGTGTTATAGATTTTTACTGTCACTGGAAAATGAAAGTGTCACAATTATTTCGTCACGATACGAAACAACTAAGATATTTCGGTACGATCACAAAACTGTTAAAAATTGAATCTGAAGAACGACTGCACGAGACGTATCACCCTTTGATCACACGCATGGTCACTTTATATAGTATAAAATAATATAAAGATTCCTTCTCGCTAATATGCAAGATATTGAACGTTAATTTTGGGCATTTTTGTGTACATGTGTATATATTTAACTAATCTAATTATTATTTTCCGTTTGATTATAGTCTGTGCATACATACGTGTATATTATATAGTTCTTAGGTACAGCTTAGAGTGGACGTGACGTTTTAGGATCGATAATCTCGTGAAAAATTTAAAACGTGTGAAGTTTATTCCTATAAATTAGTTTCGGTAAAATAACAAAAAAACCTCACACAATCTAATCCCAGAAGAATGAGGAGCTTAACTAAGACTTCTTGTTCCTGTTCACTTCACTTTTTCCGTTAACAAATTCAATGATAAAGCGTCACACATACACTCACACATCCACCTTATTTGGAACACGAAGAAGTTGCTTCATAGAATATCTATTCGCGTCGCTACTACACAGTGTTCTAAAATGTTATTTTTGTGCTAAAAACTGTGTCAATATTTATTTTTTGTTTCAATTGGGTTTTGTCCGAAAGAGGCATATGTAAAGAAAAATTACATTTTTATTTTCATCCCTCAATCACTGGCAAAATAACTTTTTAAAATTTAACATTTAGGATTAATAGTTTTTTAGTTATAGTGGCAGTAGTGTACAGAAAATAGGCGTGAAAACCGTTCAATAAAAAATAAGGATTCACCGTGCTGATTGTGATTCCTTATCACGTAACGTGTTATTATATTGAAAATTATTTACGCCAAATTTCTAAAAATTAAAGCTAGTTTAATTAAAATCTGTTAATCGGATATGAATGTATTATGATACATTAAATATTTTAAATAATATATTGTACAAAATGGCTATTTTGAAAATTGATAAATTAAAAAGTTATTTTTTTTTTTTCAATAATTGAGGGATGGAAATAAAAATTTAATTTTTCTCTACATATGTGCCTCTCATAAATGCGATTGAAAAAAAAAATGAATATTGACAGAATTATTGACGTAAGGATAACATTGTAGGACATTGTATGATTTTAAGATTTCGAATTCAGTCAAATTTATTAAACTTTTTATTCGGTATATTTGTCGATATATATTCTTCAACCGACTATAAACGATGACGGATTCTCCTGTATTAATTTATTATAAACTAATCGTTTTTATCATCCAGCCGTTTTTTTAAATATTTTTAACCATACTGCTCCACTATCTATCGCGTTTATTTTTAAACGTTTTTTTTTTTTTTTTTGCGAACGCTCAGTTATTGTTCATTTAAACTGTAACGATAATTTGAACGTACACGTGCGACTTTTATTATACTTCGAGTCAATTAGAGGATTAGGAAAGAGCAAAACCTATAAAGAAGTGTTTACTACGAGTATCGGAAACGGTTAGAGAGAACAATAACATATCGTGGACGTCATGGTGTTAAGAGCGAAATTACGAGATTATAGATGAATTGAATACAAGTATAGACGGAATTCGGGGAAGATTCGAAACAGTGACGTTTGGGAGGGTGATGTGGACAAGAACGAGTGACGTGGGATAAAGGTGATTGGGAAGAAGGGCATACGATTGTGTTATATTTCCAAATAAACGCAAAGTAGGTCAAACGCGAAACGGAAAAAAGTATGTAATGTCAGTCGAACGTACAAAACATCACGTTTTTTTCGATTTTTTTTTTTTTCTATCGAAAACCGCTCGCACATTAACTGTTATTATTAACTTATTACCGCCGCTGCCGCTATTATTTACTACCGCGTTTACACTATTATCGTCGATATTACGTAAAACGCACAGAAGTTAGAATGCTGGAAAAGAAACCGTATTATACCATTGCGGTTTTCTCGGCGCTTCTGGTTTTCGCCGAGAAACCAAACATTTCGGTTGCGTTGGATTTCGAAAACTATGCGCAATCATCATGTTTATCATTCGGTAAACGATAATATCGTTTTTCTTATGTTTTTGTGTAGCATTTAATTATATATGACATCTAGGCACGTATACACAAAACCATTTCGGCATGTGGATTAAGTAATAAAATGAAACAATTTTTATCGTTAATTTCGTATCGTATGGAGTCGAGTCTTAGACAATACTGAAAACGGGCATAAGAAAAAATAGAAGCCATCGAAATTTAGTGTTTAAAAATGTCTTCTGGACGGTCTTTTTCTGGTACGTTTCTTGATCTTTGATGTTTGACATCGATTTTTTTTTTTTTTTAATGTATGTTTTTATATATTTATGTATATAATGTATAACGTATAGGTACAACTAATGATGATGCGATGCAATTATAATTAGTAAGAACGGTACACAATATAAAACTAATAAAACACATTCGTATACGCACAGTGTTATAGAAAATTAACCGTAGTTGTGAAGAAACATTATTGATTTGTTTGCTCGGGGGGAGGTTAACTCCCGATTTCAACCACACCCGGTGATATCGGAAAGGGCGGAAAAGTGTGTGGATTCAAAATCAGCCTTTCTTTTCTCTTCTTTTTTTAGCATAGATAATGTGTAATATACAATAAACTATTATGCTCGGTGGTGGAATTACGGGTTTCGGGGAACCCCTCTAACGGAAGAGACCCATTGTGTATATTATTGTTATTTGGTATTTTATTGTATTTTGTTTTTTTTTTTTGATTTAAGCTTGGGCCCACACGACGAGATTAAAACACGACGGTTGTATAATTATAATACCGGCGCGCGATATAACACGACAGTATTGATCATCACTATGCTGCGTGTAGAAAGATATTCCGCGCTACGATAAAATTTAACGAAATTCGATATTACATTTGAAATTCAAAACGTACAATGAGTTTTTCAATAGCAAATATTATTTATAACGCACGGCAAATTACCTGACCTGCGGGCTTCAAACTAACATTTCCCCGTTACTTTTGTACACGTTTAGCTGCCCCTCGGAGACCGAATGCGCACTAACTCAAAAATTATGGATTCGTTTTTCTTTTTGTGGATTGAAATGATAAAAACACGAGGACATGTTTCGCACGATGGGTGTATCACCGTTGTAGACGAGAATTTGGGAAGGTAGAGAGAAAATTGAATATATATCTGTACGTGAAGATCAATTATTGCTAACGAAAATGAATTATAAGCGGATTTGGGTTGTACGCATGTTTTGAAATGCCGTAATATTGACGATTTTAAAAGAATACATTTCGTAAATTTTCCCATTTTTCCCATTTATAAGGAAAACCTCTAGGAAAGTCAAAAAATTACCTCCTTTACGTACTACCTTAGTCAGATTTAATTTCAGAAAAAGTGCTACAGTCGAAAACCGGAGTGAAATTTCTGGTATAGAAGTCGTTCACAGAAAAATAAAAAATAAACATTATTGTAAAACCAATAATTCCTTGATCCGTTCAGAATTTAAAATCGGGTAAAATTTTAACGCGATTGTTATTACGCGGTATGCAGGAGGTTATTATTTTTTTTAGCTTTGACTATCTCAAATGAAGTCGCGGGTATGAAATTTTCTATATGCACGAGTTTATTAAATATGCGACCTATTCGATGGTTTCAATCTTTTAACCCCCGCTCTTACCACGTTTTTTCGGAAACAGTATAGCATCGTACTGTTATAGTTTATTCGATTATTTATGGTTGTATAAAAAATATGTTTACAATTAAAAATATTGCGTGGAGAAAATTCGACTCCGGTGACGGAGATCGGCCGCCCAAAGGGTTTTTTTTTTTCAAAATTAGATTCGGCTCGTCGTGCGGTATACCCTCGTCATCTACCACCCGGCGCACAATATCAAGTTAAAAATACTAACAAACGCTCGACCCCCTCTACCCGTCGCTATTACTAGATTTCGATGTTCGTTAACGGAGGGTGGTTTTTTTTGTTTTTTTCCGCGCAGGATCACGGCGGCGTGAATTCGGCCTGGAAGGATTATTCGTCCGGCGGAGCTAACACCAACTACGCGTTCGACCAGTACGACGGCTCCGACGAGAAACAGTCGCCCACGTCGCTGAGCCACACGTCCACCATACCGCTAACCACAAAGCTAGTGTCCCATAACGGTAGCGGCGGTAACCATTACGCGGAATCGCGGTCGCTGCACAGGCCGTCGCAGGGCGCCCCGGGACCGGTGAACGGGGGTGGCAGGCACATGCACAGCCGCCCGCCGCCGCCGCCCACCGCGCACCATCACGACCGGGCGGCCGGCACGTACTCGTTGCCGAGGCCCGCGCAACAGCCGCCCCACCACAACGGGTACTACACGCACAGGCCGCCAAACAGGACGTCCCACGGACCGCCGCAGCAGCAGCAGCAGCAGCAATCTGCGGGCGCCGGCGGCGACCAACTGCAACCGGACTTCTATTTCATGCCGTCGCAGAGGAAGTACTCCGGCGAAGTGGTCAGGGTGTACGTGGACTACAACACCAATCCCCGGAAGTGATCGCCACCGCCGGTTTCCCGTCTTTAATTTTAATATGATATATACACGTGTATATATATATATGTATATATATGTGTGTATATATATATATATATAGTATAATGTATTATCGTAATAATCATGTATTCGCGAATCGTGTTGGCGCCGAACGATCGCGCGCCCAACTGCAATAGTTCTGTTTAAGGAAAAAAAAAAAAAAAACAACAGACTCCAGAGCACAGCAGCTTTCCCCGTGCCATTTTCGATTTTCGCCGCGCGTAGGCAGAACACCTTAAAAACGCTGTCGGTGTCCGCGCAGGCGAATTTATAGGACATCTCTCTCCCTCCTCTTCCTCCTCCTCCACCCCCCTCTTCTCCGTAGATATTAAGAACGCATTCCTCCTGTGCAAGGATACTTATTATTATAATATTTCCTCCGTTAAATCGAATCCCTACGCCTAGTAAACTGTGTGCAACGGTTTCCCTAATAGTTCCTTGTAAAAACGTACAGAAATACCGAACGGTACGTTGTAACGCATTTTTTTTTTTTTTTGTTATTTTAATAATACAGCATAAAAATAATTCACTCGGGTTTTAGTTGTCGACTCTAATTCGGTGTGCCCGTTTTTTTTTTTTTTTTTTTTTTCGCCTTTTCACTGTTCGTTTAATTTTATCTGGATTTTTCCGGATCCAGCGCGCGTTACTGTACACGCATTGCGCACACGGTCATTCGTTGTGCGGCGACTTGAAAATTCCGTGTAACATAGATATTGACTGGTTCGAGTTTTGCCAACTCTGAAATCGATAAAATCCCGTTCCAAACTATAGTTTGCAAATTTTTTAATTTTATCTTTTCTGAAGAAAGAGTAGAGAACCCAGTCAGGAGAAAAATGCCGTGAACCGGTTCACGAATTCGCGAACAAAGCGACAAATCCGTATAGTACAGCGCATACGTGTAGTGAGCGAGTGGCCGATTCGTCGCTTATCACGGTTAAATAAACCGCCATTTCGCGTGCGTGCGTACGTCTCACTCGGGTCTACAGGCTTTCTAATCCGCGATGACATAATTGTATTATATATTAGGCGGGTATCCTAGAACAAATAATATACTGGACTGTCGGGATAAAATGTATTATTTTCGTATGAAAAACGGTATTAGCGAACCAATGGTTTTTATGGATATAAAAAAAAAAAAAAAAAAACCTCGGCAGTTGTATTTTTTCGGACGCCCGTTTTCGCTGGTCAGGCGTCGTCTGGTTTTCGAGCAACCGCCCCCCACCCCAACACCACCCACCCGAGACACGCACAAGGCGCACTAGCCAACACGCCCGCGGTACGTTAATCCTGTCGAATTGATGAACGAGCGTTGCTGCCAATAACGTTGACGTTTATCCGGAGATCGAGGTTTTCGAATGGCCATCCTTTACGGTACACGGGGGTTTCCCCGTCGCTATTAGCAGCGCACCGACGTTCTTTATAGCGTTACGCTGTGATGTCGCGGCGGCATTCTTGCAGTGGCTGTGCCGTCCAACGAACAAGCGCGGGTACATTATAGCAGTGCGAAAACATCGCGAAAAATACCTTATATTTATATATACATATATATATATATATATATATATACATACATATTAATACATGATAATAATACGATAGGGTTAAGGATTTATATGTTTTACGCTTAGAGTTAAGAAAACCATTTGCTCATTTAAAAAAAAAAAAAAAAAATTTAAGAGTAATCTCGTACGATTATTATTGCGGTATGCATTTCAAACGAAATATACTTCATGATATTGAAACATAACATTTCAGAGAATATAAATATTATTATTGTCGTTCTTATACACAGTTATACTTATTATAGTTATTAGTATTATTATTATTTTTTTTAATTATTATTATTATTATTATTTGTATTATTTTTCATTATTATATTATAGTTGTAATTTCTGAAAGTTAATATTTTAAAACGCATAACCCGCGGTCGGACGTTGTTTGTCGCATGTTCGCCGCGTGTCTCGCGTTGCCCTAACGCTGGATATATTTCGACGGTTTTTCGTCCTCTTGTATTATCATTATTATCATTATTATTATTATTATTATTATTATTATTATTTTGTAAAAAAAAAATATATATACCAAATGTGGCATTACTATGATATGTTGTAGTTTAACTGAAAATGCATGCGAATAAAATTAATTAATAAAAAAGATGCAAGTACAAGAACAATATATTCTATGTTATATGAAAATAACCACGTGCCTGACTAAGCATGTCCGTAATAATAATTACACGTATCGTTACAACTTGGCATCTCGGCATCCAACGCACGCATCGCGATAAAGGACAGTTGTACCGTAACTGACTTAACTGCGTACGATATACTTGCAGTGACGGCGCGAACCTATGGTTCGTACAAGCGGGTCTGGTGATGTATAGAATCCGCCCACCAATTTATTGATAAAAAAAAAAAACAACCCAACGACTCTAAATTTAAAATACATAGACGTAAATACACGGAGACTGTGCTCTCAAACCCCCGGTGACCCTTCCGGAAAGACTATTGTCGGGCTACAGTTCGTAAAAATGTTATGCGTGCAATGTTTCGCTCCTCCGCGCGAATACCGTTTGCATATAGGATACAACTGACGTAGTAAAACTACCAAAATATATTAACAACTGAAAATTTCAACTATCTTTGCTGTAGATTCTCTTCCGGTAAACATCTTTAAAAGATCCTAATATTCATTTCGGGCAATATCCTAATGCCGTCTCATGAAATGTCTGGTAGTCCGTTAAATAAAACAATTGAAAAAAAAAAAAAAAACAGGTTTGCAACAAGTATTGCATATCCCAGTAAATATCGGGAAAAAAATATCTAAAGACAAAGTAATAGTAAAATGAATGTTATGTTGCGTGTTGTACCGATAAATTGTTTGAACATTTATGAATAATTCTTTGACGAACATTAAGTTCAAAAGTGTATCGATTGGTCCTACAACCTTAAAAACATTAGTTTTAAGACTAAAACAATAAATACGTTTTAAAAATGTCCAGTAGCTGATGTATTTATGATCGATAAAAGAAAAATAACAGTGTATACAATTTGAATTTTCGGTCTTCCCCGGTTTATCAGGAAAAGGGCGAGTAACGTCACAAAAAATGCTACCTATAAAAGTGCGCCGTAGGAAATCGAAAATTCTACAAACAAGCTCCTTTGACTCTTTCCTCTTTCGATAGGGCATATCCTTCGAGGTAAAAACGTCAATTTGTTTTTGTAAACGTGATTTACGTACCAAGAGTTCGTGAGAAAAGAGTCGATTTGTTGACGGTCGCCGGACGTTCAACAGGTGTTCGGTTTTCGGTTTTACCCGGTTGTCGTGAAAACGGCACGAAGCATCCAAGTATTACCGTTTCGAAATATTGTTTTTTACGTGAAACATAATATTTTTCACCTGGAATCGACCGAATTCGAGGTAACCACCGTTAAACATTATATGCTTATTAATAATATCGTTTTGGTTTCGTTTCGATTCGTGTGAACCGAACTTAAAACCATAATTATTTAAACGTGCGGGTGCTAGAGTAACGTTACACCAGTACCCGTAACGGTTACACATTTTTGGGAGTTTTTTTGAGGTGTTCAAAAATTTGATATTTTAAATATCTGATGATTTGAACAATTAAAATTTCAATTATTGCAAAAGCATTCAAGTGAATATAAATTGTGAAAGGCGGGTTTCGGTTACGTACGTCGGCCAGTACCTAATCACCCAAAACAACGGGATTTTACGATTTTACAATGTACATTATTTTCCTCTTGCCAATTCACACCGAACTTGTAAGTGCTTTCGAACCCACTCTGATTCTACATTAGGTGAATTCATTTTTTTTTTTCTTTTCTATCGTTTTTCCCGTTACGCATCTAACAAAAAATTAAAAAACCGATACTTAATAGTTGTTACGTAACGGTAGGGGCTATTTGAAAATCATGTTTATTATGCTGTTCCGTGTAATACTAGTCTATTATTATTATGCGTTTAACCATTTAGGCCGACAGAGTTTTAACGTTACAATTGTCTGTACATTATAGTGTACACTTTACAGAACCAAATGGTAAAAATGTACAGTTTTTTCCGCACCGCACAATGTGTCCCAACGGAGTATTATAGAACACAGATGTATTTTGCATTTTGTTTTCTACGGTAAGATTTTATTTACAGTTTGTAAAGTATATCGGTAGGAAAACACAGAATCGTTAATAAATCGATCGGAGTAACGATGTGTATACACACATAATTGTCGTACGATATTATTAATATTACGTGTTTATATAAATGTTTCGCGTTGTGTGCTTCACGAAGTTATTATGCAATGACAAAATTATACCGTGCGGACATGTGGTGTGTCACACCAACTAAATGTAATTTTTTTTTTTTTTTAAGATCAAATGCTATGCTCGAAAAGCAAAGTTTCTGGCGGAAACGTTGTTTTCAAGCAGAAAAAAAAAAGCACACGTCGCGGGTAAAACCAATACATTCCTTGTTGCGCCGAGAATCTGACGAATAAATCGAGTTGCGCTAGTGAAACCGTTAAAAGTTAAAATACAAACCGACTTAAACGCGCGAGTTCGACATAATGTTCGCTAATACTATTAACACGACCATCGAGTATTAAAAAGCGTCCGTTTCGACCGAAAAACTATAACGTACGTACACTAACGGCGACTCTCGTATCGCCCCTTAAATTTAGGTAAGTGACCTTTTTCCACTCGAATCGCCACCTGTAGCGATACCTGGGTTATCAACTGATACATCGATAGCGGTACCCGTACAATCTATTATTATCACATCGGTTTCCGTAATGTTCGAAAATTATTATTTTTAAGACGTACGGTATTTTTCTGTACGTTTTCTCGCGTTTTCATCTAAATTACTTTACGCGCCGACTGATTATTGTTATTTTTTATTATTACTAATTGCCATTATTGCCGTATCGATCCATTTACTGAAATATGCATAATCGTGCGCGTACGAACTTAATATTTCTACTGCATACCGTTTATTATTTATTTAATAACCTTAATTGACATTTAAATCGATCAACTTTGACTTTGAATTTAATAATTTATTGATGTTTCCTGTAATGCAAATTTAGTAATCGATTAATTATAACAATCGCAGGCGATCCGGGTACAAGCGAGTCGGTACATGGAATGTAGGAGACGATTCGTGTAAACTTTTTAGAAAAAAAATTCACGGGAACCGATTCCGAGGGGTCAGATCGGAGGCGATTCGCGAGCGCCCACATTAATAATTGCAGATTGTTTCGGTTGTTTGTCCAGTTTCCGTATGAGATGGAGGAAAAAACACCGTCTGGTTATCTCTGCGTACCTACGTCATATTTCGCAGAATTAATTTTATCATAAATCGTTTATTATTATCATATTCACGAGTCGTGTGTGCGAATTCGGTTTATTTGAGTGCAGGTACTTCACTAGAAAAAAAAAAAAAACCGGGCGCGATATACTTTTGTCTACTCGTGTACGGAATAAACGTGCAAAACGTGTTTCCGTCAACGCACGCCCACAGCGCGGACTTACATCTGCAAAACCTTGAACTCTGTCCGGGGGAAAATAATAAAACAATAATTATCGTACCTACCGAACAATTAATTTAATTAATTTCGTCCGGTTCAGAGGCGTGTGTAGGATTTCATCCGGAGCCAGTTGGATTTTTGATTTTTTAGAGGGACTAATGTTTTATTTTATTTTTTTTTTACGTGCCATTTTTTAATAAAGAACATTTATTTTAACGATATCAATAATGTTCTATTTTGAATTCTAAGCGAAGGGAGAAATACATCGGTTTTACAATGATATTTATTTGTTTATACTGTGTACACAATTTCTACCGGAAATCTTGCTCCGATTTTCAAGTGTCACGACTGTTGTGGACACATTTTTTTATCTAATTGACGCTTAAAGAGGGTCATTTTTGATTTTACAAATAACATTTCATAATAATATTGGGTTAAAATTGAGAAAAAAACTTGGGGAAAACGAGAAAATTTACGAAAATAATGCTATATTATTTACAATTTTATTTTTTTATATTCAATTCAGTTTAAAATATTCGTAGGGACTTGAATTTCGGACAAAAACTTATACTTACATTTTCTAGACGTGGTAAAATTTTCAAAATATTTTAGCCATTTTTGAGTTAATTATAACCATTTTAATTTTGCGAGTTTTTAACGTAATTTTTATTCGGAATGTACAAATTGGATACAATTGTTACGCCAAACAAAATTACTTAAAAACTTAACAGGAATTTCATTATAAGTCGTACTATGCCGAAAAAAAAAAAATTTGAGTGTACCTAATGTATTAGTTAAAAAATATAACCGCCTTCTTTTTTCCTGTGAACAAATTTTTCACCAGCAATTTCGTTCCGACTTACTATGATCGCACTTTTTTTGACTGAAAAGGTCATTTTTCGATTTTCCCAGAAAATGTGAAAAACCGGGGGGAAAAAATGGTAAAACCGAGAAAAACGTAGGAAAAACGAGAAAATCGGTACAATATTAAACAAATTTACAGCACATTTAGTAAGCGATGGTCTATCGTTGCTTACAGATACGAATTAATTTCCCCTCTGTATCCTACGTTGCTAACTTCTCACCGACAACAGTGACTACACCCATCGTGCCCAGGATGTCCGTCCTTTTTTTAGTTCTTCAATTAAGCGCAAGTAGTTTTTTTCTGATTCGTCGCACAGGCTACCTACGTGAATGTGCAGAACATACGTCGTGTAAACACGAAATACGAACTTCGTATAGTATATTATTGTCTTGACAACACATAAAACGTCGAAATGTGCGAAAATAATATCATGCGCTAAACGTTTTTCGTACTTCTATTCGCGGAACTAAATGATATCATACAAAACGGTTTTTTTTTCACTATTTTGCTTAGCGTTTTTACTAAATGGCCTTACTAAAAATGTACGCAAATGCCCACACAAATCCGAGCCCTGCCGAGACATAATGGTATCGTTACTGTATGCGTCAGCTGCTGCAGCGGAAAAATCGCCGAACGTCGTCGCGCGAGTTTGGCAATTTATATATTTTAACCGGGCGATGCGGTTTCGCGTATTATAATACCGTCCGGTAAAATATTACAACATTAACATCTCAAAACGGGTTCCGTCGAACTAACTGTACAAGCCGATCGAAACGTGCGACGCGAATTAAGTGCACGTCGACTTTCTTTGTGTGTAAGAAAAAAGAAATAAAAAAAAAAAAATTCCGAATATACATCACAGTTCGCGCCGCGGACAGGCCACTACGGGTAGCCATGCAACTTGTGCAAATAGCACGTTTGCAGGGGGGGTATCGGATGTCACACGGTAATGCGATTTTCAACACCGCAAAAAGTGACGATAAATCGCCCGGTACCGAAAAAATGATTACACCCGGAGTTTGGTTACAATTTACCGTGTTCGTACTCGTGTTTTGTCCCTTCTGACCACGGAACCTCGGGGAACCGAAATAACGGTGCAACGCCACGCTGACGTTTAAAATTTCCCGCTTTCGGATTCAGCAATAAGCTGCCGGTCAGACGATTGAAATTCACCGGAAAACCATTGGAAAACAGCATTTGCAGTCAAACGAGACGAGGGGAGGGGGCGGTGATAATTTCAGAAAAAAATAGTTATATTTCGAATACATAAATCTGATCAACAATCTAAAATTCAATGACTGCGGAAATGAGTATTATACCGAGTCGAATATAAGTAACTGAACGAACGAAATATTCAATATTTATACCGCACATCGGCGTAGTCGTTTTTCCCGGATATTATAACAATTACCAGTCCAAATGAATTAAAAAATTATCTTTCGCTCGGCGATTCTAACCGTATGTGTCAGTTACGATGTGTGATTTTTTTTTTTTCTCCATCTCGAAAATTCTCAACGGAAATCCCGCTCCAATTTTCGCGCGTACCAGGTTTTCTGTAAGACAATTTCGTCTAGTCGATGTGGTAAGTATGTAATACACCAGGTGTATAACCGACACGATTTTTCTTCGATTTTCCCCGTAGGTTTCTAAATAATCAGGAAAAACCGAGAGAGAAACCGTGGGACAATCGAGCGAATATACGGCGATAACGGTTTTATTATTTTCGATTCGGTTTTTTTTTTTTTTTTCTGTTACAATTCGGTAAAAACGCACCTAGACTTTTGGCAATATTCACAGTATCGGGCCGTTTTCGTTTTGTTTTACAGGTACGTAATAATTGTTCTCGGCCGTTCCCCGGAGATCGTCGCGATTCGAACGCGGATAACGCGGTGCCGGGCGCGATTGAAGTAGCCGGTAAAAGACGCGTGTCTTTTCTCCGGGCGCGCACCGACAGCGCGAAACATTTGCAATACGCGACGCGCGATCGCAGTATTTTTAAAACATGTCATTATTCGCGCGACCCCGCCGTCGGTAACCGCCACAGTTTTCCGTCGGGACGTTCCGCGGACCGTTAAATTGGCGCGCCCGGGTTTTTTCAAAGTGGGGAGGGGAGGGGGCAAATAAACGTGTTCAACTAAATTAACAGTTTTCTGCCACGTTGACCGGGTAAAATTATAAAATTTGCGTTGCGCAAATTATATTTGTACGCGGTTCGCGTGTTGTTCGTTTTTTTTTTTTTTTTTAGTTTGACACTACGCCAACTGGGGATGGAAGTGGCCGAAGCCGCCCCCGGCAGCCGTTCCGCGTGTACGCCAACGAGCGCGCTTGATTTGCGTATACGATTGCCCGTGGGCCGGCCGTTATTGGCCGCACGGAGTGTGTTTTCCAGCGTTTTCGGATATTTTAATTGTACATTACGTAATTCGTATTGCGCAATACATCGATAACCGAAAAACCGATTAAATCGTTACGATTCCCCGGACGTTTTGTTGTTACGATTCGATTCCCGACTGTCCCGATCCGATTATAAACGTTCACCGGGTGCAAAAAAATTAAACGAGACCAGAAAAATTGATGGGATTCAGCGCTAAAGAGAGTACGCCAAGAACGCGCGAATATATTTTCGATTCGAGTACGTGAAAACTTGTTAAGGTCCCATCCGTGCACTACGATAAAACGGAACTTCGTGTCGAAATCGTATCGTGTTTTCGTTTTTAATCAGTTCGTTTCAGTTAGGTCAGTAAAGTTATTCGCGATAAGACCAACAAATATAGTTTAAATATTTACGTTTCTTTCGATTTTAACGGGTTTTTGTTTTCAATTGTTTTGTTCGTTGTTTTGTAATTCATCGCAAACAAGGGGATTTTTTTTTTAAATTATATTCGTATTATTAATCTAAACAAAAACGAATCAATTAAATAACATTTGAACGACGCGTTCAACCTTTAGTTTATGTTACATGCGCACGCGTGACGCGTAATGAGAAAAACCTCTCTTACCGATAAGCCTGCACACGCTCGATTCCGAACGTCAACCGAGGCAGACCTGTCGCGTCAGCGTTCGACAGACATCAAAAGCATCGGTTTTCGGCATTACACTTCGGCAAATTGCCGTGGTTAGGTATACGCAGCCGCGTATGATACGGGCAAGACGCTTAAACCCTATAAGCACTATAGGTAAATTGCGATTTGTGTATCGCGGTGCAATAGACACTCCGTATATTCTAAAACTGTTTACGCTATACGAGACGCAAGGTATTTGTAACGTGGATACAACCCGGTCCTGGGTATATTACGTTTTACGCGTGTATAATACGTATAAAATATATCTAATACGATAATCTTTAAATCGAAAAAAGAACATTTTTTTTTTTTTAATCGTCTGTTGTCGGGTTTATAAAACCACGAATCGTATAATTTAATATCACAACAACAGTGTGTCGTCAATAATGTTACAATAATATAAATACGGACGAAATAAATAAAAATAAAATAAAAATAAAATAGTGAAACGACGACGACGCGGTCAAGTAGTAGTTAGGCATCATCAGTAGTGACCACCCGAACTTCCCGAAGAACCGTGTTTATTGTTCTGGAAACTGCCCTCGTTGTTTTGCGCTGTCGAGAAACCGGACGACTCGTCAACCACGATTTCCTTGTGGCCGCTGGACTGAGACCCGTATCCCGAAACGCTGCCGCCGCTACCGCTGCCGTGACCGTAGTGGCCGCCACTCGATCCGGTCCCGTGGCTACCCTGACTGCCGCCTCCGTTGTGATGCTGTTGGTGCGAGCCGCCGTCATGGCCACTATGTCCGTGGTGTCCGCCGCTGATCGATCCGGTTCCGTAGTTTCCGCCCTGCTGATAACCCGACGACGAAGCGCCGCCGACCGATTGGCTCCCGGAGCTCACCTCGACGTGTTTGTTCGAAAACCCGGAGGCCACTTGCAACTCGCTATCGCTACCGTGACTGCTGCCACTGCCGTAATTTTGTAGTTGTTGAGAACCACTACCGCCGTGGCCGTGGTTACTAAAACCACTACCGCTTGCCAAACTACCGCTGCCCAAGCTGCTCTGTTGATGGTTTGTGCTAAACTGAATTTCACTGGATTGTTGTTGACTGCCGCCGGAATGATGTTGGCCACCACCGTGTTCGTGTTCTTTGTTATGATGTGGACGACCAAGGGAATGGGCAACCGACGCGATGACCACGGTCAATACGATAAACTGAAACAAGCATAATACAATACGGGTACAAAATTTATTCGTGAACACGTGAAGTGCGAAAGTTACGTGTAACCGTAATTGTTTAGAGTACGCGTTACTTTAAATATTACATTTAAAAACAAATATATTTATAAACATTGTATTAATAATTTAATAAGTCAATCGGAGTTAATTATTTTCATTAACTGGCCCGCGCGTTCGTCAATAAAAATAAAATCGCAGATAATCATATCGTGTAATAATAATTATGTATAGTTACCGTGCGGTTCATGATTTCGTAGTCGGTTTCTGCGCTGGACGATCGCGTTAAATTAATCGGATCGGGCTGTACTGACGGTGGTTGAAAACTGGTGACTACGGTTGGTCCGGCCGGAACGCCGTCTTATATATTCTGTACTGTAGGTGTACCCGGTGCGGTGTAATCGGATGTGTCCCGCGTTGACTCCGACCGAGGTCAACTGGTAGGTGATGACGGGGCGGTGCAGAGAAAAGACAACGATCAGATTATATTATAAATAAAACAGAAAAAAAAAAAAAAAAAAATGTTTTTCGTATCAAATCGCGTATAATATTATTTTGCAACGTTCGCGGATATTTTCCGACCGGCGTACACGGCGAGCACACACAATAACAATTATAGGTATAAAACCGACTATTATATAAATACATGTATATACCTATGCGGTCTTGATGATAGCGAGGATGTACCAATAGATATATCAACATTTTTACCGACCGCAATAACACGTTCGTAGAAATAATTATAATATTTTTATTTGTATTTTTTTTTTATAATATAATTAAAAAAAAAAAAATAAATTACCTAGACAGTATTCGCCGCCCTATGCGTCATTTGTACACATTTAAAACGATCGTATACGAACTAAACAACAACGAATTCAGGTTTTGTATAAAGAAACATTTTAAAATATCTAGACAAAGATAAAACTGAAAACATATAACTGCCAGAATAATTATTATCTGGATGAAGATTAAAGACACGTAACAATATTAAAATAGATTAAAAAAAAAGATAGTAAATAGCAATAATAATTATATAAAAAAAAAATTCACGAATTTTATTATTTACTAAACACATTACACGTCCCCCTCTCGCTTAAAATGCCCGGGTAATTTCCCTGATAATGGTATTAGATACGAAAAATAGAAAGAATAAGATAATACATATTAATAAGAAATAACTATGAATATCTAACTATAATAAGGAAATGTGATAAGAAAAAAACGTTACTGACAAACCACTGCTTTTATACCTATACAGAATGTCCCTTAATATATCCTTTGAATATCACCGGGGATAATAAAAATAATCAAATTATGTTTTTTTTATATTACTCACAGGAATGAGGACTACAAAGTTCTACTAATCCGTGTAAAAACCGATGTTATCGAGGGAATAACATTGGTTTTCACACGGTATTTAATTTTTTTACTAACATTTTGAGCTATTGGTACATGTTTTAATTTTGCGGGTTGTTTTCATAATTTTTATTCGGTAAATACTCTGTGGATAAAATTGTTAGACTAAACAGAAATACTTGACAATTTAATAGGAAGTTCATTATAAGTCATACTCGTTACTTACAAAAAAATTGAGTGTAACGTAGTTTTTATTTTATAAAAGTTTTAAAAACGAATTTTGACGAAAATCGTAAATATTACGGCTTTTCGAAATATGTATAACCTAACTTCGTTCCAAGTAGTTTTTTGTTAGCAATAGTCATTGCATTGAGATATAACGATTCCATAAAGGTTAAAAAAAATATAAATCAAATACACTTAAAATCCTCTGAGATAATTGCTGGTTCGTGATAAAAAAATCATTCTGTATATTGTTGACGAAGCAACACTATCAACTAAACTCCGCTCAGAATCGTTTTTTCGTTGGCAATGGATTATCGTTTATATTTATACAAATACAAATTAATTTTCCCTCTATATCCTGCATTCCCAACTTCTCACCAACATTTCGCACGTCGTGCGAAATATATCTGTCTTTTTATACATTGAAACCTTGGCATTTCTTCGGTGTTATATTTCCAAATTTGATCTTATAAAAATTATATTTTATTCTAATTCCCCTTTGGTGTGATTTTATTATATTGGAGCTCCTTATAATTATTTTAGTATCAGCTTGAATACTACATATTTAAAAAATTTAATACGTTGAGATGTAAGTAAATAAAATTGCCAATCAAATTCTGAATGGAAAGGTTACTATGAGTTAATCGTGCGATTAATAGTTAATATAAGTACGATAAATATTGGTCTTTTTGTCCTAATTTCTGGAGGAAATAAAAAACCGTTTTCGGTGTAATTTTTTACTGAATAATCAGTAAATTGTATACATTTTTTATTTATATGTTGTGTTTCAGTTAATTCACAGGTAAAGCCATTTCCAATTGATTATAGGTCTAAAAATGGTAATCCAAAAATGTATGTGTTGACTCAATTCTGTATTATGAATGTACTCCAACGTGACCAAACTTTTTATTGATTTGTACTATGAATTCCCAAGGTAAAACCGATAATCACGAAGTTTAGTCAATGGCCAAATCTTATTTATTTAGTGCAATAAATGGCTATTTCAAAGTCATTTGAACTCATTTTTAATAGCTAAACAATAATTATTCATAGTTTGAAAAATATCTAAATAGGATTTTTTTGTTCCATAAGATTAAATTTGAGAAATACATATATAAAATATTAAAAATAGTAGGTTTATCTATTGTAAAACTAGTTCTAACGGACATCGTAAAAGTAAATAATGCGTACAATATGAGAACCCCTTGTTAAATAATGATTTTTTACGGTTTTAGGAACTAATTTAAATATTAAATTTTCGTGAACCAAATCTTGAGAGTCAACCTTCGTATTAACCAAAAAATTGGAATCCAATTCAATGGTCGCCAACCTGGACAGCATTGGGAAGACAGAATTAAAGACACATGAATGAATGTATATTGGAGGTAGGTCCTTCAAAGACTGTGAAATCTCAAGAATATTACCTCGATTATAATAATAATTTAATAAGCATATTTAATAAGTATATAATATATTATAATATTCAACCTGAAAATTACTCGTTAAAAAAAAAAAAAAAAACAAAAAAAATATAACGATTTGAACTTATATATATGGCACGACAAAATAAACGTGAATTGATCTTGGTCTCCTCTACGGGTATAACCACATCGTATCATGACCAATTTTACAACATTTTAGTATTTTTTGTTTTAAAACGATCCTTATAATGAGTACAAATAAACAAAAACAAAAACGGACAATAAAAAAAAAAAAACGCACAAAGATAATGACATAAACGTACAAAAAATAAAGCAAAATGTTTTGGAAATGTGTATAGGTAGATAGTTCAATTTGTAAAAAACATCATTACGGTATGAAGATATTACTTTTTTAACATTTAAGTCGAAATATATTTTCCACGAACGTAATAATTTACAAAAAACAAAAAAAAAAAAAAAAACGTATAAATATCTATAAGTATAATAAATATAGTAAGAAAATAATATATTAGAAGTATAAAATAATTATAACAATCGTACGCGTAAACATAGGGGCTAGGTATATAAGAGGGAACGCGGAGAACGCCTTCTCATTCTTTGTATATATTTTTTTTTTTTTTTGTTCTCGAGTCTTATACTATATTATAAAAATAGTTTGGTAATTACGTTTTTTCCGCTTGTATAATTACGCAAGTTATTGAAAAAAATATTCTATATTTGGTGCATAATATAAATTATATACGTAAATACAACGTGTAAGAACTGTATTAAATATAATATTATTTCGGTGATCAAACACGATTCTCGTCTTGACATTTTACGCGCCTCAGATGAAACGACCCTCTCCTTATGTCCCGTAAAACCAAGTCCACGATGCACACATCTTCGTCTTTGGGATCAGTCTTGAGCCTCCGCGGGACGTTGCGCTTCTTAAGCGTGTTTTGTGCGCCGTCTTTTTCATTTTCGATTTTAGCCGCGAGTATTTTGTTCTTCTCCTCCTGTATACGGCGGTTGACGTTCTCCTGCAAATTATAACAATAATATTATCAAGTCCGCAACAGTTCGCGCGCGATAATCGTTATTCATTATGAAAAACCGGCCGTTTTGTTATTATTATAATTTTTTTTTTTTTTTTAATAAAAAGGACTTCTTAACGTGCTATCACCCGTATTTAAGGTGCTGCGTATAGGCAATCTCTTGAAACTTTTCAAAAAATCCCAAGGTTTTATTGTGCAGTAGCGTAATTAACAAAGACGTTTACTGAGATATCGTTAGCGTTAGGAAAAGTTATTCGGTTTATAGACTTTATTAAGAGACCAAATTTTCAACATTACAACTTCAGTTTTAAAAAACATAAAATCATCATATTTTAGAATAAAATTACATATTTTTTATTATTTAGGGTACCGAGAAACTAACAAGCGACTCAGGAATCTCATAAACAGGGCTCGGGACTTAATGCGTTTAAAATCCACTGGTTTCATAAAGCCAATGGTTTAAAAATAATTTAAATGTGCATTTAAATTGCAGTGGTACCATTTAACACGGTTTGTAATAATTTCACGCAGGAAGGTCATTTTTAAGAAGCGCTTAACTCACAAGTCGATTTTACCAATTGCCAATACGACAGTTTTCATGAAAACCGTCTGATTGTTAATTACCCGACCGAATAATATTCGAAAAACGATGAAAAGATCGCCAATCACGGGATGATTATTATCATAATAATTGCTTTACCTTAGCGACCACGTCGATTCTTTCGAAAAAATTTCCCAACAGAGCAAACGAGTGTTCAATTTTAAACTTGCTCGTATCCTCACCAAAATAAACGGCTACTTTGGTAATTGTTTCCATAGTTCTTTGGTACTCTTCATTGAGCTTTTCCACATCTTCTACGCCTTTTTTTATAAAGTCTAAACATGTACAACAATATACAATTATAAAAATATAGGTTCGCTTGTCAGTGTATTTGTACATAACTACCGGTGCAAATCGAAAAATTAAAAAAAGCTGATACTGCTGATGGATGTGCCACTATTTTCAGAAGCAAGTTATAAGGTTGCATATTATAGAGTAATTTAATTGTTATAAGTACGCAATGAAAAACGATTTTGAGTATAAATATTCGTATTTTTTCCCTAAAAATATTAATTTTCCCATTTTTTAAGAAAACTGCAAGATCAAAAACTGACCTTAATGCACCAAACGGATCAAAAATGATTTAAAAAAAGCTGCTATTGGAGCAATATTAGAAAAGTAGTTTAGACACACGAAAAAACCCCATATATTCCTCGTTTCGCTCATAATCTAATACATAATTTTATCATGAACCAGCAATTTTCTCAGAGAATTTTAAGTTAATTTAATTTCGTTTTTTTTAATCATAAAATCATTTAAACTTTTATTAACATTATTTTCAACTTATATCCACTTAGAATTTTCAATAGCAACCCCCCTATTCAAAATATAAAAATAGAGAGACCAATTTATCATTTAAAAATAGACGTGAAATTTATTATCCTTCCCTACTCATCCGATCTAAACTTCAAACTGTTATAATTCATAAACGATAAACCTGATATTAATGTTATGCATATCAAAACGTCAACAAAAATATTCTCTATTCAAATCTATACTTAAAAAAGAGGGTTCCAATTTGAAAATTAAAAGTATATATTTATTTAAGGTACATTGAGTATGGGTTAAAAATTACAAATGGGTTTAAAATAAATTTTAAACGATTCCACAATTATAAAAAAAAAAACACATTCACTTAAAATCTTTCAATATTATACGGATAAAAAACGATTGATAATAAAAAATATACTTACCCCAAAATTGTGTGTATATTAATTGTTTTTTCGACTGTTTCGATAATTCGGAATATAAATTTCTAGTCTGTTTCGTAATGATTTTAATTTCTTCTTCCAATGACGAAAAATTTATTCTGTCGAACGGAAATGATAAAACAAACAAAAAACGAATAGATGGTTAGCCGCATATTATTTTATAACCATAGCGAATTCGAGGAAATTAATTTGATATTTTTATAATATACCTAGATAAATTCCTCAGAGCCGAAGTGTACTTAGTAAAACTTAAAATTTTGTTTGCGTTGGACTGGGCCACTTCAACAACGAAATGCAGAAATGTCACTCTCGGCTTATTGGCTCGGGTGTCCAGCAATTTGGGTAACGTGTCGAGCGTAAATCCACTCGCGTTGCCGGCATAACTTCCCTGCGGAAAAAATTTCAGTATAAATGTACTCGGTGTCATAACCAAGAATTTGGAATGGAGTAAGGGGCAAAGCGAATAAAACATCAATCTGAATAAAAAAATAATTATTGACATAAATACATGTTCTATTTCTTTAATAATTTCATTTCGTCGTATAACTAACCCTTGTACAATTTTTTATTTAAGTTTCAAAATGTGATAAAAAATCTGAATCATCACATTCGATTCTAAAAGAAAGCAAGGCACGGAAAATATCTTGTTCACCACATATATAATTTGTTCTGGTCTAATTGTACTGGCTACATGGTAAAAGCAATACAGCCAATGGGGAAGGACGCGGACCGTTCCCTTCCCCCAATAGCTACGCTACTGAATGTACTTAAACGCCAAGCACTTTTTCCGAACGATACAGCAAAATAAATAATAATGTTAAGATAAGGCTTTATAGACCCGCATTTACTGTGTTGGTATAATAACAGGCAAATGTAACAAAATTGCGTTACTTAAAACATAAATTGTCGCATTGAAGTTGAAATATTAATGTGTTTTAACACAACTAACTAAATTTGAATATGAGAATATATTTGATAGTAAGATATGTTGCTATACTCCCGAAATCAAAAAGGTCGATAATTTTTATACGAATTCTCTCCCGGATATATACGAGTTGCCTCCCGGCGTACCCTAAACTTTATCGTAAACGAAAAGGGTCTACTTCAAGTCGTCTCCCAATAGACAGGTAATGAATGTATAAGTGGTTCACAAACGATTCAACAATTTTCAAACAGTATGCATAAATATATAGCTATGTTTAAATCTTTTATTATGAAGTAATATTATGTTGGTTATTACTTATTAATAACCTATCATTCGATTTTGGATTTATACATTCAAAGTCATAATCTGTGGATTTTGTACATTGATAAGACTTTACGAATAATATTAAACATTATGTCTTTTGTGTAATAATTATTGTCGTTAGCTGAGCTTCAACACTCGTTATACGATTTTATTTTTACCAAAAGTTATTGCGTGAGTTTAAATTTTCTAATAAGTTTTTAAAACGGATGAAATTTAAATGCGGGAAATAATCAGTGAAAAGAGCGAACGTGATAAAATAATTAATAGTTTTAAATTTAGTTTTCAAAAAGTTAGCCTGCATCAAAAAACGGAGGAATTGTACGACAAAAATATGCAAAGCTGTTTTAAAAGTAGACGAAAGTGATTAGGTAATATTGAACGAAAATAAGTTGAACCATAATAGACATTGCCTGAACAAGTACATGTTCAATACATGTTTTTTTACTGACTAATTACTAATTATTTTTAAGAAAATTATAATTATTACATTAAATTCAGTTTAGTTTATGAACCACTGTTTTATTCAATGTGGGAAGCAACTAGTACGAAACTTTTTTCGGAGGCGGATTCGTATATAATTTTGAACTACCTAATCGTCGGAGACAACTAATGTATGTTAACTGTTTTATTTACGATAAGGATAGGAGGAAAACTTCGTACATTTTAGGAGACAATTCGTATGCACCGGTTTAAACTCTTATTTTAATAAAAGTAAATGCCAATAATAACAGGATACTCTTAATCGAATCTAAAAACGTGGAGTAAATAACCAGTAGTGCGTTTAAAACCACAGATTCTCGGATTACACCGGGGTTCCGGATGTCGGAAAAAAAGGTCGTATTGGCTAAATGATATATAAATAATAATAATATGCTTACAGCGTTTAAATAGTTGCCAATAAACAGTACGAGCGATAAGAATTGTTTGAACGGCTCATCTTTTATCAGATTATGACACATTTCCCTTATGCCATCAAGCTGACCGAGTATATCACTCACCGTTGTCGGTAATTCTTCTTTCTGGGGGAATCAAAAAAAAATAGAAATGTATACGTTTAATAATAATATTGATGATAGGAGTTTTAGTTATAGTACACTATAGTAAATATTTACTTCTATCATGAGTTTTATTTTCAATTGATAGTTGGGTATGTCATTGAGATTCAAACAAAATTGTTCGGCCTTGCCAACGACGGTTGCCGGATCACACGTTTGTTTTTTAATGATTTTTATCTATACATACGAAATAACAAAAATATTATAACATTATAATTATTTTTTTATAAATCGGCCGTGTTTTTTATTCACCTCGTCGTCCGTGGGCAAAACCCGCTGGATGCCTTTTAATTTATCCAGCGGAATCGATGACCCGTTTTGGAGAGCCTCTAGAATTTCGTCCGAACCGGATTTAAACTGTTTCAGCATAATGTTGATGGCCAAACTCCGTTTGCTGTCTAGTATGTTTACGATGTTGACTTTAGACGCACTTACCGGAGATAATACCGCCGGTGAAGATTTCGTCCGGGATTTCTGGCAGAAGAGCTCGTCGATTTTTCGAAAGTTGATCGGTAAGTCAGGAGGATCCGCTGAAGACCAAATCGACTTGTCTGAACAAATAAAAACGAAATGATTTTTTTGTAGAGGATGCGTTTAAAACAAAAAGAATAATTTTTCAATCTACGATTCTATACCTAAATATTTGTTATTGACTTTGGTCCAATTTAAAGTCTTCATTTTGATCGTGTTCGGCGACAACGAGTAGTATTTAATATTGTTGTTTGTTCTTCTCGTGGGCACCGTCCGATGACCATCAGAAATGTTCGGTATCGCGAAATTCGTTTGACCGAGTTCCGTAAAACACGTTGAGGACGATATTGGAGGGAATGATGGAATCACTCCCGGTGGCGGTGGTGGCGTCATACCCGAAAATGGAGGTGGCGGTGGTGGCGTCATACCCGGAAATGGAGGTGGCGGTGGTGGTGCCATAACCGGTAATGGAGGTGGCGGTGGTGGCATCATACCCGGTAATGGAGGTGGCGGTGGTGGTGCCATTCCCGGTAATGGAGGTGGCGGTGGTGGCATCATACCCGGTAATGGAGGTGGCGGTGGTGGTGCCATACCCGGTAATGGAGGTGGCGGCGGTGGCACCATACCTGATAATGGAGGTGGTGGTGGCGGTGGTGGTATTCCTGTTGAAGTAAAATTATATGAAGACGGAAGCGGGGGTGGAGGTGGAATTTCCTTTTGAAGGGGAAACGGCGGAGGTGGTGGAATTTTCGACGATAGGAAAGGCGCCGCAGTAGGATGTGAAATTCCCAAAAGTGTTGGAAATGGTGGGGGTGGTGGGATTTCCGAAAGTGACTGAAGTGGTGGTGAAAGGAATGGCAAGGGCGGCGGCGGCGGTGGCGGTGGTATCGCGACCGAACTTTCGAGTACGAATTCGGTAGTTTTACACGAATTATGCACAATGTTCTCATCGGACGAGTTCAGGTCGTTATTGTTCAGCTCAGGATTATTGCGGTCAGAACCAGCGGCACCACAATAACACGTGCCATCTGTTTGCGTGAATATCGAACATTGAATTGGCTTTATGACGTTCTTGGTCGGCGGCCTGTTGGAATTTGTTTTCTGGATGTCCGTAGATCCGTTGACCACCCTGACTACAGTGGGCAATGACGGCCTTTTGGTTTTCACAACAGCGGTCCGCTTGGTGTCTTTCTGGGCGTCCAGTTGTAAGCTGTGGCGCCGGTTGTGCGACGGTTGGAAATGTTTATTGAGCCGTTTTTCGTCAGTCTGTGACTCCGTAGAATGTGTTCTAGATGTTTTCCTGTATGTATCCAACACCGTTTGTGGTTCGTTACATACCACGTCGTAGATCAAATTCCAAATGTCATTACTGTAGAATAAATAAATAATAAATACGCAATGTTCGGCGCATTTGTGTACACCTAGTTCGTTATTATTTATTTTGTCTATATATATATTTTATTGTTTATTTTGTTTATTTTTAGGTATTATACGTTTATTTAATAATAATTAATAATTATTATCAAACAGCTAGACATATATGGTGGTGCGGAGTGTATACTCTGCACCAAGAGTAGGACACTGTTGTAGGTAGGTTGTTTGAAAGATTGGATAATATTTTATAAAGGATAATTTAATTTATACTTTACTGTAAATTAAACGATACATCATTGCAATCGAGAAACGATTCTGAAGAGGTAGTATTTGTTTTTGTCACGAATATATAACTTTGAAAAAATTAACAAAAATAAAAAAAAATACCTAAATGAACCGAATTGGGGGTTATACTGTTAAAAATGTCTATAAATTTGTTCAGATTAACTACAGCTGGTCAGAAATTTCACATTTTTAAATTTGTAAAATGTACACCTTTTCACGCATCTTCACAAAAAATCTAAGTATATTTTAGAAAAAATATTGAGTAAATTTAGTAAAAAAAAAAAAACCAGAGCATTTTCACTAACTATAAAATTAAAAAACTAATGTGGTATTAGTTTCAGCGGTAAATTTCTGGGTATAGGCGAGAATTAGGGACTAAGGGGGCTTAGTTCACCAAGATCATCCAAGACCCTCGAAAATGTATATTTATTAGGATAAGCAATACTAAATATTTAAATTTATTTTAGAATCTAGCCCCCCAATAATGTATCTAGAGCGATTTGTGAATCGCCAACTTAGGGATTTCATTAGATTATATTAGTACCCTATTGACCAAATAGGGTCTGTTGAAATAAGAGCGGATGATTTGAACTGGAGCATGCTGAAACATTTTCAACGTGAGAGATTAAGGAAAATGTGTTTAATTGTTAAAACCATCAAACTTTGCATATGTTCCAAACTGATTAATGTAATATATTTCCAACAAGGATTATAAGGGCCATTCTCACCAACGTATAAAAAGGCGTTTTTCTGATTCTTAAACTGAATTTATGGCTGACGGCCGACCACGATTGGTCGATAATCTCATAAACTCCGTTTAAAAATCAACATTTACGTCGGTGAAAACAGGCCTAAGAGATCATTTAAACCCATCGTTAATTTAAAATTCATCCAACCCCCTCAAAACTGGTATATTATCGCTAACTGAACAGTTATATCCTAAAATTATATTTTATTATAATCACGTAAACGCACACAAAAAAAAACAAAGCATAACAATAATTAAAATTTAAGTAAGCAAAATAATAATTACTTACATATTCGAATCATCGTAATCCATTTCAGACATTTGTAACAGGATACTCTGTAAGTATGAGTCGTACAATGTATTTGATATCTAAATGTCGAAACGAATAGCAAAACAAAAATAACTCACGATTAACTATAAGTAAATTGTGTTTTATAATAATATTTAGAGTATATTAGGAGAGTAAACGGAAGGGAAAGGTCGAATCGTACTTATTTTAGTCGAACTGTACAGTTGGGTTATAAAATGTTCGAAATAATATAATTAATTTTAAAATTTTTAAAACACGCTTTCCTTGATGTTTTAACACGATTGATTACAAATAGATTCTTTATTTTATTGTCAAATACAAACACAAGATCTTCAACTACACGACACCAGAAAAAAAAAATGAAATTTAAAATATATTATCTTATATAATCACAATTCAATTAACAAAATGAAGTTTTTAAATTCAGTTTCTTATAATAAATTACTACAAACAAATGATTTTAAACATTAATAGTAGATAGTAATTACATACTATAAATGCAAAATTTTGTGAATTATTCATACCAAAACGGCTGATCGAATTTGAATTAAATTTGGTAAAAAGATATAATAATATTTGTTGGATTATCGATCCCATCTCAAAATTTAGCACCGAAAGTATAGCTGAAACCGGATTTTTGCTATTTTCGGAACGAAAATCGAATTATTTCTGTTGGTATATGGGTTAACTTACGGACACGAATGAAAAATAAACAGATATTATTAGTTAATTTTATTATGGTGAGCTTTAAAAAATTAAATATTACCGAACAATTATAGTTAACGGTACGGGGTGAAACGGTAAAACACGGGATGACAAGTTTTTATATGTTTACATTTTTTATTTTCTAGTCATGGAAAAAACAATGTGAGATAGCTAATATATGTATATAAATTAATAAACAAATAGTTAATTAATTGATATTAAATATTTAACCACTATAACGGTTAAAAATATTGTCAGTCCTATGCTTGTAAGTGGAAAGTGAAATTAGTGTTTTCGAATCTATTTTTGGCTTGAGTACGATTTGACTATCCGGTAGGGACAGGGGGTAAGGATAGAGACCCGCTTACTTTTGACCGGAGTTTTTCAAGAAGTTCCTGGTGGGTTTTCGGCCGTACTTGGTTTTCGTCGGCCAGCTGATGTTCTTCGAACACGGTTATTTGAATTTGTAGCGCTTCGTCTTCATAACCAGCCATGTTTTCGATAGCTGCCCGCAGTCCAATGGCTGAAAAAAAGGCCGCCGGGAAAACATATTATATAGGTAAAAACAAAAACCGTATCATTCGACACGAAAAACAAACAAATGATGATGGTAATAACAATACGCCATGACATATATTATTATTACTATTAGAAATCAACACTGCTAGTAAATGTATTTGAAAGTGAATTTGAAAATTTGGGAGTTGATAAAATTTATTTTTTTCAAAATTTAAAAAAAAATGCCTATTCGCGACCCCTTAAATATGGGTGGTAGCACGGTACTCTTAATAATTATTAAACGATATTTTATTTTAGTTCTTGGGAAATCGGCGACGATCGGCATAGTTTTCTGTAGCGGTGTACAATTTTATTTTCATTAAAAATATGCAATATATATGCAAACAAATGCAATTACACTTTAATTAAACAAAAATGTGCAAAATACAACTTTGTTATTGATTGAAATTATTAACGAAAACCTAAAAATATGAATAGGAAATTAATTATATACAACATTATATTATATAAACTCGTGATCTAATTTTATAATAACTAACAAGGAATTAAATTGTATTGTATTGTGTAAATTATATTATATTCTGTATGTTATACAAAATAAACGTACCCAACAGTTCATTTCTGATGCGAATCCTTTTCCTCAGATTCTGTTCGACGAGTATTAGACAGTTGACAAGCGCCATCAGCGTTGTCTGATAAGCAAACGTGTCCGCCTGCTGCAATTCCATCACCACGATTTCAAAATCGTGTCGTAACATTTGCTTCATCTATACATGTATAACATATTGTACAATACAGAATTATTTCACGTGCAACAAAATAAAATACAAAGGTGATAAACGATAATCATAATATTTTCGCATTTTTTTTTTTTTTTTCTAGATCTTCAATTGCGATGAACACAACCGCAACCGGTTCATGAACACGTGACAAACGCGATAATAACAAAATATTTAAGTATACTGAGCAAAGGTGTAGTTTAATCGAACCGCGTTTCAGATCAAGGAGAATATTAAGGATTTGATATACCAATTCGAATTTACGGTTTCAATGGGTTACCACGTTTATATGCAATGCGTTTTCCAAACGCCTGCTCGATTTCGTCATGGAATATATTTTGTGTTAGAGCATTGAATAAAAAATCAAGTAAATAAAAATAAAAAGCCGTATTTATCAGTTGGTCATTTTTCGCTTGGTGTAACAGGCAAATCTTACCACCCGGTAAGACTATTCTCGCTTATTATACCGAGAGAGGATACGATTTTCCTAATCATATTTACCCTCGGTAAGAATTTCCCAAAAATATTATACCGTAGGTGAAATATCAAATTTTGAATGCATTCCCAGGAAAATTTTCCAGAACAATCTTACTCCTTGTTAGATTGTCTGGGGGGTAAGATAATAGTAGAATACATCTCACACCCCGATAGAATTAACCAAATTTAAAATTGATAAATTTACAAATCTAATTAACATAATATGACGAAATAAAGAGCTTTGTTACAGTTTTGTGAGTTTTTACGTACTGCAACTACTACGCAACACTAAAAGTAGTGACTTATAAGACTACAATAGTAAATTTCTACACTACTTTCTTTAACGCTAAAAACCTAATCGGTTAAAAAAAAAATCCTAACCTTATGCCGTGTCTTTAAGCTTAATAGAGTCCTAAAAATATTTTACAGGGGTAAAATATGACTAAGAAATTCGTATCCTCTCTCGGCATAATAAGCTTAGGCAAATCTTACGACCCTCTGGTAACATTATTCACGAGAGTAAGATTTAATTGCTCTACCGATATTCCGTATAATTAATAATAATAATATTTTTACCTTTATATGGGACAAAACAGCTTTTCCAAAAATCATTCCGTCTGTGGAGAATACGCACAGGGCGCACAACAGTTCGTAAACTTGCAACTTTACAGTTGTGTTATTACAAATCAGTACTGCTAAAATCAAATGTATCTAAATTAGGTATATTGTTCATATAAAAAAAAAAAAAACAAAATTGTATTCGAACGTATAAGGTAATATTGCTATTTAACTAATAAGTAATAGTGATAATTATATTATATTATACGTATATAGCGACAATAATAATATAGGTAGTAAATTATCGAAAAATAGCTCCATAGACGTAATACCATCAAATGCCTGAACACATAATATGAGACTCAATAGCGCGTTTAGGGGGAGAGAGAGGCGAAAGTAGCCGTTTAATTTTAAAAGGCGGTATAATTGAAATGATTTTTAGGTGGCAATTTTTAGAGAAAAAAGTAAGTAAGGTTAATTTAAAGAAAATGCTGAAGTATAGGTGTACTAGTGTAAATAGAGAGGATCAAACATTTTGATTTCTTTCGTAGCGTAAAAATCTTGGGTGCACTACTAATAAAACTTTAACTTCGGTTATATTTTTCTGACAATGTTGTTATCTTTGTTTTTAAACTTTTCTCTCTTTTTACTAACGCCTCGATTTTTTACGCGGGTCTACGAAGACGATTATCATAAGATGCAGCTTTTAAACACACTCTGGATCTTTGATAAACTTTCTCATCTATTTTTTGTTTTTTCGTTCGATTTCAATAATATTTACTTTTATACAACAGAAAAAGTAGGTAATAATATAAATCAGCTAAAATGACCTCTCTCTGACACACCTAATAAATAAAATATTTTATCCTACAATAGTACAATATATAAATTATATACAAAATATGAAATACATCATTTGGGTATATTGCAGGTGTTCGCAGCACGTACACCGCTATCTGATTTATTTTTCGGAATTCGCGTAATCAATTATATCTATTGAATATTTTAGAGGGAAAATCTCATGTGGAGGGTATATCCTCCTCAATACCCTCAGACTCCCAGTGACTGTTCAAAAGAAAATATATTAGCTATATTAATATGAAATTGGTAGGTACGGAGTATTTATCGTAATACGCAAGAAAACACCTTCCGAACAATGTAATACAGAATTTGAAAATACAATCAGATTCGGGCTGATGGAAAAAAAAACCCCCCAATATATTATAAAATACTATTGTATTTTATTTAACGCAAAAATAATAATCTAAACAATAATATTATTGTATGGTGATCTAAGAGAAAATGTAAAAATAATTCGTTTATTCGAAAGCTGCGACTAGCAAGTGCGTTTATTATATAATAATATAGATAAATCATTACATTTGTGTTTTTTAATCAGTTTTGTATTTTTATTACATAATGTTCAATAGGTACTTACGATGTACTCCTTGCAGTACGTGTTGGTTATTATACGTGTATAACAATAATAATATTTAAATAAATAAAAAAATAGAGAAGAAAAGTATAACTTTTACAAAAACACAAAAACTAGTACAAAAATTCAGTATATGTAAAAGTGATACATAAAATTATATTTCGAACACTTTTAACGACAATACGATATTTACTTATAACTGTTATCGTTTCGTTAGTAACATTTGAAATTATTTTATTATATATTTTCGGTAATATAGTTGATTAGTTTTTTTTTATACTTGAACTCGCAGTAATAAAAATAATAAAAATATACCGAATAAAAAAATAAAAATAAACCATTACCTACTGATTACATTTTCGCCACGTCATTGACAATGCATTCGATTAGTGGGCCGAATGTGACATACAACCGTATTATTTGATAATAAAATATAATATATTATTACCTAATTTATTATTGTTTTAATAGCGTTTATATACTTTTATATGGATTTTAATATAATTTTATGATAAATTGATTCAATTGATAATAAAACCATATAGTAACAACAACGTCCGTAAGTCCAAAGATCGAATTTTAAATGTCTCACTTCCATTCTCCTTCCACACTACTCGGGTATAAGGTTCTTCCATAAGCCGTCACAGTAACAATATAGCGAAAATGTGTGTTCATATAAAACGAACGAATAGGCATTTAAAATTAGTTTTAGATATAAAACACTATAGTTATACATTTTTAATATACTACATTTTGAATATAACCCCGTTGGCATTTTACAATATACTCTAAATATTCATATAATTGTATCGAAGTTACGAAAAATCATGTACGTGTGTGTTAAAGAATCATAACTTTTTAAATATTTTAAAAAAAAACGACGATGGGATTGTCATTATAACGTAGTATTTATAAATTGTATATAGTTGGTGTTTTATCTCTAAAACCGATTTGCTATAACTTTTCGTTTAATTTGTTTAATTTAAATCGCTTGTTAATAACTATGTTCCATAGTCATCTCGTATTCCGGGTTAGGTTGTATGCAAATCGTCGATTGATAAAATTCTAGTAAATAGTAAATACTCGTGAAATGTCAGTTCATGCAGCATATCGGATTGTATCGCATAGAGTCATTCGTGAGTATTCGAATCGTCGAGAATTTCGAGTTATGCGACATCACCTTTGATAATTTTTCCCGGCTTTAAAATCAGTATGTTTTGTATAGATTTCTAGAAACAATATTATATTATAAATTATAATATCAAACGTTTTCAAACTTCTATGTAGCATCATTTTAAAATCGATTTGTTGCTTTTTCATATTTTTTAATGTTTTCACGGGCTGTTAAAACTATACGGTCGCACTGGCACGCATTCAACAAATAACACGACTATATAGTAATCGGTAGTCATTTTACAATTTTTTTTTTTTTTTTTATAACCGAATATCCGGAAAACGAATTCACGCGTCACGTCTTGTAATATCGGCAGAACTGTATAGAAGCTGCAGAAGGATAAAATAATACCTATTAATATTTTCCAAACGAAATAATAAAAACAGCGTTATTATATCTGTATGTCGTGATGCGATGGGCGTGCCAATTTTCCGGACCTCATATCCTCGACCCAGGACCGACTGGTCCGCCAGCAGTTGTACGTACTTATAATAATGTATGGAAATAAAAATTGTATTATTATTTAACCGTGTCCGAAGTCGAAAGAGCGTAAAACGATCCGGAATCCCGTGAAATTGTATTTGTACACTATACTCTGCGTGAGTGTCTTTTTATAAGCTATATTATTGTAGAACGAATGTATCACATACAATTTGTTAAATGTTCACATTATATGGTGACCCGCCGCAAACTAGAGAGGGGAGGAGGTAGGTTAGGGGTTATATCACTTTAATTTACCTTATCCCTTCTACTAGTTTAAAAATATAACAAACAATTTGAATAATATTATTTAGTAATTTAATCATGATATATTGTTAGAGTTTCAGCCAAATTATAAGGGAAACATTGATTCATTAATCAAAAGTTTACTGTTTATGATCCGACTTTTTAATTTCCCAGGAAAATCGGATAGAGAAGACGATTGATTTATTCGTGATTACAATTTGCTACACATCATCTCTTAATAAAAATTCCCGGACACGTCACTGACATTATAAACCGTATTGTATTATGTCTATAAAAAATTGTATCTAGATACCTACGTATGTGTATATTGATCGTATCCAAATAATTGAGACATGATAGTTATATCTCAAATAAATAATTAAACCGTATTAGGTAATCGGTACATTATGTAAGCACAATAGGCCAAATATATAATATATTTATGAATAATATTCAAACGAACTACAACCATTTTGATACACACACTTTTAGCACTTATAATTTTATGATAGATAATGAAAAATAACATCTTTGTTTTTTGGTTTATCTAGACGTATGAAAAGTTAATGATTATTCGTCTTTATCTAGATATTTTTAAATATATATACATGACCATTAGTAAAAAAAGCTAATTTAAAAAGCTATAAATTTCAAGCATTCGAAGAGTATATACTAATATGATGCACAAATACAAAACAGACGACAGAATATATCATACCGTTTTGTTTTTGTTTTTGTTTTTTTTTTTTTTTTTTTTTTTACAGACACTAACATTTGGTTTTCATTAATATCGTTAATTATTATTAATGACCTCGGTCTTCGTTTATTACAACGCGCGAAACTCCGAGGAGTTTACTCATATATTAGCTGGTGGCTGCGACCACCAGCGAATATGATAATTATGAATACTTACATTAGAATTTCGATGGAGAAATAAAGCTATTTAAAGAATAAATTTGTTATTTTTTATTAATATTGTTTTAAACGAAACGGTCGGTGTTTAGAGACGTGTTTTTTCATTTATTTCTTATATAAGTAGGTACGCTACACTTTATGTATTTTATGTGAAAAACACCGTTGTTCCGTTGTTAAATGCTAAAATAATATAATACATAATTTGCTAAACGTTCATATATATATATAATATGAGATAGTTATACTAATCTGTATATCTTGTAAACATATGTATATACGCACTTACACGGCTTACTTAGCCTATTTCAAAATTCCAGGAGTAATTACTCCAACAGGTGTATTTAAAAATAAAAAACATAAATTATTTATTTTGAATGGCGTGTACAATATAATTATGGGTCTTGTGTCAACGTATGAGTCGTAAACGAACGCGTTAAAATGTAGCGAGTGTTTAAACTATCATATACATAATATAGTATATACGCGCAATATACGATTGGCACACGCGTGCCCCTGCCAAAACTGTTAAAATCTCGATTATTTTTTTTATTCCTCCAAAATATAGCCAAAAAGACGCGTAATATTCACTTTTGGAGAAAAATGTCTAGACTATAAAACAATATAAATTTAACACTTTATGTGGCGATCGCGCAAGACTAACCCAGTGAACAATAAATCGCCATCAGACAGAAATAAAACTGAAGACTTATAGTTCGAGAACAAAATATGGTTAAAAATGTGTAGCCCTAGATGTTTATATGATAAAAAATGTCAAAAATGATTGTCGAAGAAAACACAATGGAGAGGGAGCCAGAATCGATACTAGAGGAGCGGGCAGGGATTTATTTGTTTATTTTGTATTTGTGTATTTTTGTTATGTATAAGTACCTGATAGATACTTATTTAATTCAATTTTTCAGTATCTTAGGGTTTTTCTAACTTATTTATTAAATGACCCCCTGAATTTAATGTAAAATTGTTACGGCCCCCTAAGTCTAAGGATGATTACGGGCTCATATTATTAATGTTCAAATATCTAAGAGGGAACGGTACACGACTTCTTTAATACACCAACTAGACCAAAACGTTACAATAAATGTAAATTCCTATTAGTTTTTTATTGGAGCAAAATTTTACAAAAACACAAAAAAAACACAATGGTAAAACCAATACATTCCTTACTTAACTCAAATTCTAATGTATATATAATACATATATATTTACGATGAAAACCTTAGCCCGGAGTATTATAATAGTTTGTTTGTATTTATACGACCGGTTTCGATTTAAAAAATCATCGTCTGCAGATAATCAGTGTAACAACAAAGACGAAAAAGTAGGCTAATACTCCGGGCAGAGTTTTTTTTCTTATACGTATTAACCTCTAAAACAATTTTGTATATATTTATTTTTGATTAAAAAAAAAACACGTACCCGAAGCCAAGTATGCCGAATACTCCAGATGGGTGGATATGTAATGTAATCCAGTCCTGGACCTGACTACGGCCCGCAAACACTCGACGCACTGCAGCTGGGCCATGGCGTCCGTCAACGATTTTCCGCTTATCGTACGTAAGCTGCTCATCAGAGTGCCCAACCCGTCTCTCTCCAAAAACTCGACAATCCATTCCCTGTAAAATAAAAATAAAATATTGATCGGTTAATATAAACAATAATTTATTCAAATAATAACATTATATTCTATCATCATTGATTTAACGCGGTTGGCTACGATTAAAATCAGTTACATTACACGAATACATTTTTTAAAAAAAATAAATGTAATATTTTTTTCGAAAATCATGTTTTTAGCGAACTGTTACAATTTTTTCGCAAAATTTCTTGAAAGATAGAATTTCCGACCGGTAGTTTATTTTTCAACAATTTCTCTAGATTTCGTTAGAAAATTGTATTTTAAATTGTTTTTCCATAAGAATTGTAATTTTTTAAATAATTAATATGTTCAAACCCGAGAACGATGTATTCTTCAAAATTTTGTCGTCTACTAATATTATAACGGGTGCTATATCTTTAAAATCAATTTTAAGAACATTTCAGTTTATTTACGTGATTATAGTGGCAAAAATGCCAATGTTCGGCTTCTTAAAAAACGAAAACCAAAAACCATAATAATATCTTTTTCTTCCCATGGTATGTGTGTTATCTATGACCAGCGCATCTGTCTTCTTTTTCGTTTATACCTCAGATATGTTTGCAGCTATTAGTTTTTACCGTCCACTTTTCTCTTTAATTGTGAATATAAACTTCAACTTTTAATCTCTTATTATTTCCTTTTTAAATCCCATCCTAAGTTTTCCTATGCGATTTTTTCACTTCAATTGTCTATTAATTTCACCAAAGCTTACACGCCTGATTATAAAGTCATCATTAATTTCTTCTTCTTACAAACTTCTCCATACAGTTCTGCTCTCCGATATTTTATTTAGTGCTTCTTCATTTGTTATTCTCTCGGTTCTGATTATTTTTAACATCCTCCTGTAACAACACGTTTCGAACACGTCTAACCTCGTTTACTCTTTTACTGCTATCATTTCATTTCCATACAGCAGTTTGTTCCAAACATACGTTTTCAATAAATTCTCTCGTATGCTAATATTTTCTTAGATGTAAATAGCCCCCGTTTTTTTATTATCATTAAAAGCTATTCTAGCTTGGGAAATGCGTTCGACTACGTCTTTCTTATTCTTACTCTTCCATTACTGCTCTAATTATATGCTACCTAAGTACCGCATCTGCTAAATGACGTTCATAGAAAATATTTATTACGTCTATTCTGTACCTAGTGTCGACCTGTAGTACAATACAGATGAGAAACCACATTTCGAAAACGTAATACCGTTTATTTATTTATTAGGTATTACTGGTATCCGTAAACACACGCGCGGACGCGATTATGCAACGAGTGGACACGAAGAAAACGCAGTTATCCAACACGCGTATAAAAGTAAGCAAGACGTACCGGTGTGTCGGGGTTCAATCCCCGGTGTAGGTATAATACCTCGAATCGTATAAATTATTATTATTATGATAAATGGTACGTTGCGAGGCGGTACAGTAATCGAATTATCATATCATATTGCGTTTAGTCGGCGTGTCGCAACCGCGGCAGTGATAGGTACGCATGTTGACCGAATGATAATACATACAAATTACAAGAAGGAATTCGACGATATTACTCGAGTGTACTTTGTGTCTGCGTCGCACACGGCGACCTTGCGCGTCCGTCGCAACCGTTATCGTCGTAATAGTGTCCGATAGAGCACGGGAATGCCGTCTAGATTAACATCTTAACATCTGCACAGCCACACAAAATCTACCGGATCGGACGTTCACTCGTTATTATTTACTGTGTCGCGGGTAATTAACAGTTGCCCAACGATTTATTTTTCATATTTTTTTTTTTTCTTTTTACGAGTCGTTCTGGTACGTTAGAGCGTTTACAAAATATTGAAAATATTGCATAGACTGCGGAATTTTCAATTTTTGATCGAACCGTGCGTTTTTTTCTTTTATATAATACTATTTTTTTTTTTTTTGTTGTCCAGATTGTCAGTACAATAACAATGACATTATATTATAATCTCAGATCAATAATATACATCCCCCATATATGAAAATAAATATTGTCGAAAAACAATCGTATAAAAATATTGAACATATCGCTATACATTTTTTGAGTACAATGCAAAAGCGTTCATCGAGTACTCCACGGGCCCATAACCAATATTATTATAATTTTATTGTTATTGTTTTTTTATCTCTGCTGTATTTTCTGGGACCGGACATAGTATGACATCGACAAAAACCACAAATGTTATGAAAATATGTACAAGGGATAATGAAAAACCGAACGAGACAAGTTTACTCAGATAGTAAAAAAAAAAAATCCTATTCTGAGTGAGTATCGTTCAGCTTCATGTTTTCCTATTAATATTTTATAAAATGGTATTTCAATTTAAATGTGAACCCCAAAATATATAAATCGAATTTTGAAAATCATCCTTTGATATTTTGCTCAAGATATTGTCCGTGGCCCACCTTCCAAATTTAAAATCCAAATCGTCAGTTTTTTTTTAGAAAAACAGCAGCCAGCAAACTAAATATTCTACACAAATTATGTGAATAAATTACAACCGCAATCGAAAAATCCGCGTTTTTTAGTGTATCCACCTCATGAGATACGCGGTGCGGTAAACCCGAAAATCTGAAATATTGTTAATTTTGATTTCAGATATCGCGATGCAAATGTTCGCGCGGAGTCACTATATCATAACTGGCAAATGGTTTGTTTTTTTCCTCCGAAACGGAATAACGCGCGCGGCCGATGGTAATTATAAATAATGATAATGTTATTATCGTTGCGGGTGCTGGCGAGTACGATCGTCAAATGATAATAATGTTCTCATGGTTGATGGTAACTAAAAATGCAATTATAATTATTACAGAAAATATCGTATTATTCTACGATATGTTTTTTTTTTTTTTTTTTTTTTTTTTTTTTTATGGCGACGTACGCACCGCGGTCGATTATATCGTTATTAATCCCCCTCACGTTCGTCAATTCGGCACACTTAAAAGTTCGTTTTCGTAACGGCAGCCGTAACTGACGGTAAACGTTCGGGCTAACCTAACCGGTCCGACGGCGCGGTGCCGCGACGACGGCGGGCAATCGTTTCTGGCGCCAATAGTCACCGGCTCCGGGAGGATCTCGAAACGAAAAAAACACCCCGAACGCACGCGTTTTATCGGTTTTTCGATCGCGCTTGTAGATATATAGATGTTCTTTATTATTTTCAGTTGTCATTTTTTAAGGGTATTATTATTTCGCTAAAAGGCATTTAAAGGCCATTTTTTTTTTTTGTACATTTTTCAATAGTTCGCACGCATAAAGCAAATTATTAATCTGAGTCTAAATAGTAATATTAAAAGGAGGCCGACGATTTACTGATATAAAATTACGTCACTTGGAACAACATTTATAAATCGTGGCGTTTAGGTAGAAAACACAAGTGTAAACACAAATGGGAAAATTTAAAGAGGAGAATATTTTCGTAGTAACTACGTTGCGATTTTTCTAAACTATTGTCCAATGAAAAAGTGAAAGCTAAGTATTAAAATAAAAAAAAGTAAAAGCGCGGCAATGCCACGTATACTGACCACGAAAATATTCTCCTACAAAAGTGAAGTTGCCCCCTCCCCCGCCACTTGGTCTGGTGAACTCTGGACCTATTTCAATATTTTGCAACTTTTTACAACAATTCGTAATTAAGTAATCAGAATGTAAACTCATTATTTTGGGCGCAATTAATGTTTTAATGCACGGAGTCAGCCCCCCTCCGCTTTTTCTGATCGACTCCGGATTTGTACCGATATTTCACAACTAATGTGCAACGAATGAATCGACATTTTCAACTCAGTATTTAGGACGCATTATCTGCAGTTAAACTCTATACATATGTTACATACAATGTTTACTATACATACGTATACTTGACGATATTTATAGTTTCGTCATCCCCGTTGTTGTTTGTTGTGGTTGGACTGTGGACAATATGCGTACCTATTTCCGACGACAACGCCGGGTGTTTTGGATCTCGAGGTAGTCGGGGCGATCTAGTCGTGCGATTACGTAGTTTAAAATTAGGCCCGTCGTCGTCGCCGTCGTTATAATATTATAATATACAAAACATGCGGTAAAAACGCTTAATTTTCGTCCGATCTCGAATAGGGTTGCTAAATTTAAACTCGGACCAGGGTGTAGGAGAGCATCGTCGTCATCATCGCGAGCACATCACCCACCGGATATAATACACGAACGGTCGGTTATGGTGGCGTTGAAACGCACGTGTCGACGAGAAAATGAAAAATACCACGTCTGTCTCACGACGATAAGTGATGGATTCACTAAAGTGAAATCACACAATAATAACATTTTATACGGAAACTAACCTTGCCTTCCAAAATTCAGTTATAAACAATGAATCTGTTGAAAGGTTATTAGATACCAAAATATTTTGATTGCGTTGGATAATGATTGTAATATAATTTTTTTAACCTAACCTAACCTTATCGATGGCATAAAATTAAATCACGGCAAATTAGAAAAAATAAAAATGTATGTTGATTTTAGTAAATAAACGTTTGGGTTTTGAACATCGCTGAATTTTAGAAAATACCCTGATGATAAATAATAATAATATTTCTCACTGTGGGTAGGCCATACGATTGCGTGGTATTTATAGGTGAATAAAAAACCAAGAAGGTATAAGGTAAAATTTAGTTTTTTATTATATACACCAAAAGCAACTATATAAATTATTACAATCATAAAAAGATTCTGAATGAAGCTCGATAAACCGGTAGCGTATACGTATTATAAAACCCTTCTATTTTCTCTATCGTAGTTATAAGGTAAAATTCAGAAATCAACAAAATTAAAACCGATAAATCGTAGTTTTAACGTCAATTTTTACTTTTTGGAAATACTAATGAGAATTTTAAAAAATGTTCAAGCAAAATACCGTAATTTGAAAAATCCGAAAAATCAAATCATGGGCATGATAAAACCGCAGAATTTTTCCAAATCAAAAAAGCATTATCCAAAGGGAAAACACATCTTTTTCTTTTAAGCTTTTGCAGTCTTACTAGAACCCTCACCGATTCAAATCCACACCACCATATGTTTATGTCAACGCTATCTTCTATCGTTATCTCCCCATTCACACCTGATTAAGTCTTCATTCAATCTACCTGTTTAACGTTGTGACGTCTTTTCCATTTATTTCCTAACCGAGGCTTTCTTTAAAAAGCCTTTTGATATCCAGACATGTCTTGCTCACCCGAGTTGTATGGGTTTATTTTTTTTACACTGGGTATTTTATAAATCAAAAATAATAAAATAATACAATATTATACATTATTATATCTGACTCTCTTTTATGTTTGTTACGGTCGGGTACGTGTTTTATTCTGTAAATCGGAGAGAAGCCAGCCAACACTTACCCGGATTACAACAATATTATACAGGTTTAATTATATAGGACTAATCTTTTTCTTCGCTCTTCGCACATCCTAAACGGTCCCCGTTTGAACAATCGCCGACGACTACGGTAATAAATACACGGCTCATCCGAGAGCCGTCAGGATTTAATAAATACTAATAAAAAACAAATTCCAGTCGAGTTTCGATTACGTAACATGCCTTCGAGGTACCATGGAGATGGTGTCGATATACGAGAGAAATACTTTGGTATATAATTATCTGGTAGGTAATTACAAGTAAATATACTAGTAATAATAGTAATAATATGTAATATTAAAAGTGTGAATTTAATTTACAGATTTTTATTGTATTCCTCTGTATAATAATACAAGATAGCTATATCGAATCGCATATTATTAACTAAATTTTGTGTTGTACGTTTTCTTTTGACATTTTCTATGTACATAAATACTATACCAAGTAATTATTTTATCGTTAAACACTTATTATCTCGGAAATTATTAATTTTTTTCGGAATCTGTTTTATAACAATTTAAGAAAATTTAAGAAACAAGTAGCTCTACAATTGTACATTTACATTATTTTTTATCACCCTAATTTTTGGTGGTGAAACGGCTACATGCTTTTGATACTTTTCAAATAGCAATTTACATTAAAAATCTCAAAAATAGATAGAGTATTAATTAAAACACATTGTTATACAAATGTTTGATTTCTGTCAAGCCGTAGAAGAGTAATGGTAGTGGTGCATTATTAAAACGCTGCGCGCCGTTCTCCCACACAAATGGTCCATTACTATTCCCTGACCCAAATTTAAAAGTTGAATATCTTGTCAATAGATTGACGGAAATCAAAAACTTGAACACCAAAATTTATTTTAACTAATACTCCGTATATTTAATGCATTTTAATTATAGGTTGTCATTTGAAAATCAAAAATAGGTAGTTATTTACCCCCAAAAATAAGGGTAACGAAAAAAATGATAATTTAACATTTTAGAACTATTTGCATCTTAGATTTTCAGAAAAAAAAATTTTAAAATAGTCAATACTTTTCGGAATAATAAGTGTTTAACAATAAAAGAATCACCCGGTATGTAGGTATTGCATTGTACGGATTGTGTCACATTTTTCGTACATTAATATCGATTTTCTAAATTATTATTTCAGCATAAGACACCGATATTTAATTTTCTCGTTTTCATTGAACAACAATAAACCTATACAAATCGGAGTATTGAAGTAGCGTAACTCCCAATTAGAATAAAACAATAATTTGTTTTTTTTCACCAATTGAAAATACATAAATGCATAAAGTTTGAACTTAACTTTTTTTAATAATATACCATTATAATAGGTATAAATGACAAAAATAAAGAAGAATAAAGGAAGACTACTTTTGAGAAACTCAAACTAAACCCATTTTTTACTAATCAACAAATATCATAACGAGAATATATACTTATATTATAAATGGATTTTAAATTTTCTCCCAAAAAGCACAATAAAATAACGAATTTATGATCGTCTGTGTTCGATATCTTATGTGCGCATATTTTAGTTTTTATTTTTATTTTTTTTTAATAAATTAAATTAAAAATATTCTTTAGAGTTTACATTTGCCTTATGTCCCGAGGTGGATAAATGCATTGACCAAACACCCGACTATATCATATACGATAAGTGCATAGTCTCATAAGGTGCATGAAGTTTGGCAGCCATATATCATAGAAGACAAATTATATTGATATAAACTATTTATCTATGATATATTTCCTATAATTGTTTTTGTCGTAAATTGTGCGATAGTATAATACTTAGAAACCAAGATAAACTCAATAGAAATAATTTCAAATATTTTCCATGTAATTCGCGGCATGTAAAAATATTGCACGCGGTCAATCAATATGATTTGTCATCTTACCTTAGGTATACGTGACAGCAAAGCTTCCTATTTCCTCGCATAATATTATAGAATCGACTACGTATTTGATTTTTTTTTTTTTTTTTGTTTTTTGTGTATCTACTAGGAGTGCGTTATACTATCCGAGATGGTAAGAGCATCTCTAGAATTATATTAAGCAAACAACACAACCCGTTTTAATGGATTTTTTTTTTTTTTTTGTTTTAATATGTAGGTATATTGCATCGCTCGAAGGGCGTGAAGGACTAATGCATACGCATAATAATATAATCGATCTTACTTGGCCATATACGTTTGAGATTCTTCGTGTGACTTAAGAAGTTTACATAATATTATACAATTCATTGTTTGACATCGCAATGTAAATATAGTATAGTGTATACATAATACATGCGAGTAGATTTTGAATTTACTTACCACACGAAAACTAACGTTATTTCGTTACCCCTCCCCAAAAAAATAAAATAATAATAATCACCAAGCTAGAAGACTCGCCCGCGTCCAGACAACAATAATAATTGTGTTCCAATTTAATTCAATATTCGTTAACACCATCGCCGTCGTCATTTCGGAGACCCGATAATTTATCCGGACGGCGACGCGTTTCCGATCGCTGCTGCACCCCGTGTCTCTATAAACGATTATATTGACACGAACGGTTCCAATTGAAACGGACGGACACAAAAACAAATTGAAAAAATAAAAATAAATGTTGTGAACGATAATACAATTGTCGTACAATAAATTATTGTTATACTCTTGTGCGGAAGACGAGTTCGCGTGTGAGGGTTACGGCCGTTTGACGCTGCTGCATCATGTACTGATTTCATTGTGTTATTATGTCGATGTCTATAGACCGATAAGGGGTCAGCGCATGTGAGTTACGATGTGGTTTATGTCATATAATTTACGAAACGGAAGAGTAAACATAGTAGGTGCCTGTATGTACTAATGAGACCTTGGAACGAATTTTTTCTAAGTTCAAACTGAACGAACGAAACACGAATTAAGTATTCGTATTGTATTTGTATTTGTATCAACTTAATATAAATTTAGTAAGTATTTTCAATGAACACAAAACTATAATCGGGACGCTCGTTTAAAATTCCGATCATAGACTTAACATTGATAATTTGGTCAAATAACTAAGGAAATTTATTATCAACCTGACCACCACAAATTAAATTCTATGAGTATTGGATTACGTATAAGGGAACCTAGTTTGAATTTATTTTTCGTTAGAAACACGAAGATAGCAAATTATTGTGTGACGTCTTCTTGAGATTATACTTGAAATGATGGTTTCCGAGTCTGAAATGCATGCGTTTATGATATTATATTGTGTAAACGGGTCTGAGAAAGTTGTATAGGGAGCATTGAATAAAAGATATGAAACGGAACCGCGCAGAGTGCAGGAGAATATTATCGGACGAGACAGTTAAAAAGATAGTCGAGACGGTGTGTGGGGTATACGACGGCAGAAATACCGATGGAACGATGTTAGTGACGGGAATTGATGAAAATTGTGTAATGACTGATCTCTCCCTGCTAGGGAAAATAACGGATCATCATAATATATGATAGATGAGTTGTAGTTGCATATATTGAAACAGCGTGTATTATTGATGCGTTGTAGTTTAGTTTGGAATGTGAAATCAACAAGTGTCGTCACCAAAAAATAACCGACGCGCATTTTTAACCGACCCCCGCCAAAAGACGCGTATTCATCACATATCAAGTTCCGTGGTATACATAATTTTTTTTTTCGTTTAGATCCGTCAAAATATATTTTATGGTAATGTATAGGAAGAAAAGCCCACTCTTCGAATTTGCTGATATTCCGAGTTTCTATATGGGTGAAATTGTTTGAATGTATTATCGATGTTTAATTATTTTTTGAAGTCTCGTTTTGATTGAAATTTATATCATAACTAGTTTTTTATTTCTTTTTTTTTTTTTAATCCAAAAAAAGTTATTATTCTATACTATAAATAATAATACAAAATAAAAAAAAAATCGTATAAAAGCGGTTTTTTTATAAGCGCGTATTGTTTATTTATTTACATTGCTGGACGAATTGTTCGCGGAGAAAATTCACGAGTAAGTAAAATTCTCATTGATAAGAAAGAAAGAAACGACAGTGGCGTTTTATTACTTAAAAAAAAAAAAAAATAATGCAAAAAATATACTTATCATACTATCGTATTGTTTTGATATTATTGGAACCGGTAAACAATTTTTGTTTTCCCGCGCACTTGCGGTCGTAATTGTAATATTATTATTATAAAACGTGCACGATTGTTTATGTACATTAGTGTTGGAATCCGGCGTAAAAAAAAATATATATAAAATTCGTTTAAAAGTTTTATTATTTTTATTTTTTAATATCCGCGGCTCAGGGACGAATTTAAAAACATTCCACGTAATCGTGGTGCGGTGCAGAGGGTACACTACGCCGCTATTCATACTCATGAGAAAATTGGGTCGTCGAGGAATTTTCGTCTGCATATATTTATTGTAATGTACGATGTCGAATAAAAATACGCAATAAATATACCACCGCGCAGTGTAAATAAACCGTAAAATAACAATAATGTCAATAATGCGAAGTGTATAATACACTATGATTTTATATGGGTCACGGCGGGATATGAGGCCAGAATTATAATAATAATAGTAAAACCAAAAGTAAAAAAAAAAAAAAACACACCGATCGAAAACGGAAACGGATTCCTGAACGGGTCGAAAGCCGTGTCCGTCCGCGGAAACTGCGCTCTATATATAACTCAACACCCTGTATAATATATATTTTCAGACCTTAGATGTTTTATTTAAGATACACGAATTCGTTCGTGAACCATTCGTAAACATAAAATCGAACGTAATAAGTTCGCGAACTAATTTTTTTTTTCTTAACAAACTTGCTTCGTGTTAAATTATAATTAAAAAATTAATTTTATTATTGACTTTTACTAACTTTATTTAGTTTCAATGATTCTATTTGATAATATCACAGTAATCACATTGTTATTATGTACTATATAAATAGTTTCAAGAGAATGTCACAGTACTAATAATTTGTCATCTCAGTATTTCTTACGAGCAACATAGCAATACAATTACGTTACCTCAATTAGAATTTAAATTGTGGCGGTCATTGGATTGACAAAAAAATGTATTCCCCCGTGTTTATAAGATGGAAACCACAAACACATGTGTAGCGTGCTCTAAGTCGTATTTGATTTAAAAATTTTGAACTTTAAACGGACGAACGAAACCATTTTGAACTCGTTCATTCGTGGTTTGTATATTTTTGAATTTTGTTTGCGTAGAACTACACTATTGCCGGATGGTCAATTCGTTCAGATCTTACAATTTTTTTCCCCTTTAGTGTATTCAACGTACGTGGAATAAAAATTGACTTTTAGTGAATTATAAATATGTACACACTATGTTTGGTATCCAATGCAGTGAGCAATAAAAAATTATACTCCCGGATTTCAAAGTTCTATAAATTACCATATTTATCGGAAAAATTGAGATCGCGCTAGTGGACGTACCATGATTCTCGGCATTCGGACTAGTTTTATAAACCGGATCGCAGTTGATACGATGTTGCTCAAAAACACAATATATGGGAAGGATTTGACTATCGAATAGGTAATAATAATAATTGATGTCGATCGTGCATGCGAAAGAGGTCATAATATTTATTATACTATACTGAATATTTATTTATTTTTAAATTTTTTTTAAACTAGGTCTTCTATATGTTTAAGCCTCTAAGTTGTTTCGAATAGGCGGATTGAAATCAAAAAAGTTGGGTTGAATTTCAGTATGAATTTAATCTGCACGTTGCCCCTACCTACAGACTCCGCAAATGAAGTCAGGGAAATGAAATTTCGTATTTCTTTTGTAACGTAATATAATAATTATTGTAGTCTGCAGCACATAGTATTGTGTAGTATTACAGTATTCGGTTTATGTTTCGTTTTCCGAAGAATATTTCTATAATACAAAATAATAGATGTGGGGGAGGTGGAATTCGATTTCAGCGACTGCTAGAGTCTGTTATACCGGCAATTATATACCATTTAACATTGTTCTCTCGGAACCGTACAGTCCGCTCGCGTCGAAAACCGTATACGAAATTGACTTCCCCGGGACCAAAGACAACATATAGGAGTGGCGGCGCTGCGGACCGCGGAATGTTAATAAAAAAAAAAAAAAAAAAAAAAGACTTAACCGGCGGCGGCGGCGAGTTTATGGAGTGAGCGCGGCGCGCGCGCGCCCCCGTCCGCCGTCCGTTATATAGGTAAGAATACGGTTTATAAATATTCGCGTCTCGTCGAGCCCACGTCGACGACGACGACGACGACGACGACGACGACGCCGACGATGATATAATAAATACACGACTGCTTATACAACTCCGGCCGCTGGAGCCGAGGAATTCCGGGAGAAGCGCGTAAAAATTATGGAACAAAATTAGAAATAACGCGCGCGTATGTCGCCGGCACCGAATATTTTGGCTTGTTAGGACGGCGGCGGCCGGACACTAAAAATAGTGTAATGCTGCTACGCCGCCGCAGTTACTCCTCTGGTCGCCTCGCGCCGCCGCTCGACACGCTCGTAACGTAAACGTGTTCACCTGCAGGTATTATTTTCGTTAGTATACACGCACGCGTTTGTATACACGTACATCGGCGCACACGATATATTACCGTCGCGGTGTTAGCTGGTATATTCGTGTGGAGATAAACACACCAAACGGCGAAAACGGCGAGTACGGATCGCCGCCGGACGTCGCGGAGACGTGCAAGAGTATATTGTAGACGGTATCGGGGTCGCGGGAAAAAAAAAAAAAAAAAAAAACAAAGAATGTTTTCCGAAAGAACCGGACGCGTAAACTTTGCGCACATTCGCAACAAGGCGCGGAGGCAGGCCACCGCGGGGAAAGTATACATAGTAGAAGATATTATGAATTAGGGTAATAATTATACAAATATTTATTACATATGAGCACTGCGGAAAGCAATAACGCGTAAATCGTCGCCGAAAACGATTCTGGGGGGGAAGCTCGGTAAACTGGTTTAACAATTCAAAATCGTTTATGCTCACACCCCCCTTCCCCCCGCCGTGCAATCGAGAGGACTCGGGAAAATAAATAGACTCGTGTGTGGCGGGCTCGTTTGTCCGGCTGTGTCCAAAATGTTTGCGTTTCAGATCCCCGCGTAGCGTAGATTTTTTCTTTTTGAATGAATGACGTTTACAAATCGATGTTAAACCGTGTTTATATGCCGTTGAGGTTATACTATATAAAAAAAAATTAGTTTTCTGCAAGCTCTCAAAGTTCGGCCCGGGGTTCAGTGGCCCATTAATCCGGCCTCGGCACATTTCAATCGTCACAACGTGTACTGCTAAATCAGTCGGTCGCGCAAAAAGGGTTATAATATAATTTGCGCAAAACAATCACAATATCGTATTTTTTTTCCGGATACCCGCGAGTTATTCGTCTCTGCGGTTTACCGTTATCGCGATATACAACTAGAAAACAAAAACAAAACAAAAAATTAAAACCAAGATGATAACCTCCGGAGACGCGCGGATACAACTACGCTATTCCGTGACGTCAACGTGCGTGTATTATAACAATGGCGTGTAATTAGCCTACCTACCGCAGAAAAATGTCGATCACCTTCGGGGTGAAAACGATAGAATAATGGCCGTAGAACAACGTGCGTGTTTTTGTATCGAATAAAATATTATCGCCGTCTATGCATTTCCCGTATCCTATATACACTTACGGTTGTTGTTACAATGTCCCGCTAATGCCTCCACTAGTTTAACGATCATAAATTTTAGAGTCAACATTTTACAATTTCGTTACCTACTGCAATGTCCCGATATGGTAAATCTATCATCTAACTATCGGTAGTAGCTTTTTGTTAACGCTAACTTATATGGGTAGCGATAGCAATACAGAACCTGGACCATGGACCACCCTCAACCATGGAATTCTGCAGTGTTGTAAATTTATTTCGTTATCGGTTAATTTAAATCATCCAATTTCATTATAAACCAATGATAGTTGTACTGTTTTTTATTAGTTAACTGGTGGTTAGTGTTGGCAATACATTGTACTAATAATTTATTTTAAACTTGCAGCTAATGTCACCCTTACGTTAAACTGTAAACTATAGCTTAAAAGACAGTAATAGTTCAAATTTAGTGGGACACAGTAAAACAACGGCCCTTATTAAATCACTATACATACGATGCCGAGGACTTCCGTAGTTACCTCCCGATATCTGGATCACATTACTAAATTTTACTCTCGGTTCTTATCGCTACAGTTCATATTCGGCCGTAGATATAACCCTTATATACCCTATCTTTTTCTAAACAATATTGTTAATTTTTTATCTAAATGTTGCTAACCTTCTCACTAACTCTTACTATATTAATGAGTATGTACTATAGACGTCGTGCGTCGTGTTTCGTTTATAGATACTTATATACATAATATATATTTGCCGATGACACCAAAATATCAACTGACCAAATTGTTTTAATCCTTAGAAAAGAAAATATAATGCGTTTAGTCAAAATTTGTAAATTTCCCGGTTATAGGTCCTACGCCTTGCATGGGTTACCGAGATTACAACGGCCAATTAACATATTATGACAAAAAACATGCGACAGGACACACGAGGTCGTCGCTGGAATACCGCCTTTATACGATGTATACACTAGCGTTTTGCTAACAATGTGTCAATGTTTTTGGCTCCGGACTTCTCTCTCGCCCTCTCTCTCTCTCTCTCTCTTTCGTTTTTTTACTATCAGTTCATTTCTTTATTATCTATATGCTTCCAGCTGACAAACACAGCATCGCCGTCGTCGTTATAATATTACACAATAAGCATCGTGTCAAGCAGCGTTAGCCATATTTACCCTCGGAGCGCCTAGCTTCATTTCTCTCACTCTCTCTCTTTTTTATTTGCCTGTGTTTATATTCCGTTGGACGACGGAACCCCTTTGTGTTTCACGTTTTGTGGGTCATAAATCCCGCGAGATAGGTGTATATAATACGCACATAATTTAAGTATACACCATCATTATTATTATAATACAAACATATTATTATTATTACGATGTATACAGAGTGTTTGTGTGCGCGAGCGTATCTGCCCTCACGACTTCCGGCCACTCCCGCGAGAGCATGCGTACGTACATATGTATATATATATTTATTCACGGCGACACCGATATTAAAATAATGTATAGGAGTAGGCACAACCGTGTTTTCCAACGTAAATACACACGCATGGAAAAAAAAGTATATAATATAATACAATAATATTATTATTGTTACTGCAGCAGACGGCGCCCGTATACGATCGGTTCAAGAGGTTCGAAATAGGGAGATGGTGAGAAGGATACAGAGAGGGCAGAGAGAGAAAGAGAGAGATGAAAAGATACACATAAATATAAGAAAAAATGTCAAATAAATTTCAACTTAAAACGCTAATGGAAAAAAACTACATTGCGTTCAAAATTTGTTTTGCTATAAAGTACAACTTTTCATGAACTTGTACTTTATAGCAAAAAAAACTCATGGACTTTATAAAAAATGTTCAAGCATTTTTGCTAGGCCAAACCAATTTATCAAAAAAAAAAAAAAAACTTGAAAATATAAATAGCTCAAAAATCGACAGAATATTTTGAAAATTTTACCAGGTCCGAAAAAAAATTAATATAAATATTCGTTGAAAATGGCAGATCTCTACGAAAAAAAAAAAAACCAAAAATATTAAAACCGTTATTGTCGTAAATTTGCCTGTTCTATGCATTTTTTTTCTTTTCAAATTAAACATTTTTGTAGGACACTACATTTGAAAACAAGAGCCAGATTCCTGGTAGAAAACAGACAGGGGTGGAGGAGATAACATGCATCATAGTAAAACCGATATACCCCTCGCTGCGCTTAGAATCTAAAAATTATTATTGTGTATTATTTGTTGACGTAATAATTTTGCCGCGTATTGCGATAACTGATGGCGGCGACTTCGCGAATACGATACGGGCGGGCACGTCTTTCTCGTGTCATCCACGCGAGAGACCCAAAACCGATTAATTAGAATTTATGTTTTTGCCCGGGATATAAGCGTGCGTGCTAAAACCGTTGTAAACATTACTCGTAAAAAAAAATTTAAATAACTAGATTTCTCAAGAAATATTTCCCCGCGCCATCGTCAAACCGCTGCAGAGTTCATCGACCACTTTCTACGTCATAAAAGTATGAAATATTTTATACATATAGGTGCTCATCAGTCATCGGTGCACGGTGGCCACTGTGATAATAATATTATCAAAAACTTCGCGTATTATTGTAATGTTGATAAAAATGTCGACGAAAATAAGTGTTGAATTTTTTTGTTCTCGCATAATATTCTGCAACCGGTATGACGATGTCAACGGCAGCGGCGCCACGAATGCGCGACGTTTATTAAGAGGACGCGATAACTTTCTATGGAATTTAGTCGACGTTCTTGTTTACGAGTAAATTAACCTTGGTATAAATATAAGAGCCTACTTTTTTTCAGATTCTGAGCGAAACAAGAAATACATTGATTTAACTGTAATGTGGCTTTTTTCGTTTATGTTTGTTAACAATTTGTCTACCAAAAATCTCGTTCCCATCAAAAACTTTATAGGAAAACTTTCTTGTAGTGATTTTGATCTAATAGGTGCACTAAAGATATTATTATTATTATTATTTAATTTTTTTAAATTTTTATCGTAATTTTCCTAATAAACGAAAAAACTGACAATTATTGTTTGTATAATTTTTATTTAATTTTTGAGTTATCTTGGCAACAAAGGAAAAAAACGTCTAATAACACTCTGCTCAGAATCGTTTTTCGTCAATAAAATACAGACTACAGAGTCGTAGCAAAGAGGACGAGCGGCACCTACGTTTCGGGCGCATTATCTGGTCAAGAAACCTTAACACCTACAAACATTACGTAAAAAAAAAAATTAATAAACAAAAAATTGAAATCCAGACCATCCAATAGTGAGATATGAAAGATAATATTATAACACTAATTTTAATTTATATAGTAAAAATCGTTTAGTTTTAAGTTTTCATTATAAATTAAAGTTCGCAATATTTGGCTGCTACAGTTCTGGCAATAGGGTTTATCGTTGCGTGCAGGTATAAATCAAATAAATTATACTCTATAATATACAATATACATGCTCTCTTTCAACTTCCTTTCTAAAACAGTGGCAATCCTATCAGCAGTATCAGACTTTTTTTTCTCTTCGTCTCTAGTTGCTCGATTCCTACAAATTCGGATTTTTTTTTTTTTACCGAAAATCCATAGCTTCGTTAAAATAACGTTAGAGTGATTTCCATAATTATCACCGCAGCCGGCGGATCGGCAAAAATGCTAATTTAACGAGGAAAAAACCTATATTATTTCGTTCTATTTTAAAAACGTCAGATTAATAATAATTAACCGATATTAAATGTTCGAGTTTACCGACAAAACGGTTAATATAAAACGATAATAAATATTTTCTCGGACGTGATAGTCATATTACTATAATATAGGTACCTATATTATTATTTTGTATTTTATAATTATTTTCAAAACTGTATGAAATTTGTAGGCGATTTTTGTAATTATAATAATAATAATAATAATAATAGTTGTACGTAGATATTATAAGTAGGTACCTACTATAATACTTTCATATAAACGTTTAAGGCACAACGCGTATTATCAGATAAACTTCTTAACTTAAATTGACTGTATTTTTTTATAATATCATAATGACGACGATGCGACGTGATAACATAATAATAATACGATAGTAATATTATCATTTATCTGAGGTAAATATCTACATCGGGTTAACTCGATTCCGCATTAGGGTCGTTTTTAATAACATATTCAACGTTTTTTTTTTTTTTTTAACGATAGATTAGCGGATAGATGATAATGATTTGTAAATTATATTTTAACCGTTGTAACAAGTAATAATATAATAAAAAGGTATCCATCGCCGTGTTGAAAACACGATTAAAGATCATGCGAACGTTTTTTTTTTTTTTTTTTTTTTTTAATAATAATAATAATGCCTAATATTATTAAATTATTAAAAACGTATAATATTCTCCGGCTGAAGGTCGTCTTTGACTAAAAGATTTATAACGTTGCTCTCGAAAATCTTTAAAAATTATAACACAATTTCATATTAAAAAATGATAGATACCTCTATACACTAATGTAATAGGTACAGGATAATCAGAGCCTAACGGCTGCGTTACACACTGCATGTGCAGCGGTTATATCTGAGGTTCATCGTATTAATAATAATATAATCGATTTGATTTGTTTTTTTTTTCCATAATATGAACATAATATTTCTATATACGGCTAGAGTTTAAGGGACTTCTGCACAAATTTCGTTTTTTCTGTCTGTCCCACGCGTCATATATCAACAAATATAATTTGCATTTCGACGATTGCGACTCAGCGGTTGAGTTTAGGACTCAATGATATATTATAAATTGTTTAATTAAGAGTATTTATTACGCCTTGGCCGAATGATTTTTTCAATATGTTCATTTGTTAATAGGTAATTTACAGGGAAATCATTGATAAATTAAATTAAAGCACAAATTTGTTCATGATAAAAATAAAAATATTTAAAAAAATAATAATTTAGCTGAGGCATAGTAAATACTGTTTTTTTATACAATGTATAGGTTTCTTTACCCTAAACTTAACCGAAAGTTGCAATTGTTATTCGTTGGAGTGCGATGTATATTTGTTGCTATATATTACGCGCGAGACGGGGAAAACAAATTGACCCCTTAACGAGAGAAAAAAAAACCAACCTGTTCAAGAGCTGCTGCTGCGACGACAACAGAGTTAAAATTGTTATAATTTGTGTTTCGTGTAGTAAACGGTCCAGAGAATACTTCGGGATAGGTAACATTTTTACTGTTATTACCGCGCGCTTTTCCGAACCAAGTAAAATTATTTTTAGATTTATAAAGGTATATAGGTGATCCGAACGAATTTTATCAGCCGTTTAGTTTCGTTATCATCGACAAACAAAATCGTATACTGCAGAATAAACTGTACGTTATTATCCGAACAAAAATTAAGTACATTATTATTTGTCATTTCCAACTTACAAACGTATTGTAACACGACAAACTTGTTGTTTGACAGAAGTGATTTTGCGCTATTACGTTTTGATCTGTTAAAATTCGATCGATTTATAGTCCAGCTTTTCGGTTCCTTCCCGATATTTTAATTTTCATAGACGTTTTTAAATAATTATAATATTATCTCGCTTAAAATTTTAAAAATGAGGGGGGAAACTAATGTACGAACACAGGAAAAATATGTTCTCCTCTTTAAGTTTAATAATAATTTGGTCTATTCGCTCAAATGTTTAACTAAAAACACGCGATTAGTGGTTAGTTCTGCTGAACGTTTATTCACTGTATAGCATACCTAATTACGTTTCGCCAACTAGACGATATTTTAAATCGAAATTTGTAGAAAACACGTACTGAACTGGGTACAAAATATTATTGTTTATCGCACTTTACAGTTATAGGTCATAGGTATAGTCATCGAAACCGTTGTTTAAATTACTATAATCGTTGTTTTATGTTTACCGACAATTTATTAAAAAAAAAAAAAGTCCGCACGCGGCCGTATAAAAATATCTGAAATATTATTATTTGGGTACAACAAGACGGTGTATACGATGTATGGGTGACATAAAATACAAATTTAACAGCGTGCGGCACTAGTAAAAAACCGAAAAAACCAACTAAATAATATAAATATATATGTATAATTAAAATCTACAAAAATAGTTTACTTGTTTTGAAACTGTTGCGAATCCCAATTATTATTATTGATGCAGTTTTCAACCACGGTCTTCTCGAACATTATTTTGCCCGGAAAACTGTCAAGTTACCTACTACACGAAATAAACGACAAACGACTTGTCGAGTAAAAACGAACGCGCGTAATTACGATCATCGTGTTATTTTTGTAAATCAATAAAAAAAAAAAAAAAATTTGGTTCTTTTTATTTAATTATTAATTATAATTCACAAAATGAAAAAAAAAACACACACACTTAATCAGAAAACAAATTGCCCACATACAAAATAAAAACGAATAAACAGGTAAGTATACATAATAATATAATCTTATAGGTTTTTTGATTTTTTCAAAAAAAAAATAACAATAATAACAATAATAATGTTTACTATAATGTTATAATATTTTGAATACCCGCGAAAACACGTAGTTAGTAACGAAAGACTTGTCTACGCGAGGCGCACGGCGATTTTAAAACTCGTTCACACACATGGTTCGGTTTGTGTACATCGGCCAAGATTGCCTCACGCACCCCTCTCCCGCAGCAATACGATTATTGTTGGTTTTAGTCGGACGTTACGTTACCTATATTTTATTTATTATTATAATAATATTATCTCGAAACAAAATGTTTACGTCTTTATCATTATCATTATTGTTTTTATTAAGAAATTATACAATATTTAGATTAGACCGTACTCGAATATAATATTTTATATAATAAACGTACGTATAAGCTGCAATAGAACATTCGAAATAGTTATCGTACATTTAAGCGGTTTTTTTTTTTTTTTTTCTAATCTGGTATTTATTTATTATTTCTAATATTTCAGCAGACAATATTATAACCGGAAAACATTTTAACTGCCCATATTTTTCAGCAGACAAATATTTTCCACAAACCGAATTTTAGACGAAAAATATATTATAGAAATTGACAATACCACTATATACATATCGTGTGCATAAACAATAATGGGAGGACTAACAGACTTCTGAAGTAAATGAAAATAGGGGGATCACTCAAATAATAAATTCTAGAAAAACCAAATTATACGAAATCTGATAAAAGATAAGACTTTTAAATGTCATTTTATAAGGGAATATTTTGGCCAAGAAAACTAGAGGAGGACCTAGAACGTCTATATCCTCCAAAGCACCATGTCACTAAAGGGAACTGTTAAATATCATCCATATATTGGCTTCAAAGAAAATGACAAGCCGTGGCCTGCCTTTAGAGAAAGAAGAAGATGACTAAAATAATAACAATATATTTCAAGGCATTTAAAGTGTTTTCATAAATATTTTAAATAAATAAATATAAAATGCGATTTTAAATTTCGAGTGCATAGCGAAAACACTGTAATATTTTATACGTATTATAATAGTTTAACTAAGATAAGTTTTTTTTTTTTACCACATTTAACACTTTTTCCGTTAGTAAAAATTCGCCGATTTTATCGCGTTTTAAAAAGACATTTAGTTTCCGCACGACGGTTTTTATTCAAAACATTCCTCTTAGTTCTCGACGATTTTTCTCGAAAATTACAAAAACCGATGACAAACATCGACGATAACACGACGAAATAAAATCACTATTATTGCACCGCATTCCTACGATAAATCCATAAAAATATTGAATTTTTTGTTTATAAAATATATTTGAGACATAACAATAAACGCGCTTAGGTATTACAGTTATTATTATTACTATTTTTTTTTTTTTTTTTTTTTTATGGTTCTTTTTAACTATTTTCAAAACCGTATACAAATTACATTACCATAACTTTAGTATAATAATGATAAAAAAAAAAATAAATACTTTAAACGTTCACATGCATATTTATTGGCTGGTGACAAACGTTAATGTTATTTAGCGAAATAATCCAGTACAATGGGATTGAAAGGAAAGGGGGAATAATAATAATAATAATTCTAAAATACATATTTCGATCTTTTACATTTGGTATATTTTAAACCCCCCCAAAAAAAAAAACGTGAAAACATAAGCACTTTATTATTATTATTATATTGTATTATAATAGTTTATTGTGTTTACTGCAATATTTATGGTTTTAAAAATCGAACATTTTTTTTATTAAGTCTATGTACAATGTTACACTTATGATTGTGTATTATATTATGTTACATTTTGTAGATTTTTACAAGATCCTTTTACGGTCAATATTCGTTTTTAAACGTGAATATTATATTATTATAATATATTGTAAACTGTAACACATTAGTTTATGTAATTACTTATACACAGAGTGACCAACATAACGTAAAGTATTCATCATCTCGGTAAATACTTATTAGGTAGTTGAAAACTCAAAACTAGAATGTATTTAAACTAAAGTACTTCATTATTATTCAAATATAGGTTGCTATTTGAAAATTAAAATTGGCTTGCGGTTTTACCACCAAAACATTAGGGTGACAACAATTAACTACATTTTAAAATTGCTCGTTTCAATTATCTAAAAAAGAACGAATTCCAAGAAAACGTAATACTTTCCAACCTAATGAATGTTCTACCACGTAATGTTTCGATCACCCAGTGTATACGGTACTAATTTATTATAAATATCTATTATAACAATGAATTAAATGATTTATATTATTATCAGTATTCTCATCATAACATAATATATTATACTAATATGAATATTGATAATGACGCCAATAAATTATATAATTTACGATAAGCTTCCGACTCTTTGGTAAATTAAAAAAATACCATACCTACACCGTTATTAAAATGTCGATGTGTTTCCCTACCATACTAAAATCATGATGCCATACAGAATAAAAAATACCATATCATTATTCATTGGTAAACGTTATCTGCGATTTTAAGCTAAAAAAATAATATAAAATCAAAAATATAATAATTCGGCTGACAATATTATATTCTATGTGTGCAATTTCGGGTTAACTAGGTAGTAGGTATTTATTTTTCCGAGTAATTGATTAAAAAAAAAAAAATCAAGGTTTTAGCGATATCGAGTTCAGTATAATCGGCACGAGGTTTGCAAGATGTGCTGCTCGCTCATTAAAACAAAAAATTAACTATCTTATTGCGATTTTGCGAAAATTATATTATATAATTAATATCATTTTCCGTACGACTTTATTAATATAAAATACCAATACGTCAATATGTTTCGTGAAATAAATTAATAAAAAAAACCCGACGTGATGGTATTCGAAGTCTTAGTAGAAAATACAGCTATGTCAACAGTCAGTTAATTTTTTTTAGATTCTGAGTAATATTTAACATCATAATATCTAACCTTATTACAGTTAACCACCAGATCTGCTCAGAATCGGTTTTCGATTACAATAGTTCGTCATCGTCGCTCTTTACAGTTTTAAATTACCCTATATCTTATATACACCTTCCGAATTCCGGCCCACAACAGTGGTCTACCCATGGTGCGAAGTATGTCCGGTTTTTTTTTTAACATCACGAGAAATTTCTGTTACGGGAAATACTTAGTCAAAACGCGACAGCTAACATAACAATATCACGATATATTTTATTTAAATTAATAAATAAATTATATCATGTGAATCGTGATCAGGCTAGCAGAGACCGAAGCCGACTGTTTCGCATTCAAGAATAATAACAGGTGTCTGCAAAGCGGTTCAGCATTATATAATAATAGACGCATGACAATAAATAAATATTTTAATTTTTTGTTTGTTGAAAAAAAAAAAAAATCAAAAATCTATAATCATATTGAAACGTGTTAAGTCTTGTAAGCAAATCGCGTTTTACTCGATTATTTCGTGGATATCTCAAAGTTATTATATTAGTCCCGATTATTTTCTAATGGACAGACAGCTTACTACATTTAGTGGCCAATAAACTTTATACCGTGTGTTCATTTGGACACAAGAAACTACCTTTAAAATCGTACTGCCCTGACGAACAGTGATATACATTTCGGTAGAAAAAAAAAAACATTGTAAGATCGAACACAATTTTGATTTTGCGTTGTTCCGCGTAAAAATTGTACGTGGAAATTGCTTGAATTTATTTATTTTTTTTTTATATATATATATATACATATAAATAACCACCTATAATCGCGTCGAAAAACGACGTACGCGTCTTATAAAAACCCGTAAACTTCGTAAAACGCGTAAAGTATATAAAAAAAATCATGTATAGGTATTCGGACGCATGCGCGATGAAAACACGGGTTTTTTTTTTTTTTTTTACAGCCTATATACGCATCAGCCCCGGTAGTGTTGAATCGTTAATAACGATGTACTCGTATTGTAAATAATAATAATATGCACGTTACGCGAAACTCCGAACTATATTATTATTATACTGCACTCGGACGAGTAAAAATAATCCGAACATCATCTCGGGCGCGTATTAATAGAAAATAAGAGAGAAAGAAAGAAGAGCGAGTAATTTCGTCGGCGTTTTACAATCCGCGGCGTTCATTCATTATTTCCTCTGCGCGCACGGAGACGCTCATCTGTGATGTGTAAAATATACGTATTATACGAAATCCAAACGGACGCGGTTTACGGTCGCTGCAAACGGGGTTGTCTTCTGTGCCGCGTACTATGTAAACACCGCACATGGGTCGCACGTGTTCTTCTTAAACTACGTAATACTGTCCCGAGCCCCGACAGACACGAGATGGTCTGTCAAAAACGAACCGAGACCGTGTGAAAAAACACGATATTATAACACGTTTGGTATAGTCTACACGATACATGAATGAGACGTCCGAGGCTCGACGTCGTCGTCATCGTAGTCGGTTATAAAAATATAATAACATTATATCACTATAAAATACACACACGTAAAGTTGGCGACAAGGACATTTTTTTTTTTTTTTTTAATTTGCGCTTTATTTTTTATTACTTTTTTTTCCCCGACTTTAAACAACTTTCTACCGGAAATCTTGGTCCGTTCAAAAAAATTGTTTAGCATTTTTTATTGATTTTTTTTTTTTCAGTTTTCTTAATAATTGGGAAAAACGGAAAAGTTTACAATACGGTTTCGTAATCTAGTTAAAAATAATCGTAGCGAAATTTCACTTAAGCATTTATAAACCTGGTAAAATTTTCAAAACATTTTAGCCGCAATGCCAATGATGCTCCACTGCACTCTTCCCCTGCCAAAACTTAAAAGTCAAATATCCCGTCGAAAATTAAAAATCATGTCAACACCAAAATGTGTTTTTCTGTATTTGTCTAGGATTTTGAAATATTATTACGCTCACTACGTCACTGTTACAAGAAGAACGAGATACATATTATTATACGATATTAATGTCACGGTGGTCTACATCTCCCGAACCGTATGCTGCACATTTGGTCTACGAATGTACATCGTAATATTTGTATATATAATAAGCAGATGAGTTTTAAAACCGACAGTCCGAGATGTATTTAGTACATTATTATTGTAGAGCTTTTATAATAACGTTAGTCACGCGGATCGACTGTAATTCGGAGGGTAAAATTCGTTTTATAATCCTGTTTTCTATAATAATGTAAATCCCGCATACGATTTGATATTGAACACCGTCCATATTACCGCCTTCGTCATTGTAGTCGGTCGTATTTTATCAATTTGACAACTGCACTATACTAACTACCGAAGACAGTGCAGCTATAATAATAATAATACATTGTACAGCAGTCTGACAGAAATTATTCGTTATCACCCGTTAAAAACACACTGCATCGCACAACCTTTAAACGCACTCGCTAATCATTTATTAGGTATTCTACGAGTATATAATATGTATATTATTAAAGTGTCTGTTTGTATGTGACAAACGCGCGTATTTTATTTATCTGTTTGTTTTTTTACTTTTTTTTTTTTTTTTGTAAACGGAAATGGAATAAATTACATTTTTATACATTTTAACGCGTTTCTTTTTTTTTTTTTATAAACGACTCGCTATGGAACCGAATGGTTATTATTATTATGCACTATTGTCCATTATATTTGGAAAACGATGACATCATCATCAATCATCACCAACATACTACAGCAACAGATAAAACTAACTAATAAAAACCAAATAGGAACTGGTCGAAAGAGGAAAGAAATGTGTTTAAAAGTCTGTAGTAGAAACCTCGTATACGGGATGAACAATCTATCAATCTATCGTAAGACATTCACTATCTCGGAAAGTGTAGCAAGAAAAACGATCAGGATGCAACTGTGAAAATCGGTAAAATACCAAGCACGGGGGAGGAGGATAGGTTCGGTTTGCAGTTAGTCATTCGCACTTTGGAAAGCCTGTTAACAAACAGCAGCAATAACAAATAAAAACAGAGAAAGTTTAGAAATATTACAAAATGTCAAAATCTATTATAGTATTATAACTAGTATTATTATGACTGTTGTGTACATAAACTAGAGATTTATTAGAATATTAAATTAATTAATACTAGCTTACTCCAAAATTAAAATTTTTTTTTCTAGGTAACGCGACGTACTAAACGGCAAACAAAAAACATTTGAATTATAATTGTAATTTATAAGTGATAACATGTAATATGTGATAAAGGCAGGTCTATATAGAGGAGAAATATTAAAAATAAGCAGGTCAAAGTACCGATTACTCAAATACCTACAACCATATTTTTAATAAAAGGTAATTTAAAAAAAATCTAAAAATTAATTTATAAAAAAAAGTTAAAATTAAAATTTTTTGTTGATGAAATTTTAATACGCATATTTTACACTTTTAAATGTGTGACTTATAGCGCTTATTATAGTTTTTTTAAGTGTACATGCTAAAAATTTACTTTATTAGTGCTATAAATTCCGTGATGAGTTATTAAATGTTGGTAAGAAGGGGAGGGGCTAACCTCTCATGAGATTCCCATGAAAATTTATTTTTATATTCCCCTCCACCCATAAAATATTCTCAATTACGCCACTGTCTATAGGTATTATGAAGAATAAATAAACTATAAAATATAAAATATGCTTTTTGTTATACAATTTTACAGCTCCCTACTCAATCAAATTGTCTGGAACCACCCCTGGGGGCATAATTTACGATACAAATAATTTGAAAAATCGACATCTAGAAAAGGCTGTTATAAATATTCTGTGACAATTTCAGGTGTCTACGATTTATTTTTTACTGCATTACAATGAAAAAAAAATAAAAAATAACAAAAATCATGCCTTTCAATTTGCATTATATTGCGAATGAATTCACCGCCTACGCTCAGAATCTAAAACCAAGAACAAAACATTAATCACGCACATTTAATTTTGATTTTCTTTTCACCACCAAAATATTTTACTACTATATTGTAATTACGTAAAACAAAAAGCTACAACATGTTATCCGTGATTTTATTATTCTAAAACGGTTCGTATTTGGGGAGACCCGAACTCCTTTGAGGCCTCGGATATTATATTAGATATAGGTATACGTGTTTTCATAGTCATCGCGACCGTCATTGGACCAACAAAATAATTAAAAACTATTACGCCTTATCGAAACAAGTAGCATCGACGAGTTCGTATATTATATTTACGAGTGAGATACGAAATTTTTAAAACTATGCGGTCGTCTATGGCACACAAGTGAATATACGGACATACAACAATATTAAACGTTTCTGTTTTTAGAGGCGCCAAACTCCATAATTGAATAATATAAAAAGCCCATTAATAAAGAACCGCACGCGTTTTAAAATCCTATAATATATGATAAAGCGAACCCGAACAATAAGTGGATTTTTCGATATCCGTAACAAATATTTAAATAAATAGGTACTTCACGTGCATCCAATACCAAATTAAAACTAAATATTATCAATAGGGATTTGTTGCTTTTTAAATAACTCATTTACATACATTATATATACATACATAATTTATATAATATATATATATGAAATCGCAAATCGAACATATTTCTAATTTTAACATCATTATTTTATAATTTTAGCGTTTCTTTGCAATGGTGTTTAAACAAAAAATGTATTAATGTCAATAGCATTGTTTACTTCAGAACTAACCAGAAATTTCAAATACGTGTACTATGTAGAGGTATTAAAAATTATAATAGGTATACACGTAGGTACCACCTACTCCCGGGTAATAATAATTAACAATAACAAAGTGATAAATAGGCATATTGTGTCGAATAATAAAATAATGAAGGTATTAGTTTGTTGTTCGAAAATGGTTCGAAGAATATTATTATAATTACGTTGGAGCTTTGCACCGATCGCAAGCACAGCAGAGCATCCATGCATCACACTGTTGAAAGAGTGCATTTTGAATCATATTATATTGTTATCACGTATAAGATATAGGTAAAACACAAACCTCCCAAACGACCGAGTTATGGAAGAAACCAACAGTGGATTGGAAACCCGTAGAAAAAACAATTTTCGCGAGTGGCGGTCGTCTGTTGTCATATTTATAGCATAGCGAGAGTAGCCATCGTCGCCTCAACTCACTGTCTTCAGCGTGATTTACAAAAGAAGAAAATACGCGCCACTGGTGTCAATCCGTAGAGAAACATCAAAATAATTATTATGTGTGTAAAATACAGGAATTTTATGATATGTGTTTTCTTTTTAATTTTTAACTTTCAGGTTAGCTTCTTTCATCGATTCAATCTTAAAAAATGTTAATACTGTTGATGAGTGTACGTTTGACACCCATGGATGGGAATTTGGGTTGGTAGGATGCATAGAGTTAATTGATTTTTACCTGTACGCAACCATAAATCATTGCTAATACATTACGATTCCGAGCGGAGTTCGATTATACATATTTTGAAATACCATGATACTTGATATTTTCGACCAATTTCGAACTTAAAACGGTTATAAAATTAAATAAATGATCTGATACTGAGGATGAAAGCGACCACTTTTGTTGGTAAGAAGTTGGGAAGGTAGGATAATATAAGGTTATTTCATTAATATCTGTAAGCAACGATAAACCACTGCTTGCCGAAAGACGATTCCGAGCGCAGTTCGGTAATACATAATTTAAAGTGCCGTAATTTATATTGCGATTTTCGTTTAAATTTGATTTCAAAACGCTTATTAAAAAAAAAAAGTAGATGATTTTAGAAATTTTACTATGTCTAGGTAAGTCCAGTATAAGTATTATTACCAAGTTTTAAGTCTTTACGTGTATTTATAACCGAATTATAGCAAAAAACTTCCAAAAATTAAAATTCTTTAAAAGCTCAAAAGTGGCCCAAAAGTTTTGGCAAAGATACCGTAAGAAAGTAAATCAAAAAGGCAAAAGAAAGGTTTTTTTGTGATTTTTTGATTAAATTATTTATTCTGGTAGAAAACGTGGTCTGTTTTTTTATAAATAATAAAATCGTGAAATTGTACGTTTTCCTATGTTTTTCCCACTTAGGTGCTTTTATTTAAAAAATGGCGTCGAAAATCAAAATATGACCTTTTTAAAGAACTATCTAAACAACTTGAGATTTTAGAAAAGTTGCTAAACGTAAAAATCGGAGCAAATTTACTAGAAAAAAACGTGTCTACAGACTAGAAGAAAGAAAAACAAAATAAACATCATAGTAAAACCAATAGCTCCCTCGCTACGCTCGAAATCTCATTATCACTCAAGTATGTATTTATACGAGAATAATTGATAACAATAATAATGTTATAGCTAAAAGATGGCAAAAAGATTTCGTGTCTTCGAAATGAGTCATCATTCTATACAATAATAATTTTTATGGTTTACTATATGTATTTGTCTTGAGCAGTTGAGCGTACCGTGTACGTAAGTCTTATTTATAAATATCGACACAACGCAATTAATAATTATTATTACGATAACAGGTATTCACAGTGAACAGCCGAGCGATGTCTTCATAAATAATAATTATTAATGCAAACATTTCCAGCCTGCTGTCGAACGCGCGAAAATAAATCGAAAACCACAAAACTAAAGAGTTAATACTACTGATGGGTGTGCCACTGTTGTAGGTGAGAAGTTAGAAAGGAATGATCTATAAAGTTATTTAATTAAATTAAATTAATTTATATCTGTACTCAACCATAAATTATTACTAATGAAATACAATTTTGAGCGAAATTCATTTTGAAATGACGTAATTTGTACATAATGTTCGTTAACATTTTAACTTATAATGTTATAAAAAAATTGCATTATACTCAACTTTTGTTTAACACTAATTAAAACTAATGATGAACCTTGTGTACAATTGTCAAGTATTTCTGATCGACAAAAACAATTTTATCCACATTAAATCAAATAAAAATATGAAAACCTACAAAATGTCAAATGTATAAATAATTTAAAAATTGCCAATGTTTCACAATTTTACTATTTTACCACGTTTAAAAAAGGCTTATATAAGTATTTTGTGAATTTCAAATTTTTAAGATTATTTTTAATCTAGTTACAATAAAAAACAAAATTAAAAATAATAAAACTATCATTGCTGTACATTTGTCCATTTTTCCTTTACATTTAAGATAGTATACAATCTTTTTAAATCGTTATCCTTATGGTAGGAAATCAGAATGCCCTCACAGTACTATTACATTACCACTATTTCGTGTTGTAAGAGGTGACAGATAAGGTTGCATCAGGTCAACAGCTAGCCAATATAAAAACTATGTTAAATAGTTTGAAGAGTCCAAAAAGTAAGCGGCCATCGATTTGCATCGTGCGCATTGGACGGATCGTATAAACGGATTAATTTTTAGTGGCAAGTCCACCGTATCGGTAGTAATCGAATTGCCGACGCGTTGGCCGACGTCCATTTTCAATCGGATTTTTTTCAATAGTTTTTTTCTACCAGAAACATACATTTGAAAAAATCTGATTTTCTGGTAGAAAAAAAATGAGAAACATTTAAATTAATAAAATTAAAAATTTCGTAAATTTATCAGCTTTTATCTTAGGTCTTTTTCCAGTTTTTCCCAAATATTATGAACTATAAATATATTACTAGTTAAAAAATAAACTCGACTATCTTATACACCAACTAAATTCAAAAATGCAACAAAAAAGATCTCTTGTAATTTTTTGACTGGAGTAAGATATTTTCGTAAAGGTAACAGTGACGTGATTTTGTGGGACTAACTTGAGCATTTGCACTATCAGTCTATGAGTTATAACTATAAGGAAATTCTTCTATTTTAGATCTGGAGTGAAAAAATATCAAAATATTTGACGTTTTTTTGTATCTGTACCTATATTTACTCGAATTATGCTCTCGGATTATAATCCGTAACAATAATTCCTACTTCCAAATAATTTTCATGACTGAACTTTTGAAATAAAATTAAAAATTAAAATGCTACAAAAATAATATGTACTCACCTATTTCGTTGTAAAGTAAAATAAATCAAAAATATCTACTCAATATTAAAATATGAGCGGAACAAGACAATTTGTTTTCAGTAAATTTGCCCCGGGGTCTTGAAATATATGAAATATTGAAATGACGTCACTGGCTTACATGTACAATTTATATTATGGCACTAAAACCATTAAACAAAATATAAAATGCGCATTTAAATAACTGACAGTTATAATTGCTATATACCGGCCAATATCAATCATGTGATTTATACCTAAAGGTATTAATATTAATTTTTAAAATTTGAAATACGGTATAATTTGTTGTACTATTTATTTTATACTCTAGTATTGCCATCACATTATAAAATAAATTTTCATAGTTTAATTTTTATTACATCCTATGTACATGAACCTTGCAATTTGGGTGTGGTGCGATGGTGGACTGCAGCATAATATATAGTTTCGGTTTTTTCACGCAGTCGTCATTTAAAATAATATGCTGTTTATTGGCTAGTTAAACCATATGTTGTTATCCATAGTTGACACAATATCTATTTATGTATATGTACCATATATATTATATACTTATACACAATATACGCGGGTGTAAGTGTCAATTTTTGATATTCAGATAATGCTAAACCCTCCATTTTCAACAGAATCGTATTAAATATAGTCGCTGGATCATGATAAAGTCTATAAAAATACAATTTTTAATCTACAAACTTTAATCCGATGAAGGATAACAAAAAAGAACTTCGTGCGGTGAAAAATAAGAGACGGAAAAATGCGAATGTGGTGACGTAAAAGACGGCCAACATCTAATGCGCTGCAGAATGGCCAATGCAAAATGCTAGAAGAGCGACCCTATTTGAAAAACCAAATGACGAGGTTATCAAATTGATCAATTGCTGAAGGTTAAAAAAAGAAATTTGACACAACGAAGAAAGAGACTTGCAAACTATCAGACCGATAAACGATTTATAGATTAATAATAATATTTTATCAACAATGACGTACGTGAGCATATACACGTCGTGCTCATAAAATAATATACTTGACGCTTATGTCATTGCAGGGGAAAGGAGGGTTAATTATTATTATTACTGTGCTAGGTCACTCGTGTGGTTAGTTAACACATACTTAAATGTTAATGTTATTATTAATTAAAACAATGGAATCACATGGGAAAAAAATACAATAAACACAATCAAACCACGAACGATATGATATTTTCAACTGTCAGGTTAACATTAGTGGATTTTTAAAAAAACATTTGAATAACTTTTAACCGAAGTCTTTTTTTCTTTGATTATTTTATTCGACTTTGTCAAATTAATAATTTTTCTCGGGAATTTGAATACAGATATTTTCTTTCTTTGTCCTATAATAATAAGTAACACACGAATATGTATTGTATATAGTACAATATAATATATTGAACAAAAATAGATAGATGTATAGTGATGTAATAAGCGAAATAAACACTAAAAGCAAATTTTAATTCAATATGAAGTGTCGTATGAAATCGTTTAAGCCAATATTTCGAATCTCAGTCCTAAATTTCAAAAAATTTAATATGGAGAATCTCAAAAAAAAAAAAATAAATAAATTTTAAGAAAGAAAATGTCGGTATCCAATCCTTTTAAGTGGGTGCTACACTTAATAGGTACAATAAGTACATGTACCGTCTTTATCTTATAAACCCACTTTTGTAAGTAATACGAGGAAATAACTATTGCTAGTTACAACATAAAACCTTTATTTAACATACATTTTTAGATTTTGTTTTGATTTTACCAACCCCCCCCCCCTTTGAAAATTCACCTATAAGTTCAAATTTGCGATCATCAGATTCAATTACGTTTTGCTCGTTTTCATAATGGAGAGAATTGTTCTCTTGTTGATTAATTATCTAATTTTAAAGTAAGATAAAAGTATATTAAAATTATGATATTTCACATACAAGTGCTAGCTTGAAAATTAAAATAGCAAAAGAAAAACCAACACATAAACACAGATTTTCTTTCCTTGTGACAATTAACTCTAATATTAATAAAAAAGCGGCACAAAATTGTTTCTGCTAATCACAAATTGGCTACGTAGTGTGTTTATAAGACCTAAAAAACAAAATACATTACATGATGTTGAGTCCTCTTAACTGATCTGCATTTTTGTAGATTATAACATAAATGGTACCGTATACCACATACCTGTGTACCCACTACTTGCAGCAGTAAAGTTTGTATACATTATTAAAACAAATTACGTACCTACCTAGGTATCTATATAGTATTATAATAATAATATTTAAATTCGCGAAAGCGTATAGTAATCACGCACTGTTTTTATCACGATTCTATATTTTAACGTGGATCACGTCTGATTATCGTTTATAATATTATTATGATTGTTATATTATAATTTATAATATTTGTATACGGTGGTGCATGGACAGAATGATATACGATTATAATAAGAGCTATTGTAACAATAATATTATTACGATATCCGAAACGTTGAAAATACAGAATGATAAAACATTAAACGCAAACTTGTTATGATGACAATAATATTATTATTATAACTGTGTACCTATATGACTTCTGAATAATATTATATAAACCAGCATGGTTAAAATTGGTCGGGGATAAAATCGATTAAATTCAAAGATAGTTGCGATAAACGAGTTGTACTTAGAGAACTAATCTATATAGCTAGTGGAATATTATGTACCTAGCTAAGATTCAGTGACTCGAAAGATTTAATGAACGAGTTTTTACTATTCAATACAAGTCACGCTACAGCAGAACGTAGCCAACGAACGTATAATATAATACTACACTAATTTTAATAGGTTTTCTAAAATTAATATTATTTATACATAACATCTACTAAAGTAATATATCGATTATGTTTTTAGTTTTTACTATAAACTTTCAGAACGATGTGTACACGATTATAATATACAACCATAAAACAATATAGTTGTCATCACTCGTCGTTACTCGGCTAAGTAATACCCGAAAGAAAAAAAAAATTCAATCTAACATAATATGCGCCTTACAGCGTTATACGTACTAATAACAAATCCAGTGGAATGTGGAATACTTAATGTGGATAGATTTTTTTAGTATCTATTATTTATATAGCAACAACCTATTTGAAAATATGAATTTCTTTACTTAATTAGTCAGAAAAATCAAAAATGCGTTGATACCTAGTTAATAGGTAACTATAACAAAAAAAAAAAAAAACTGAACAAACATTTTCTTGTTTAAAACGAAGCCCATTATAACATAAAGGTGATACGAAATGCTAGATTTATAGTAGCTAATACTTAAATAAATGTTTAATAATAAATATTACCTGTACCTAGTTTTTTTTTTTATTGTTATTATTATTATAGCTTCTATTCAGTGACTATGACCACTCGAAAATTGTTTATGATTAAAACAAAATTAAACAAAGAAAAAGAAACAACCAAAACACTCATTAAATAACAAAACCAGCTTCCATTACTAAATTAATTATCTTATAGATGACCACTTTGGATTTAATATTAAGCATAGAAAAGAGATTGGGGAAATATTAAATGACTTCAAGAGGTTGAGCAGAATTAAACGTTTGGAATATAATGAAGGACAGTTAAAGATAAGATGAGAAAGGTCACAGTTATTTTATTTAAATGATAATTTTAAGGCAGATTGAATTATAAACTACTTATCTACATAGATATATAAATTAATAGTTCATCTTTTTTTATCTATAGGTATACAATTTTTAAATGCAATATTTCTATCTTTGATAAATTCCTTAATGAGCCATTAAACATGTGTATATACATCAATGGTGAGCCCAGTAACAGATCTGAAACTTATAATTTAAGGAGAACTACCGTTATCATAAATACTGAATACAAATTTCAGGTGGTCTAATATTTAGTTAATACAAATTCTATTCACTCATTTTTTGAAGTTTATACGTATATCAATGAGACTCTAAAAAAGAATATTGTTTGGATTTTATTTATTCTGTAAAGTGGGTATTGTTTTATAAACTCAAAAGAAAAAAAAAAACAAACCGCTTCTAATTTAACCTAGCTAATACAATTGAAAAGATAAGAATTTAAAAAAAAATAAACATCTTTGTAAAACCATAAGCTTCTTTGCTCCACTCAGAATCTAATATGGTTCGATATCTTTTTTTTCTAAAGTTTACATATTGAATTGTATGATATTAAAAAAAAAAAAAAAAAAATGTTTATATTTGCGATATTATAATTTGGTTACGCACTACTATCCACGATTACCTATACACGTACATTGTACGTATATTAGGATGACGTTAACACCTACACTTCCATTATGTTAATTACCTAATTCTAGTGCACGGTACTGCACCTGTATATAATAACATACAAGTGATGTGTACATCACCTACCTATATATTTTTAAAAGGTTGGTACTTATTATACGCTTATCGTTATCACTGGACAGTCACTATTGTTGTTGTTATTATTATTATTAATGGCATTGTTACTCGATCCCGAACGAATAATATACTTAATAAAAACGTTCGTATAATAATATTATTATACTCTCTCGACAAGCAGCACGATCTTGATAATTGACCACCCACCCACGGGTAAGTAGGTACATCGTCGTCGAGCTGGTTGGTACAATAATATATTGTTAAACAACTACACGAAAGAATTTTATGATTTCATAACAATTTTTTTTTTGCTTTTTAACTTTTTTTTTATAATCTCGTGTACTTTTACGACGTTAACATTATGATGATGGTACAGAGTACGAAGAATACTCGTCGAGCTGCACGGTATTGAATAAATTATACATGCAAAAGTATATAATATCATGAACCCGTCCGACTATCGGGGGCAAATTTGCGGATCAGGTGGTGTATATATACAGACCGTATTCGAGTTCAACCCAAGTGGTACGCATATATACAGAAGCCAAAGTGATTTTTCATCGACTAGGTTGCAGGTTTATACTTAGAATACTAAGGGTCCTTGGAATATTATCAACTTCGGACCTACAATTAGGTCAACTTTTTCCATTTTACCCATGTTCTATTTAAATCCATAGTGGCCGTTCATCGATTGCATATTTAGTAGGTTATAAGTGTACACATAGTACACTAACTTTTCCAGAGCGATATCAGGTTATCCAAGCCTAACCTAACTAGTATAGGTTATGTTTTGGAAATATCCTAAAACCAACTCTGTTACGTTTTAACTTAGATAAAATCTATAAATACGGATAAAAGGGAGCAGTAATAATAACAGTGACCCATCTGATAACCTGTGAAAAAAATACCGGAAACGTACTTATAAAACTGTCTTCCCAATATAATATATACCCTATATATTATAAATACGCTAAACAAAACTTTCCAATCATTTTTAAATCCAATATTTTCGATAGTCCAATTTTTTTAAAATATAAACTATTTGTAACATTTTAATAACCCTCTTAAAGACATTTAAGAGATGAGAATTGTCCACTTATTTATACTGTCTAATACACATTTAGTGAGAATGATACGAAAAAAATCCGCAGGATAAGCATAACTACAGTAAATATAGTTATTATTTACATACTATTTTCTAAATAAGTGGCTAAAAATTACTCAATTTCAAAACTGTACCTTTAAGTTTCCAAAAAATTGACTTGATTCTGGCTCTGCATAAGGCATTGTTAACACGTACGTATTGGACGAGCAATTTTTTACTGATCGAAAACGTGTTTTCCGAAAAGAAGAAAATACTCACTCGACTCAAAATGTTCAATATAAATATTATAATATTATAAATCATTATAATAATATTTTATAACGATGATATTCAAATAAATTATAGATACGCATAGTATCACGACATTTTGCTATTATGTATGTTAAACTCGTATAGTTGATATTAGGCACGTGTCGCAGAGTTTAGATCACCACACAATAGGCGCTTCGACCTGAACTATAAAAACGAGGATGACTATTATCATTATTATTATTATTATTTTATTATTACGATTATCGGCGTGAGTTTTCATATAGCCTACCGGAAATTAATAACGAAAAACCGTTCTCCAACCCTCGAAATCGTGCGTTCAATCCAGCTACTTATTATTATTTATTAAACGGTAGGTACACATGGGTGTGCGAGTATCACGAGGTACGTCCGGTACTTATGTATACACAAATAATAATCCATCCCGATAATGATTGTCGACAAAAAAAGTATAAAATAAAAACAACTAGGAGTAATTTTGTATACGATTTTACGATAATAAGTATCCGCCGGAACTTAGCTCCATTCCCCCCTTCCTCAAATGAAGCGGTTTTTGAAAAATTCGCCTGTAGAGCCATTCTCGGAGTTCCACATCAAAAAAAAAAAGAAAATAAACATAATAAACAGAGATAAAGGCAAATATTAAAAAATAATGATGAGTATCAACATGAGACGATATCGGATATCCGGTTTTTTCCAAAAACCGATATTTTCATGTAACAATGTTTATGATATTTCTAGAATATATGAAAGGAACGTTAAAAAGTCGAATTTCCAACCGATGTATCGATTAATTTAAATATCAGCTCGTAATTATAGATTTCGAACATCTTATCAGGTATCTGTTCAACATAAATTTTATTAAATGACCAGACCACGGAATGATCAAATTCAAATGAACTCGTTAATTCATTCAAAGTTCAAAATGTACGAACGAAACAGGAATCAAGTTCATATTTTATTTTAATCAACTTATTTTTATTTATATTCATATTTTTAATGAACTTAATTGGGTTGTTTATTTTAATTCACATTCCAGATTTTACTTTGAAAATGTAAAAAAATAATCTTAGCAAGACACAAGTACTTCAAACCTAAGATAATATCTAATAAAAACACTGAAACCTGAGACTATAGTTAATAAAAATTAAAAGTGAAATAAACTTGAACCAATCGAGTTTAATAAAAAAAAAATGAGCTATAGTTCATGAACTTGATTTAATTTTATGCTTTTGAACTATTCCATGAACCTCTTTATAATTTAAATAAAGGTCCCAAGGTCTGTAAATTAATTTTATTCGGTTGTTGTATTTTCACGAAGTAGAGGTAATTTTTTAAACGATCGTTTTAATAAAACTGCACGGTCCGGTCCTGTGCAATTTTACTCATCATATCTATGGTTTATATTTACAATATTGTGAACAACTTACATTTAACACAGTTATGAACGTTGTGATCGGACAAAAACCTTAAGTGCAGTAATATTACAATATATTATAGTGTTATATACTCGAGTACTCAAATGCAGTTAGGTTATAAAAGTCAATTTATACGTCTTGTAAAATAATTTTAAAATCATTTAATAATTTATACTAGTCGTAGTTATGACTTATTATTATTATTTTTTTTATTTTTTTTTAAGTAAATCAGGCAAAATAACATATTGAAAACGATTAAAACTACGGGTTTTTAATTTATAATTATTACTGTGCGCTGGTGCTCGATTTTTCAATAGTAATAAAATTACTTTTACTATCCGGCTAAAGAATAATACGTCGATAATTATTATCTATTATAGCCTTATTCCTTAGTGTTTAAATTTAAAATTTCTAATTCATCTTTATTGTGTTAATTTATTTGTTTATCTATAGTAGGTAGGTAGGTAACTGACACACATATCAGAATTATATACATTATTATTATTATTATTATTTGGACACAGAGAGTTGCTAAGAGAGGTTTGCCGTTCTTGTATAGTCATAAAACAATAATAATATTATTGTTTACTGTAAAAAGAAATGCCTATGCCCTACGTATATTTATAAGCACTTCTTTGGCTCACTTTGGCAGACTTGATCTTTAATCGATGATTTAATGATTGAGATTTGTTGAATAAATCATTCTAAAAATGTAAAAATCTGCTTTAATCAAATTTTTACATTATATGTAAATTGTAAAATATTTTCATTATACAGAGCTAAAAGTAATAACAGAATAATTTTAAATCTAACATTATAGATTTTAAGTGCAACGGAGAATACATTGGTTTTGCTATACAAGGTATCTCACGAAGATTCGACAAATGCAATAATTTTTTTTTTTTTTTTTTTTAATAATAACTAAAGACTTGCAGTAAAATAACTATATTTTGTTTTTTTTAAAAAACTAAATAAAAAAATGTAAATATTTAAAAATTTATTTTGACAAAACCAAAGTTTATCATTATATAAATGTATTTTAAAACACAATTTTGGTGTTACAGATATTTATTAGATAATGATGAAATGTTAGTTTCTATAATGTTTTAAAGTTTACAAAAATCATTGACAAAATCATTTTTTATGCTTAATTGGTGATTAAATTGATATTATTTAGTAATGGTAATTAAATTTGAATTATCTTAAACTTCAACAAATAATATCAACCGATTTAAAAAAGTTTCAATAAAAATAAATTTCTTAATGATTTTTGTAAAATTAAAGATATTATAGAAACTCAACGATTCATTATTAGTAACACCAAAATTGTGGTCAAAATCTGCCATATACATTTCTATCTATGGTATTTACATATCTATACTTAAATGAATAATAATATGTCCTGACTGACTGGTCTAGCTAGAATCGCTGAAGCTATGAGTATGAAATTTGGTCAGTAGTTTCGTTATATAATACAGAGATCCACTGAGAAAGTATTTTCCGACCCCTAACGTTAGGTTAGGTTAAGTTTAAATTTAAATTAAATTTCTAGGGAAGTTAAAAAAGCATAAAAAGGTAAAAATGGAAAAGTTATATCTAGGTGGGATTTTTTTAAAACTTAGAATAGGTACCTACATGGTAATTCAACTCGGTACTCTGTAACTCAAAAACTATTACCTCATTTCCCATTATAATATATGTGTTTTTTTTCTATCTAATAACAAATTTTCTACAAATCTAACACTAATCGAAAAATTACAAGAAAGTTTTTCATAGCATTTTGGATCTAATTTGTACATTGAGGAGATAATTTTTTTATATTTTCTTAGCAGTTATTATAATATTTCAGAAAACCTTGAGAGCAACACATAGGCAAAACGGACAAATTTGCAGCAATTAAAGTATTATTAGTTCCAATTTTTTTCAGTTTCTATTTTTTGAAAGAAATTTTTATCTAGCTGATGCACTTGTAGGTAATTTTTTGGTTTTTTTTTTGTAGTTTTCTTAATGACTGTCAAAACGCGTAGAACACAATTGAAAAATATTCGAACGTTCTATGAGTTCCGGTTTTGTTTACGATTTAAATATAATACCCACCTAACAATAATCGGTGAACTGAATTTTGTTAATAACACGTTTTTCTTCTTACCTATCTGATCATTACATTAAAATTACAATCGAATATGTGCAACCTAATTTTGCAAATCATTATATTATATGCATATTGCATTTATTATTGTATAGAAATTTAATTAAAACGAGACGCTCTGAGCGAGAGAATGTTTATTACGATATTGAGTGTCTACCCCTAACACGATGATGGTATTGCGTTTTAAAAATCTATACAAAAATGAGAATATAGATCGTGCCTCTGTATGGAAAATATATTACAAATATGTATAAACCAAATTATTTGTGTACGGTTTTAATTATTACATTATATTATTACACGTTCAATGCAATCTACTGTAGCTACTTGACAACGGAACAACTCACGAATAACCCTTGGGCTAACAAATATTGGTAATGGTGTTGGTCATACGTAAATCATAAAATTCAATTATTATTAAATGATAATTATTAACAAATATTTGTATGGTAATAATAATATACATTATTCGTTACAAATAAAGCGAGGATACGAAAAAACTGAATAGAAATAAAAAGCTGATACTGGGGACGGGTGAGGCCACTGTTGTAGGTGGGTAGTGCAGAAGGTGGGATACATAAAGTTATTTAATTTATATCTGTTACCAATGATAAACCATTAATAACGAAAAATGATTAGTCAAGTTCGCTTACATATGTTTTGAAATGTAATATTTCGTCAAAATTTAATTTTAAAATTTATAAAAAATAAAAATTAATACATTAAACTAGATTTATTTTTTATCACTAAATGCGACTTTATATGAAACCTCCTATACAATTTTCAAGCATTTCTGTTTAATCTATTGGTTTATCTACAGAGATCCTACCAAATAAAAATTACGTATAAAAAATTCGCAAAATTAAAATGTCTATAAATATCTCAAAAATTATTCAATTATTCTGAAAGTTTTATTACGTCTATAAAAAGTAAATATAAGTTTTTGTCAAAATTTTAAATCTCTGGGAATATTTCAACCTTAATTACAACGAAAAAATGAAATTAACAATAATAAAAGCATTGTTTTTTTCGTAAAATGTCCCGTTATTTCTAAGTTTTTTTTTCAGTTTTATTCAATTATTAAAAAAACTTCAAAGAAAATCAAAAAATGACTTTCTTGGTCACCAACTAGATTAAAAATGCAACAAAAAAAAACTATTTTCATTTATCTATTGGAATAATATTTATGATAGAAAACATAAACCGTATCAATTTAAAATAATGAAATTATTGTGCCGTAATTTGAAAAATCTTACATTTCGGTTTTTTTTGGTTTTTCCCGATTATTATAAAAAATACTTAAGATATTAAAAAACAACTTTTTCTGTTGGTGGCTATGTATTAAAAGGAACAAAATCAATTGTTCATAATTTTTTGATTGGTGCGACTTTTCTGATAGAAAACATATTATTAACATAATAAAATCAATGAACTATTTGACATTTTACTTATAATTTTCTTTCGATTTTTTCCTGTTATTTAAAAAACCCTATTGAAAATCAAAAAATGATCTCCCCAGTGCATCAAAAAGAAAAAATCGCCTTTCAGAAAAAGTGCTATAGTCTATACTTCGGAGCAAGTTTACTGGTTGAAAAGTTGTTCGTAGTCACAAAACAAAAAAAATAATAAAAATAAATTTAAATCATACAAAGTAAAACCAATAGATCCAATACTATGCAATATATATGATAAATGCTTGCGAATTTCCTCCGAAAATAGATACTGTTTTACTGTATTATGTCTAATAGGTGTCCGTTATATTTATATCAGAAATCAAAGTTGTTTTTAGGTGGATTGAAGTAATACATATTGGGCTGAATAATTTCAATACACATTTTACTATCTTCCGTGAGAGCTATGTATTTACATAGTAAATAATATTATATGAAAAAGGTCGTTTTTATTTTAATACTTAGAAATTAACAAATAAAATATTATCCAAACATAGGTGAATAAAACCTAATAAAACACGTTAATTTAGTATTTTATTTTTAATGATAGACATTTCTAAAGTTTTTTTTAATTTAACTAACACATTGAAAAAAATTATGATAATATAATAATATAATTGTTGAGCAAATGTATAGAATAGTAATCAGACACCAGTTTCCAAGGTATTATGCATATGAGTTCTAGAGTGTACATTGGAGTGTATAAATTTTAAATTCTCAGAAAAAATCTCGTAACATGAGGAAATATAGAAATACTTTGCGAAAATAAACAAAAATAATGCTATATTTATATAATTGAACGGATGAAAAAAAAATGTAAAACAAACCTTGATAAGATAAAAAAAAGTATAGCCTAATACCATTAGAACCCTGTGAATTTATACCAAAGTTAGTATTAACTAACTTAATTTTAAGTTAATTTTAGATTTTAACTTTTATCATTTCATCTTTGTTTTTTTATTAACTCTACATATATTCCTTCATTATAACTTGCAGTAAAATATAACAAAATATTAATCTTGAATTATATCACGTAAATAGGACTCGTAACGTAGGTCCGTATCCAGTTCAAATCATCAGGTGGGACAAACTAAACTTTTAAGGAGACATTAGAAAAAAGCATACCACTACATAAACATATTTAATTCTTGTTTGGGGGGGAGAACAATAATTAGGTCAACGGGGGAAATGTCCCCTTGTCCCCCGTGGTAACGGGTATGTCGTGACGGTGAATATTTTAGTTGATTTAGACCAAAAAGCCAGACAAAATTATAGGAATTGTATTCAACTGATTTCAATTTTAAAAATAATTTTTGATTTTTAAGTTCATTATTATTTATTAGAATATGATGGAAATAAAATCCTAATTATTTTATTAGAAATCATAACAAAATTGTATAGTATTTTGCAACAATTTCAAAAAATAACCATTATGTATAATAAATGTATTTTCCCTTTTATTAAAGACGAAGAAAAGTAAAATTTAAAATGGTACAAAATATTACCCATCCTGATGGGTTTAATCATTTTTATTATGACAATAACAGTTTTATACAAAAATTACCTTGACTTATCAGGTAAATAATTGAATTACATTTTAAAATTAACTTTTAACGTATATCAACTCGCTAAATGTTTTTCAAGTAACTATTTATACGTAACCGAGTTAATATCACTCATTATGAACTTGCTTATGCCAGGTTAAACCAAATATTTACAGAGAGATAAACTCTGTTGCATAAACCATGTATACGATTTTTATCTGTTGGTACAAATGTACTTTATCAAGATTTAAATTACAGGCCCATTAATTGTCATGTGAAAATGTATGTACCTATAGATAAATTTCGTTATCAATGTTTTTCGTTTCCTTCTACTACCGGTAGAGTAGAACTATTTATTCGTTAACCAGTATTCTGGTAATTACCTGAATATAAAATAATGATTGTGCAGCACTCGTAAATTCCATGCATATTAAAATATTAATTTATCAACCTTTGGTTTATCATTACATAAATATTTAACATTATATTTATCAATAGATGACGACAAGTTTGGTGTAACCGGGCATTAGCCTTGATTTATACAACCGTAAAAATGGTCAACACAAAATGTGTGTTGTTATTTTTTATAACATAATCATTAATGAATAAATAAATACGCTTATTTATAATTAGTATAATAATCAATGTAATTATAATAAAAAATTGTTTAAACAATGAAATTAGTTAATTATTATTATTCAAAAAAAATGATCAGTTATAGAAAAATAAAAAAAATTCGTGTTGCCTTAAAAGATTTTGTATATGCAACATAACTTGACAAACTATTAATGTAGATGTTTGTATTTTTTCCTTATTATATTTTTTTTTAACCAATTAAAAAATAAGAGAGGTTAAAATCCACGTCAGAAAGCGAAGGTCTAATTTTATTTTATAATTAAAATATTAATTAGTATTATGTATTCCACCTACGTGACGTGATGCGAAACTATTGGAATAAAATCTGGGGAAATTGGATTAGGAAATACTTTCATATTAATAATATGAGTAATGAATTTATTGAGATCGAGTATCATTAAAAAAACTATATTGTATTATTATTTACTGGGTATAACCGCGTGTCCTTGTTCGATACACCTATTTCATATTTTAATTTTTAAATGTTTATCACAATAAATTATTGTAATATCCTTGTGCAGTACTTCGAAATGTTTAATAGAATCGTTTATATTATTATTTATTTGTGTGTAGAATAAATTCTAATATTAAAAAATAAAACCCGATACATCTCATACCATGACCCCATATGTAAGATCCACTGTTATAGGTGGAAAGTTGAGAAATAGAAGATATAGGTTAATTTATATAGGTTATACACTGAAAGCGACGATAAACAATTGTAATCAAAAAATGATTCTGAGCGGAATAGTATTAAGTGTTTTCCCCCTTGTGAATCGTGAAAAATAAAACTGATGTGTCGATGAAGTGATTTTATCGTCATTCACGGTCGGTTTTTTATGTTTTTTTTTTTTTTTTTTTTGAAAAATCGTAAGGAATGAAGAAATATGATTCAGATAATACATCACCGAGTGGAAATTTCACATGGTTTAAGATACGATGTACCATATCAAAAAAAATCGCAACATTTTTACTAACCTAATAAAGGTTTTCATTTACTGGAATGAGGAGATAAACATCCTGATAAAACTATAAAATAGTTTCTACGCCACACTCAAAATCTAAAAACGTCAAGCTAAAATTAATTAACTTTTAGTAAATTAAAATAATAATAATATGTACTATGTAATACCAAGTAAGTCAAAAAACCGCGTATTTAAAAATAACAAATTGTATGTAGGTTAATGAACATATTATTACATAGTATTTATACTAAAGTGAAAACTATACCAACTATATGATAATATATTGTGGTGGACAGAACGAAATTCGTTTGAATTCGTTAGGTTCTAACAGCTATACATTTTTTACGACATTGATTTTTTTTTTTTTTTGTACTTGACCCTGAATAGTCCGTATATTATAATCGTGAAAGTATTTTTTTTTTAAATATGCATAAAAACTATATTTGTTTTATGATTTCTTTTGTAGGTGTTGCATTTATTTAAATAATTAAGTAATATATTATACTATCAAAAATATAAGTTACATCACAGAATGTAATACAAAACACATTTAGCAGTCAGTTTAAAAAAAATCATAGCATACAATTATTATAAATCATTATTTCATCAATTCGCGATTCAATTTAATAATATATTAAGAATAATTATATTAGTATTATTTTTTTCGATTTAACTTATGTGATCACAAGTTAACCGACGTAAGTTATATACGTTATACATATTATGATAAATGCGATTTAAGATCCACGAAGTAAATTTAACCGACAAACTTAAATGTTATGCATTTTAAAAACAAAAAGAGAAAAAGTTTACTCAAGTACTCATATCGGTCATAGAAATTTGCTTGGCATTATTATACTATCTAAATCTAAATTATCTTATCCAGTGGCGTACATACAATTTTTATTTGGGGAAAGGGGGTTAAAAAAAGTAAGAAAATTATTTTCTTAATAATGAAACACATGCAGGTACTAATAATTAGTAAAACAAATAAAAATCCCTCGTGATAATATATTATTATTATTTTATTATTAATAATATTTATTTAAACATTTATAACAAAAATTCTAGCCCCCTTTTTTTATTATTGGATAACTCAACCAGCATTTCATCGAAGATAAATGCATTATTTTAACCAGGCCGTGTTAATACAGCAATTTTTTTTTTCATCATTGATAATATATACTTTATACCCAAACATAAATAATTGTTATAAATAGTTGCTATTTTAACATCTTGTTGAACAGTTTATACTAAAATAGCTATGTTTATAAAATTATTGTAAATTCGTATTTTTACTATCAAAATAAATACATACATTTAAGCATTTATTAGTTAACAAAATTGTACAATTAAAAAAGCGTTTAATTTTGAAATCCTCTAGGACTATCGTTTACCAAAAAATAAACGCTAATTAATATACAATTTATAAAGTAATCACTAATTAGCTGTTAAAGCACTTACTTGTTTGCTTTTTCTATCAATTTCTTGATAGCCAAATAATTGTCGACGCCGGGTAACTGTATCATCTTTATGCATAGTTCTGGTTCCCATTTAGAAAGACTTTGGCCTTTTTTTATGTCGGCCAAAAGTTTTGATCCACTAAGCTGATTGTTCACATTCTCCGTCACCGTAATCTTTGTCTTCACATAGGTGGCAACTTTCCTCCAGTGATTTTCTGTAGTCATTTCGTATCTAGAAACACAATTTAAAAATATATATTTATTAGATAAATCCTAAAAAAAAATAATATTGCTCATAGGTAAGCCACTGTTCTAGGTTGATCATTTGGGAGGTAAGATAAACAGAGTAATTTAGTTTATATACTGTACACAACAATAAATCATTAGAAAAGGATAGCCGATTCTAAACGGATTCTCCATTAGTCGTGATTTTTTCCTTTATTGTCAAGATAGCCTACAAAATAACAAAGACTCAAACACCAAAATATGGACCTATGAGATGAACTGCTGAAAATGCCGAAAAATATTTCAAGTAAAGTACCACTGGGAAAATAATCCACATTTTTTAGATATGAAATGAAAAAAATGTTTTCCGAGAAATAAAATAGAACGTCTTTAGAAAGCCTATTAGCTTCTCCATTATTATATACTCAGAACCTAATACGATTGTAGTATTGTACGAAAATTATTTATATATATATATATATGTATTATGTATATTGTATATATATAATACAGTTAAACCTTCCTAAACGGACACATCTAAATAGCAGATATTTTCAAATAGCGGACATTTTTTTCGGAAGCTGGGACATTTATGTATAAAAAAAACCTCTAAATACAGGACACTCTAAATAACGGACACTTTTTAACATTGATATTAATCATTTTCATTGTAAATTAAGAATAATTGTAAAATGCCTAAAAGTCTACACTATTAAGTTATTTTTTATTACTAAGTATGTACATTAATGTACTAAACATGACGTACACATTATATTACCCGTCCAGCCATTGACATATTATCGCGTCAATGAAATGTTGTAATTTTAAGATGTATTTAATTAATGTAAAAATAAATTGCAATTTATTTAATTAATTAATTAAATAAAAATACAATTTCTCCCTCTAAATAACGGACACCTCTGCATAGCGGACAAAATTTCAGCGACCGAGAGTGTCCGGTATTTAGAGGTTTCACTGTATATAATTTATATACTATAATATATTTAAAATGATTAACAATTTTAATTTGATTAAGATAAACAGGAACAAATTCGTAATATTCATACAAATGTTTAACTTAAATTGCATAATTTGGTTAAAAAAAAAAATGATTGATCAAGTGTATGAATCATTAAATAAATTGTTGTATCTACCTGAAACAGTTATATTATTTAGTCAGCTGTAAAATTCGATAATAATTTCCTCGAATATTTTTTACGAAATAAATAATTTTTACCTATAGCACAAAAATTGTAATTCATATTTAAGTTCCTTAGTCTTAACGAATCAATCAGAAGTCTCCATTTAATGTCATATATAAATTTAATATGTTTAATTTAAGTACTATAGCTACAGTGACGAAACCACGATAAAAAAAAAATAGATGTTTATCTATCCATCGATGATTTGAAAACCGTTCAAATGATCGAAGAAAAATATTTTTTTCCTCGAATGCCATATTACGACGCTGTAGATCAAACCAATTAATTGTATATTATTATCTCTGAAGGCAACACTGTAATCTGTTGTACGAGTAGGTAAGTATACCTACAAACACATCATAAAGCATTCTATTAAAACAAAGCAAGTTATATATGGTATAACGATAATTAGGTAACATCTACTTTTTTTTATATATATATTTAATCTATAATATTTATCAGTTTTTTATACATATGTATATTGTATATACATGAACTTGGTGTGGTTTTCGAAAATGCGAAATTAAATACAAAACTTATTATATGAAATTATGTTTTAGAACATGATGTGTCTATCTATACACAGTTTCCGATTACTCCATCTACTATTATACAATATATACAACTGTATAATAAGATATTCCATGGCCTACACCTACACGTGCTGAATACTCATATGAATACTCACAGAATAAATAGTTAGTAAGTTTTAAATAAAGAAACATAATATTATGTGTACAAATGTAAAATTTACATGTTACGTATATAGGTACATAAAAATATAAAACCTACTGCAGCAATTTACCGTTTATTTTAGTTTAACGAACGGATAAGGACAACATGACACCAAGTTACTTTTAGAACATGTATATGTAGCGTTCATAGTTGGAAATTAAAGTCTAGAAACACAAATTGTAAAAAGTTTATCGAAAAAAAGAATAATATTTATAAGGGCGTAGCTCTAAACAAGAAAGTTTCAGTCACGTTCGTTTTTGATTTTATTTAATTTGATAGGTAGCTATAATTTTTATTTGTCCATATTCGAAAAAAACAGCAACGCGTTTAAAAAAATGCCCACAAAATCGGTATTCCGTTTAAATTTTGTACAGTCTGTATATTCATAGACTTAAATTTCAAATATTATAAATGTCACAATTTATGTTCTAATATACAGACAGGATGATCATCCTCCATTCGACATTCATTATTTCGAAGAATATTAACTTTTTCAATTTTTTTTTTTTTAATTAAAGAAACAAGCAGCTCTACAATTTTACATAACCATTATTTTTTGGGATAAATTTAAAACGATATAAATATTTTCCGGGCATCATGGTTATTAATAATAGGTAATACTCAAAGTAAAAAAGGTTTTCATGATACAATCAAATTGTCCATGAAATATCTATTTTTTCAAAAAATAACTTGCGTAAAAGCTTTCTAGAATAATTTATTCTACAATTTTACACTGTCCTTATTTTTTTCATCCTTATTTTCGCGAATGAAAACGCAACCAATTTTTTGTTTTAAACATCAACCTATATTAAAAATGACATAAATAGATGAAGTTTTAATTTACATACATTTTGGTGTTGAAATTTTCAATTGTCGTCGGCCCGTTAACGAGATATTCCACTTTTAAGTTTTGGACGGGGAAGAGCGTATAGTAGAGCACTATTCAAACACCGATCCACCACAAAAACGACGCTCCACGGCGTTTGCAACTTAACTCGGTTATAGTACTCGAATTTATTAATATATATTTAAAAATTTGACTCGGTTATGATTTTCTTTCCAAGATAACTTAACTATAGACTATAGTTAGAAAAAAAAAAAATGGTTAACTTGCCCGGCTTTGCTGCGGATTCGTATTCGACTCGTCAATAACCGCGACGCCCGTGAACTTAGCGGCGTTGCTTCTATAGAAAATAATTTGTGAATCGTAATCGCGAATTAAAAAAAAAAAAAAAACAAAAAACCGAATCCAAAATTTTGATTATTACATTTGTATTAGTAACGGATACGAACACGGACACCGCGGATGGACCACCACGACGGCATTCACGAACGGACATCGAACCGCGGCGGTGGCGGCGGCGTTCTGCGGCACTGCATAATATTATGCGCTGAATAGAATCTAATCGTATAAGAAAACGACAAGAAGGAAAAAAAAAAATGCGAAATTTTGTTCCGCAAAAAAAAAACCGACTGGCCGACGACGACGATAACGTTACAAATTGCTATAAGAAGTGCTCGCGTACATTACCAATTGTACATACCAATCATTGTCGAGTGGACGATGATGCGCGATCATATAGGTATTACGAGCGGCAGTGGCGGTGCGTGGGTGTTGTATTAATAATAATATAATATAATATCGTCTACGCGTATACCGTATACGTAAAAACAAAAAAAATAATAATAAATAAGACCGCAATTTAGAAAACGTAAAATAAAAAAACACCCGACTATAACGTATCGTATTTTTTTTTTTATTATTATGGTCACGATAAAACCATTCAGAGCTATAACAGCGTTCACTTTAATGCAGTCACTTCACTGACACCGTATTATAATAACCGACGTGCGCTTGTACCGGCGATCGATTTTCAATAATAATAATAATATTTACGCCGACGTGGTAATTATTATTACGATAATAATTATTATTGTTTCTCTCTCTCTCTCTCTCTCTTTCAACGGAGGCCGATCGATGTTTTTACACCCCACGCAGTTCAATCGATACGCAAAACAATTGTTTTATTTTTTTCTAATGATAACGCCCACTTAATGACAACAAGGCAAACTTTTTTTTTTTTCATACCTAGTCCACTATACGTCGCGTAGTCAATAATTGTAGACTATTTATTATGTAGTTACATCAGGTACATGAAATCGGGCGCCTTTTTGGCGCCTCCTATACGGATATTATGATTTTTCGAATATCTATACAGGAAAATATTAATTTTATTATCTGTAAGGAACCTAACCGGACCCGACCGAAAACTTTTCGTAGTTGAAAAATCACGACGTTGAGTGTAAACAAAAGGTCAGTGCCTTAGGCGTGCGCACGAGTGGTACAAGGTGTGGAAGTACACCACTTGCGAACTCAAATTTTCCGTAAAAAAATAACCTAAATGTATTAAATTTGTTTGATAAAGCACAAATGTAGACTATCTAACTATATGGTTCGAGGCTCATACATAAAGCCAACCGTCGTGATGTAGGTTTGGCAATGTTTACGAACCGTTATTATTAATATTATTGATAACCGCCAATATAATAATAATCTGTATTTTATAGTTAGTACTGTTAATATTAAATTAGCTAATAACTAATATGATTTTTAAATCGATTGATATAGAGTATAATAAAAACTGCGTTTTTGAATTTATTATCATATTATAGCAATAATATTGATTATAGATTGTAAACATTGTCCAATCTACTGGCTACTTGTCTTCTAAAACCCCATACGCAATATAGAATATAGAGTCAGACAGTTTCATTGACGTGCCCAGTAATTTTCAATAAGAGGGGATATAGCAAATAAGAATCGTGAATAAATCGTTAAATCGTTTTCTCTACCGAACTCGACTACAAGAATTGGTAATTTAAAAATCACATCCTAAAAAAAGCTAATTTCTAATCAATATATCAAAAATAGAGCTATCTTGACTGATATATATGCATTTCGATATTAGATTGCTCATTTTTTTTTTTTTTTAAGCCAATGGGGCATTATAACCTCTAACCTTCCCTCCCCACCACTGTTTATTATATTTCTGTAGATGGACT